ATTATGCTATATAGTATATAATGTGATCTGTTTTTTTGATACCGACGTGTATGCCTGCTTGATCCAATAAGTTTGCGATCTTCATTCACCGGGTGTAGCATCGAAGGAACCGCCTATTATCTTATTGAATTTGTGGAAATGCTAACAATCTAACTATCAATTAATAATAGGGTAAATTACAAACATCCCTCTGAGGTATGGTCAAATTACAAAAATCCCCCTCTTGTTTGGATAATTACATCTACCCCCCTCAACTATGATTTTTTCTTAGACCTCCACCTCTATGGTGCCAAATTCAACATAGTCATCTAGATTCCGTGAAATGTGATCTAGTTTGTACTCTTTTTGTGTAAAAAATACAGTTTCCGACGCACCACAAACTGATATATACAAGCTAAAAATTACATATTATGATCATCTTGCTTCATAATGTAGTGTTTGAATGGGATAAAACGGGAACAAAAGTGATAATATTCCATATAATCTCGAAGATTCCACTAAATTTGATGAGTTGAGGGGGTGGTTGTATTTATTCAAACAAGAGGGGTGTTTTTGTAATTTGACCATACCTCAGGGGGGTGTTTGTAATTTACCCTTAATAATATGAATAAAACCATGCGCGTGCACTGGATAAACCTGCATTTATGTATAATCGTTTGCAAATTATACGAGAGACGCAAATCATACTAGGCTAACCATGTGTGACAAACTTGACATATAGAGGCCGTCGATAAAGAAAATCAAACTTGGATCAGTTAAGACAAATTTACTTGCTCCAACCGCTAGTCATTCCTTGTGAGACGACATATTATTCGATTTTTCATTTGAGTGAGGTTAGGTCGTCTTTATATTTTGTGATAAAGACATGCATAAACTAGATGTAATAACATATAGCTAGGGGCTAAGATTTATGAAATTACTGTATCATTTTCTTTTTAATTTTAAAAACGAAGCCACAATTATATACTTGTATCGATAAACTCCACTCTCGTGCAATAATTCACATACAACACAAGATGTGTAAATCCTATTGGGTAGGCCATTTAAGACGAACTTGGCCTAGAAAATAAAAGATCAAATATCGAACTTACGTCGTTAGATGTTTGGTAAATCAAATAATTTCTCAAATCAATCTGAAAATATAATCTCATCATGCATGACTTATCTTTCCTTTTATTGCATATCAGATAGATTACTTTTTTAAACCTTCCTTGGTCTAATATACTATTATTTTTATTAAATTATTTAATCTTATTTGGACTAATCTTATTTTAGAAACCAAACGAGACTAAAACTATTATTAATCGCAACCGTCGAAGCCCGAAGGTTCGAATGTAGATCCCAATAAATCGGCCCACTTTGAAGCCCGACAATTGTTTTGGGCCTAAATTGATTTGTCACATTGAAGCTATCGAGTATTATTTAATTTATAAATATTATTTAATTTCCATTTACACCACAATATATCGCAAGGCTCACTATTCATAATTCTACACTTATGTAATCTTTGAATATTATTTATGCCCTCAATAATTACATTATTCCAAAAAAAAAATAGAACAATAAAACAATTATCAACAAAATGACCTAACCAAGAAAATCAAGAATCAAATGAATAGTTTCAGAAATGATAAAATGAATTCGGTGATGGATAAATTAAATCCTTTCATTAACCAATTACTTCAAAACCCACCCCAAAAAACTTCCAGCATAATGTCTACTCAACCCCCTAAAATGCTGAAAATATCATTATCCCCCCCTAAAAAATAATTTACCTCAACAAAACACCCCTCATCAAGGAGATAATTTTGATGAATCAAAGCTATTGCCCCTATAGTACCTCAACTCCAAAGATATTTGCCTCTCGAGTTGAAGTTGCTTGTAAAAGTTTGCAATAAACGCGTCGGCTCTTTCGTCGATATTATAATCATCTTGATTATTTTCCGATTGATAACTCGTTGATCTTTGAAGCCCTTTAGACAATCCCGGGCTGTTTTCCGGGGCCGAATCCTCAACAAACGCCATCAATCCGGGCCTATCGTTGAAGCTCAATCTTCTATTATTTGACGATATTACCCCTACAATGGAAGCGAGATCGAATTTCCATCTATTAACATTGAAATCGAGCAAAAACTTGATCTTGTTGACAGCCCTTCTCAACTTCCCTAGCAACAACCATCGCTCCGTCGCCATGTTTACGAATTCAAACGTTGGATGAAATATTAATAAATATGTTTAATTATATATAAAAAAATTAATAATTATTTGATTGGATGTAGATGGATAAAATGGGGTCTTACTAGGTATATATATTTATATACATACAACGTGTGTGTGTGTGTGAGAATATTGTGTGTGTTTTGTATGTGATTGACCAAGAAATTGCTGGGCAGGTTGATGGAGAAAACGTGGAGAAAAGGAGAACCGTGTTAAGTTTACAATGAAAGCTAACAGGCTGGGGCTACATTAGGGAAGACTTTATTTTCAAATGTTTGATCAATTATTAATTAATTATGATTAAGGTCATAATTAGAGTGGTTAGGTAATGCCGTTAATTAGTTGTTTTCCTCAAAATTCATAAGGATAACAATATTAAGGTGACGAAAAATCAATTTCCACAACTTATTTTTGGAGAAGTTGGTTTATGGATGTTACATTTTTTTTATATTTTAACTTAAAACGTAACAGTTTATTTAAAGAAAAGTAGAAGCGAAAATCAGTATTCCATACACTTCAAAAATGATTCTGAACCTAAAAAAATAGTACTGTAGCAAGATTGGTTTGACTTTTAAAAAATTGAATTATTTTAAATTATGAAGTATAGTCTTATATATATATATTATGTCAATAAACAACAATAGTCAATCGTAGCAATTATGAATAATTTTGCTTAAAACCAAATTAAAATAACATTTCGACTTGGTAAAAGATTTAACCTAATCAAGAAACGCGTGCTCAACATCACTAATGACGACTTTTATTTTACTTGTGTGATGACAGCATGACTTGCTATGCAAGTTCTATCTTATAACTAACCTACGACTTCTGACTATTTGACTTTATTAATTACTTGCATGCTTTTTCTTATGATTGGTCATTTTACGTACACGTGATCGAAACTTATTAGTTAAGTTTAGAGGGGAGTAAAATATCTCGTACGTTTTACACATGGTGAAATAAATCAGATAACTTCGTACGTTTTACTTATATACAATTATACAGTACACGTACTACAGATGGATGCATATGTAATTAATAAATATGTATTAATCTTCCGAGACTTTAAGCAAACCGACAAATGTCGCTAAAAAGCCCACAAGAGTCGAGCGACATGAGAAACAACCATATTTCACTTTTCCGTATAAAAGATAGGATAAATTACACATACCTCCCCGAGGTTTCAGTTAGTCCATAGTCGGATGGGGGTAAATTGTTTACTTTAACCAAACTTCAAGGCATTTATATGTAAAGTTTCAAACCTAAAGGAATGTAGGTGTAATTTCATCTAACTTTGGGGAGCTATATGTAATTTACCCTAAACAATATTTCCAAACGGGGAGTCGAATTTTTCCGCTTAGCCCTTGGTGCTAAACACGTCTTAATTTTGGGCCCACAATTCGAACCCACGTAGGCCCAAACACAGCCCACATTTTCCTCGCAAGTAAAAACAAGCTTCTGATATACCACACCGTGACCGACCAATGAGAGCGCGGAGTTGATCCACCTCAAATCTCACAGCTGGGTGACTGTATCATTTCTCTCCTCCCCCACTTCAGCTCTCTCATCTTTGGTTTCTTCAACTCAAAACCCTCGTTTCTGACTGACTGTCTCCTCTCTAAATTTTTGCTCATTTCAACAGCAGACGGCGTCGTTGCCTCCGGTGGTCGCTGCTAGCCGGCGATCATAGCTTTCATCTGTAAGAACTCTTCATTCTCCCTTTCTTCAATTGTGCACGGACTGAATATATATATACATACACACACACATATATATGCGTGTGTGAGCGCCGGTATATACTGGTTCTGTATTATGTTAATTGGCGCTAATATGCACTCTGTTTTTCCCCATTTACAAAGATGATTATATGAAACATTAATCCTCGTTTGTCTCCGTTTGACTAATATGGTTAATTGCTTCTAGAGATGAACTTTTTTTTTTGTTTCTGTGAGGTAAATCAAATACAATTTTAGGTTTATAGCTGCCGATTTTTAATTATGTCGATTTTTTTGGGAGCACATGATTTCATGTATGATTATTTGCTATGTGTTTATCATTTCTATGTATTAGTTTGCAGTAGGGAAATTGGGCGTATGAGTGGGAGTAACTGTGTAGTATTGTATGATTTCTTTTTTGGCAGAAATTTCGTTAAAGAGAAAAAAAAAGGCAATAATGGGCAACGGTCCGGCTCCATATTCAGAAATCGGCAAGCGCGCTAGAGGTAAACTTTTGAAAGGGTGTTATATGTTAGTTTAATTCCCAAAGTTTCATTTGCACTCATATTCTAGCGGTAATTTCAAAAAAATTGGTTTATATAGTGTTATGTTGTATCAAATGTTTATCTTCGTGATGCTTCATTTGTCAATGCGATATGTTTAATGTGGATTACTCTGGTTAGCTGATTTTCTGTAATGATACGTATTTGGTATTTAGTAGGTCGAGAATACATGATGTCTTTATTGCAATTATTCAAGTCGTACGTGGCTAGCATATTTGTATGTGAAATTGTATTTGGGATATCAATAATCTCCACATGTTTAATTCTGGTACCACTTCCGTAATTCGCATAATCGTAATTTGATAAGGAAGAGAGCTAATTACAATGAAATGGTATTTCGGATATGCACCACGTATTATGCTGTGTTATCAGTTATATCTGAAGTCATTAGATGTATAACCTTCTTTGTGCCAGTTCCTTTTAAAATTTGTTTTAACTTTAATTTATGTGCAACTGAACACCATAGTCTATACAGACTACTCTGAGTTTAATCCCGTTCTATTCTTTCACCATTTTTTCCTAAGTTTCAATGATGGCTATTTGCCATCTTTCTGCTGCTAAATTACTTATATTGTAGCATTGAGGGTTATAAGTTCTTGTTTTAGTATTATTTGAAATCACATGCTACACGAACTGTGGTGGTAGTTGTCAAGCGAAGCTCTCTTCATCTGTTTTGTATTCTTCAGTGTAGTTCATGCATAAAGCAACTGAGTCCTATCTGCATAAAGTTGTTCGGAGAGGAAAATTTATATCATTTTAGTGTTTCAGGGTTGCTTATTTATAATTCACCTCCTACGAGGAAACTAGACGAAAACTTCTTGGGAAAATTTTCTGAACTATGTATTTATAGTAGATTTTTTTTTGACAAATAAAAAGGATAATGCTTAAGTAGATGGTCTGCTGGTAGTATATGTATTCATTAACTCAAGCACCGTCTCCTGATTCATCATTATTTGAAATTTTGTCGTAATATTATTGCAATATTTTTGTTTGTGGTTATTTATTTTGTTTTCTGTACACATTCTCAAAGATCTGTGCCTTATATCTTTATTTTAATATGCTTATTTTGTACGCAGATCTTTTGACGAAAGACTACAATTATGATCAGAAATTCTCCCTCTCAGTTCCAAGTTCCACTGGAATGGTACACCAATATCTTGTACTTGCATTAGTTTTATGATCCAACTTGCCTGTCGAAGCTTTAATTTTCTTATTATGATCTACATGGGATGTCAAAGCAATTTATTTTGACAAGACATATAACGAGTTGAGTATGGATCAAGCTTTAGTTTCTGCTGTATTTTTCACTGATCTCAGTTGGGATAGACGAAATATTTTGTTCCATTTTTTCTTATTAAAGTAATAACCAACTGGACTCGAAGCTATTTTGATTGCATTTCATACGCTATACGATAAACATGGAAAACTATTTGCCAAGTTGTTTCAATTACCAATTTTAAAAGATTCGGTTGTAGGTAGCCATTTTTTCTGCTCTACTTAGATTTGATAATCTGGAATTTAACTAGTTAGTTGCATATACAATCATACAAAACTATACCTGGAAATGCAAAATTTTATCAACTGCTCCACAATATTAACTATAGTTTGTCCTTTTGACAGGCACTTACAGCTACTGGTATAAAGAAGGATCAAATATTTGTTGGTGACCTAAGTACCCAGTACAGAAGTGGAAAAACCACTGTTGATGTTAAAGTTGACACCTATTCGAAAGTAAGAAGAATATCCTTGCAATTACAGCTGATTGAGTTGGAGTAGCTAAATAGAATTGTTTGTATGATTGAGTAATTTCTATTCAGAGATTTATCCTCTAATTCTCAGTGGACCATCCGCGTATTTTTGTTTATATATCCTTATGGTGTCATCCATTTACAGGTTTCTACAAAGGTGACTTATGATGTGGTGCCTGGAACAAAAGCAGCAATCAGCTTTAATGTTCCTGATAACAAGTCCGGGAAGGTACTCAATTTGCAATGTGCACTTTTAAAACTTACAGATGTTTTTGTTGTGCATGGGTTTCGATTTTTTTTTTTGTGTTTTTGAAATTTTTGAATCTACGTATTAAGTTTATTTTGGTCGAGACGAAGGAAAACTGACACCATTCACTCAGTAATTTAATGATTTCTTGTGTTGGAAGAAGTTAAGTGTGGATAAGCTCTACTATGGAGTAGAGAGCTTTTTTAAATTGCATTGCTGAATGACTTCTAAAAACCCGTTTTTCTAATTACATTTTTTTATAATTTTTAATTCCTGGAGTTGTGTCCTAGGTGGCATAGTGATGTACAAAGGGTCTTAACCTTTCTCATGTCGTTTCAATATAGTGATGATTGTGTACCCTCTACCCCCAGTGGTTAAATATTTTGTGAGAGACGATTTCTTGTGCTATACTATGTTAGTCTTCCATATGGACTGCAGTGAATTGCATAATTGTTTCTTTCTTTGTTACGAAACTCATTATATGAAGAACTTTCAACGATTTGACTTTGAACATCCTGCAATGTGGGTAAAATTTTGTTTCCAATGACCTTGTTGACCTTCTATACGTTCCTACAATCTGGGAGCAGATTCTGCCACAATGCATGAACCTGATTATTTTGCCATTGACATCATCATTATTCTCCTTCTCGATACAGAGACTCTCGAAAGAGTCTGATTGATATATCAGCTAAAAGATAATGTAGTGTCGTATACATGGTTTTTATTGAAGTATGGTTTAGAAACAATATAGATATCATGGGTTTTTTTTTTATTTTCAGCTTGATGTACGTTACCTTCATCACCATGCTGCTATCGATGCCAGTATTGGCCTGAACCCAAGTCCTCTTCTGGAAGTTGCTGCAGCAATTGGCTCCAAGGATATAGCTATTGGTGGTGAAGTGGGATTTGACACCTCATCTTCATCCGTTACAAAGTGCAATGCTGGAATAACCTTCAACAATCCCGACTTTTCTGCAGCTGTTATACTGTATGTAACACTCTCTATTTCTCCATATTTCCATTTAATTTTTCTTTGATTTCTCTAATTACTTTTCAATGTAATTTACGAGGGGTGGGTTCAACTTACATAGAAAAAGTCGATGAAACTATAAATAGTGGGGGGCGAGCCAATGGCATTGTTTGATGTTTGAATCTTTGTGAAATTTGCTCGAAACAATCTTTGAGCAAATTATCGTCTGAATGAACTAATTTAGCTGCAAATTTAATCACGAGGGACTATCTTCAGCTAACTTTAGCTCCCTTCGCACTTATTATGCAAAAAGAATTTAGAATTTATATTTTGGCTCTTGTAGGACTGACAAGGGACAAACGGTGAAGGCTTCATACGCTCACTTGGTCAACCCAGTGACCGGAACAGAGGTGGCTGCTGAAATGACCCACAGATTATCTGATTTCGGCAACAGTTTCAGCATCGGAAGTGTCCATAGAGTTGACCCTCTGACCTTGGTCAAGACCAGATTCTCCGACAATGGAAAAGTTGCTATATTGAGCCAACGTGAATGGAGGCCTAAATCAGTTGCAACACTTTCAGCAGAGTACGACACTAAGTCCATCAATGTAGCACCGAAACTCGGCCTCTCGATTGCTCTCAAGCCCTGAATTTGCTGACAACTCTATTTGGGGGGCTCTAATTTCATGAGGGGTTTTATTTCGAATTTCGTACAATTTTTTTTCAACTGCCCAGGTGGGGTTTAATATTTCATTGAGATCCGTGCGGGAGAATCATACCCGTTTTTTGACCGTATTGAAATAATGATGATAATGTCGAAAGAATTTGTTACAAGAAAATGGATATTTGTTGTAAATTTTGCCTGTGAGGCAATCAATGGTCATTGTTTTTTTTAAATATTGGAAATTTTATTTATTGACTCTGTTGGTACTGACATTGACTCACCCTCGAACATAAATAAATAAAATAAAATAAAATGATTTGGATATTTGGGGAAACTTGGGGAAGAAGAAAGAGTGAGTGAGTTGGTGAGTGAGTTGTATGGCCGGCGATCTAGTTTATAAACCTGGAACGTTCAAAGTGGTTGGCGGCGTTCGCATGCTGATCGAGTTTATTACATCTTCCAAAGTATTGATTGACAATGGCTCCTAGGAGCTTGGTGTCTCTTCTGTTTTCCCGAAAAGGGGCAGCCGGAGTTTCAAATTGGATATGCCGGCGGCGGATGAGCACGTTGAGCGTCTCAGATGGATCTTATCGGTCGACAAAGGTATTGCTGCCTTGGCTGATGCTACCGCCAGCCGTCGAAGGCGGGCAAGTGACTCACAACTTCTACAGCCTCGGCGAGAGCAGAGTATTGAGCCTCAGAGGCGGCGACGGTTTAAAATTAGGTTTTAGCATCTACGACACTAAATTCGTGGGATCTTCAAAGGGTTGGCTAGCTTTGCTGGATAAGACCAACAACGATCTGTTCCTCACGAATCCCCTCTCCCGACGCCACCTAAAGCTTCCGACCGTCCCCGGCCCATTCAACCCTCTCGACATATTCGGGTGCGTATCCAGTCTCATCACCTCATTCTCTCCCAACGAAGAAGAAGAAGAAAACTGCCGCGCAATGATGATTTACGGATATGAACTAGCATTTTGCTGCCCCGGCCGCAGCACCGAGTGGACTCCGATTGGCTCTCGTCTTACCAACGACGGCTTTAATGGCTCCGAGGGGGTTAGAGTCTACGAGTCCTTTGTCTACTCCGCCACACAAGAGTTGTTCTTCTGCGTCACCGAGAACAGCGATTTCGAGGCTTGGGATCTGCGTGACCCGCACTCTCCGGTGATGATTCCGATGGACGACGTGTCCGCGGACCCGGAGATGTACCCCGTCGCCCACCGTTCCCGTGAAGAGTTGGTCATGAAATATATGTGCTGGAGGGTGAGATCCCTCGTGGTAGACGAGAAATCCGGTCAACTTTTTCTGGTGATTAGGTTCGTGGCTAATGACGTGGACTCTAATGGCTCCTTTGTCCGCCTGATCTCTGCTACGATTCCGTGAACCTGTCGTATGATGAAAGTTTACCTTACAAGACTATCGATTTTGATGTTCGTAAATACGATCCGGAGAGGAGAGCATTTATGTATGTGGATCATGGTTGTTCGTTGGGGGGGGGGACGACGACGGTCTGGCCTTATTCATAGGTACAAACCACAGCTTTGCCATCTCGGCCAAAGACTACCCGGAGGGATTTGTGAAGCCCGATTCGATTTACTTCACTGATGTTCTTATGAATGACTTTGATAATGACGAGCTCGATTATGGTGGGCATGACATCGGCATTTTCAGCTACAAGGATCGGTCTTTCTCGCCGTGCTATTACCCGTCTGATGCCAAGAGCTTTCAAAGGATTTCACCATCTCCAATCTGGTACACTCCGACCCCGCCGCCACTCTAGTTCTCTACTTACGAAGCTTCATGAAACGTTTTATAACCGCTACGCTACCCATATAACTTGCGAGGAGGTACTAATTAACGCGCTGGTCTACAAGTCTAATAAACATAAACAACGTCTAGTTTTAATATTTTAAAGGGTTAATTGCATTTTGCCACCTGTACTTTGCCCGTTTTTGCGTTTTGCCACCTTAACTAAAAAAAGTTGCACGGGCACACCCAAACTCCTTTTTTTGACGCACATAACCACCTAAGGGGAATATTCTGTCGAATCTTCTCATTTTTCCGGCGCACGTGCGATGCACATGCTTAATGTGAGGACTTTTTAGTCTTTTAATCTGAAGATATCATGTGGGGTTAAAATTGAAAGTTCAAAAGGATGAAATTGAAAGATTGAAAGTTCCAAGGGGTGATATTGAAAGATATTAAACTCTCATTCTTCTTCTTCAATGGAAGTCTATCCGTCATTAATCTGTTCTTTGAACTAACATCAACTTTTGAAAAAAAATCCAAGTTTTAACAAAAATAAGGGGTTATATCTTCTCTCATCAATTTAATCAAAAATCTTGTGAGGCAATCTTGGTCCTCAATTTGGAACTTTTCTCGATGTTCCTCGTGATTGTCATATTGAGTTCCAAAAACGAAAGTTCCATATTGAGCCCATAGTTTTACTCTGGCCATGGATGATTGGGCAAAAATCTTCCTCACAAATTCCTCCTAGTTGCACACCACGCGACTCCACATGTTGCTGCTCTTCTTCTACTACTTCATCTGCATTGTATCCCACCTTTGTTTTCATAGTTGAATTTCTCCCACAGACACATATATACAACGCAATTAATTTCAACATTTACTGTAAACCAAAAAAAACATTGAGAATTAGAAAGAAAGAGAGAGAATTGCCTGCATAGTGGAGCATTCAAAGCATTGGAAAGGGTTTCTTTGAAAAATATTAATGGGGAGAAACTCCCATAGAAGAAGACCCACTCCCATGGAAGAAGAAGACCCACAACTCTATTTCAATTAATTTAGAATTTGGGCAAGTTTTAAATGAAGTTCAATTGAGTCCTTAAACTTTCAGTTTTATCTCACATGATATCTTCAGATTAAAAGACAAAAAAAACCATGTATTTAGTCATGTGCATCGCACGTGTGCCGGAATCTTTCAAGATTCGCCGGAATATTCCCACTAGGTGGTTATGTCCGTCAAAAAAACAAGTTTGGATGTGCCCGTGCAACTTTTTTTAGTTAAGGTGGCAAAGCGCAAAAACGAGCAAAGTACATGTGGCAAAATGCTATTAACCCTATTTTAAATATCTCGTGTGGTTTGCAAGCTATCTGCAATTTTACGAGGATGAAATTTATTCGTATGGTTGTAGATTTCTCTTTTCCATAAAAAAAAAAAAAAAAAATTAATGAAGACATTAAACCTGTCAAAAACTTATTGTTATTAGTCGAATATTATTCCACCAATTAAGATGTTGCTTATTTTTTTACATTTAAGAAAATGATTTAATGTTGAAACTATATTATTTTTTGAATCAATTCTGATTATTTTCATCTTTTTATTATCTTTTTAAATTATCAAGTTTAGGGCAAATTACGGCCACCTGGAGTTATGGTTAAATTATGAAACTTCCCTCATGTTTGAGTAATTACAATTACCTCACAACTATATATTATCTTACGAAAATTCCCTCCTGATATAATTTAAGAATATTAAATCGGTACGCCAACATTTCACACCATTTACCGAACTGAATAACCGAATTACATAAATTTTATGTAAAAATATTTAAAATGAGGGGTACCTGTAATTACCCAAACAAAAGGGGTTTTTTGGTAATTTGACGGCCGGTAATTTGCCCATAAGCTTAATTCAAATATATAAAGTAAATCGAGCTGAATTAGTGTAGTGTAGACCGAGTAAATAATAATACTAATTTTCAACTGAATTTCGAAGAAGAAAATGGAAAAATCAACTTTTTATACAATTAATCAGTCGTAGCAGCAATTCTCTCTCTCCCCCACCGGACCTGATCACCACCGCTTCCCGCCGCCAATACTCCGCCGCTCCCTGACCTGAATTCAACGCGCATCGTCAATTTCCGATCAACTTATACATACACAATGTCCCACAGCGACACGATCCCGCTGCACCCGAGCTCGCAATCGGACATCGACGAAATTGAGAATCTCATCAACTCCTACCCCTCCTCCGTCCTCCCCGCCCGCCCTCCGTCTCCTCCACGCGCCTTCATCCCCATCTCCTCCAACCCCCCACCGCCTCCTTCATTCATCCCCTCCAATCTGCCCCCTCCCTCCATCCCCAAACCTACGCCCCTCCTCTCCTCCGCTCCTTCGGTCACCTCCGCCGCCCCTCCCAAGCCGCCTGTTCCCCCGCCGCGTGGATCCACCAGCACCAGCGGAATTGCCGGATCTGGGTTCGGGTCGGCCCCCAATACTCTGACGGAGCCCGTTTGGGATACCGTTAAGCGTGATTTATCGAGAATCGTAAGCAATTTGAAGCTGGTCGTTTTTCCCAATCCATTCAGGGAGGATCCAGGGAAGGCGTTGAGGGATTGGGATCTATGGGGACCCTTTTTCTTCATTGTTTTTCTCGGCCTCATTCTCTCGTGGTCTGCCTCCGTTAAGAAGGTACGCCTGGATATAATTTAATGTTATTTTCATCTTAAAGGTGATATGTGCTGCAGTTTGTGTTCAGCATACAGTTTATCTATGAATCATTTAAATTTGTGTAAGCATGTGAATCGTGTGTGCCTTGCTTATCATTTCCTGAGAATTATGTGAGCTCTGTTTGTTAGTTCGGGATCGTTTTCATTAACTAGTGGACTTATAAATTGATGCCGTGTCGAAGTAGAGGTGGTTATATGTCTCGTTAAGTATCAATTGGATCTCTTGAATTCTTATATTCGTCATTTTGGCATGATTGAGTGTAGTTATTATGTATTGAAATCCTTGGTGGGGGGATTTGGAAATCATTTCAAGAACTCAGTTCAAAATACTTCCGACTTTTAAACCGAGCCTAGCTTGGCCCCATGGTGATAATTGGAGAATTGTAATTGTAGCATGAAGGTTATTTTGACCTGTTTTGTCTGCATTTTTATTTAATTTTTTTTTTTGGATTGTATGGCATCATCGTTTTTTGTGGTTAGTGTATTGGCTATATATTCCATCTGGTTGTGGTAAGGCTCAAGTGTTCTTTATATTGCAATCTCCGTTTTTTCTTACGCATTTATAGGTGATGTTTGACGATGTATGGCCATTCTACTATTTGACACTCTTTTGAGTAACAAAATTAGATATCGGGTTTAGTTTTTAGAGTCAATGACCAGCTAGAAGTTGTGTCCACTTGTCCTAGAAAAAGGAATTTGTGATTGCTTAAAAATATTTTCTGCATTTTCTTTTTCCTGTTTGAAGGGAAGCAACTGATGGATAGTCTTGAAAGTTATAGGTGTTCAATCATGCAAATATCAAATGTTAGAACCAGTTGCAAACATAGTTTGTGGTTTTCTTTGCAAGCACACGACACACATCAATATTTGCTTCTATTGCATGTTGCTTGCTGCAGAATTTTGTATACTTTTTCGCTAACACCCTTATTTCACACCTTTGAATTGTTTTACAGTCTGAAGTTTTCGCTGTCGCATTTGCACTTCTTGCAGCAGGAGCTGTAATTCTTACCTTGAATGTCTTGCTGCTGGTAATATCTATCTCTCTCTCTCTCTCTCTCTCTCTCTCTCTCTCTCTGACACGCGCACACACACACACACATTTATGATGGGCTTTTTCTATTCTCATCTTCATAAACCTACACACATGAAACGTATAATTCTCTTTCTGATGTAGATTCAGCATTCTATTACAACGTGAAACTTTTCCAAAAACGACGTGGAAACCTTTTTCAATGCTAATGATTTATGTTATGCTAATCTCTTAGGGAGGCCACATTATCTTCTTCCAAAGCCTGAGTCTCCTAGGTTACTGCCTATTCCCTCTGGACATCGGTGCCTTAATTTGCATGTTAAAAGGCAACGTAATAATCAAAGTGGTTGTGGTTGCTTTCACATTGGCTTGGAGCTCGTGGGCTGCGTATCCGTTCATGAGTACAGCTGTCAACCCTAGGAGGAAAGCTCTTGCCCTTTACCCCGTTCTACTTATGTATGTATCTGTCGGTTTCCTCATTATCGCCATCGACTGAAAATAATACTATATATAGATGTTGGCTTATTATAACAATGGCTGATTAATTAGCTGATCAAGTTACTTGTGTGGAATTTGACCATTTTGATTGCAATATAAATTTTTGCCATGATTTTGGGCTTTCTGAGAAATTGCTTGTAATATTCTTTTTGTTTTTTTCTCTCTCTTAGTTTGGATTTGTTGGGGTTTATATCATATATATGTAATGTAGTAAGTAAACATTTCTTGTTAAAAAGAAAAGGAAATTGGTGGCTTCTTGAATTTGTCATTCTGCCGAATATGTAAGGATCGTTTGGGATTTGTGATTAATTATCTTGTGATTTTTGACAATCATTTTTCACATTAGGTATATTTTTTTGTTCATTTCTTATATAATTGGGCAAATTACGGCCACCCCTTGAGTTATGGTTTAATTACGAAAACCCCCTCTTGTTTGGGTAATTAAACCCACCTCCCTCAACTATGTATTATCTTACGAAAATACCTCTCCACCCCTTTAGTTATGGTTTAATTACGAAAATCTCCCTCCTGTTTGGGTTATTACACCCCCTCAACTATGTATTATCTTACGAAACTGCCCCTCCAGAGGTAAATTTAGGTATGTTAAATCGGTAAAACCGAACCGAAATTTTGGTACGCCAACATTTCATACCGCTTACCGAACTGAATTTACGATTTAGTTCGGTAAATAACTGAATTACATAAATTTTATGTAAAAATATTTAAAAGGAAGGGGATGACTATAATTACCCAAACAAGAGGGGGGTTTTTTTCGTAATTTGGTCATACCTCGGGGGTGGCCGTAATTTGCCATATATAATTTGATATTAATTGTATGATGATTAAAATAAATAAATAAAACCCTTCATAAACGGCCGGAATATAATATAATCTCGATAAATTAATAACCTTGTCTAATTAATATGCTTTCCCGATCCCAACTTGAGGATAGCGTGTTAAAGAAAATAAAAATATCGTTAAATTAATAAAATTTGGCTGATCTCGACTGTGTTAATTTATAAAGTTGGATAAATGCAAATTTTTATAAGTGATAGTTGATACTTGAAGAACTGCAGAGAAAAGGAAAGAATAGAGACCTAATTAAACCCTTCGCTTTAAAAACGCTTAAACAAAAATCAGAGCCAAATTAACAACATTAGTTATAGCTTCAGAGCAAAAACCTTTTGGTTCTCTGCTTCTCAGCCGCTTCAGACTGACTGCACTTCATACATCTTTCGTTCTTACCATGGACATTGTTAAGGTAAACCCTAATCTTACACGCACCAACACATTTTATTGTGTGTATCTTTATGCCGGCGTATTTCCAAAATTGAGCTATTTGTTTCCCCCCCCCTAATGAATCATCATATTCTGCAAATTTTAGTTATGGAAATGCAATTTTGTTCGGACTGATTTTCTCTAGGTTTTATTTATTTATTTACTTATTTATTACTTATTAAGGCAACAAAGATGAGTCGTGTTTAGCTAACTCCTTGTGCAAATTCAGGATGGGATTGATGATGAATTTAGATTGTTTCTCAAGCTTTCTGAAACTGATCCCTTTTTCGAAAAGAAGCAGGTGTGGGGATTTTTTTTTTATTTATTTGGAGCAATTAATTACGTCTTGTTTTTTACTTTATGAAATGAAAATGCAATCGTTGCCTTACAAGATTTGCTATGTTTTCTTGTAATAGAAATTACTAGTGGCTATGGGTTTCGACCCCAACATTTCGCCGTGCGTTAAAATCTCATCTACTCCCGATCAGCTGAATGATTTCTTAGATGCATTGGTTCGACGGGCAAGACTCGTGAACTTCAACGAGGTAATATTATTCTCCGTAACGTTTATCTTCGTAGGATGCAAGTTATTTATCTCTAATGAGTAGCTGAAACGCCTCGTGATGGCTTATGTTTCAGATAGAACTATATTTCGGTGGAGATGTAGTTAATCTCAAAGATTGTAATAGCCCAAGGAATGAAATGGAAGCCCTCCATTCGATTCTTGAAGCCATTGATAAATCGCCCTCCGCTGAAAATTACGCTACGAAAAATATACAGCAATGTTTACGAGAGGAAATTGTTTTGAGGCTCGATAATGTCGGAGAAAAAATTGAGGAGGAGACCGTAATAATTGGAGACTTCGGCTGTGACAAAGAAAAGGGTCTACTTGAATGGGGTGTCGAAAATGGTGTAAAGACGAAACTGGATATAGCTTGTGAGTACATTTTAACAATGTGTTGTATTTACTATTTAGCCATTCTTTGATGAGAAAAAGGAAAAGGGCTAATATGATTTTTTTTCTCATTTTCTTGATTCTTGTTTGATTTAGGTGTTGAAGGAGCGGGTAGAGGGGCGATAGCTAAAGAGGACTTACAAGTTGGAGATATTGCTATGGAGATTCCTGTATCTATTATCATATCTGAGGAGCTTTTGTATGAGTCTGAAATGGTAATTTTACACTGCTCAAACATCATTAAACTAATCGTTCGATATGCAGTTTTTCCCTAACTTGCATATTATAAATAATATTATCTTGAAGGTAGTTTCCGATTTTGGAAAAAGTTGACGGGATTTCTGAGGAGACAATGCTGCTCTTGTGGAGCATGAAGGAAAAGTACAACAAAGACTCCAAGTTCAAATTGTATTTCGACACTCTGCCCGATGATTTTCAGACCGGTAAATCATGTTATTCTTGTTCTTGATTTCGGATGAATCTTTTTTAAGAATTTCCTAACACATAAACTTCGCCACTTGATTATTTTCGATAAAATCAGGATTGAGCTTTGGGATTAGTGCTGTCATGGCTTTAGATGGATCTTTGCTGTTAGAAGAGATTATGCAAGCCAAAGAGGTAAACTGTGCAAGAAAAATCTCGACACGAAACTCCAAATTGACTTACCACCCTAGTTTTTCTTGGTATTTATCACCTCTATTTTCTCTTCGTTAGTTTTCACTATTTCCATTTTTTTTCCAGCACCTACGCACCCAATACGACGAGTTATTTCCAGCATTGTCAAACTATAATCCTAATATATTTCCGCCAGAGCTGTATACATGGGAGAAATTCTTATGGGCTTGTGAGCTTTGGTACTCAAATAGCATGAAAGTTATCTTCACCGACGGAAAACTAAGAACATGTTTAATTCCTATTGCTGGCTTTCTCAATCACTCGGTAATATTCGAGTATTTCTTTGCAAGTTAGCCGTTTTTGCACCTCGTTTTCTTACATCATTTTTTTTGTTTTAAACAGATATGCCCACACATAATGAACTATGGCAGAATTGATGCAAAGACAAATTCGTTAAAATTCCCTTTATCAAGAAAATGCGGTTTAGGGGAACAATGCTTTCTTAGTTACGGAAACTTGTCCAGTTCTCATCTATTGACTTTCTATGGCTTCTTACCGAAAGGCGAAAATCCGTTTGATGTTATTCCACTCGGTAACTTAGTTCTTATATTTCAACATATAATAAACAGTATGAGTTCAATATGTAATTTTTTTATAAATGTGGAATTACAATCACTTTTTTATTTTATTTATTTATTATTATTTATCATCGTTGTGTGTATCAGATTTTGATATTGCTCAAGATGAAGAATCCGAATTTGGTGCATCTGTGTGTGAATGGAGCTCTCACATGGTTCGTGGGACTTGGCTATCGAAAAACCACGAGATATTTTATTATGGATTGCCACCTCCATTGTTGGATCATCTTCGAAAAGCTAGAAATCCAGCCTGGCGGTCAAACGACCTTGTTAGTCGACTATTTGCTTACTCTGGAATTATTTAATGAAATCTTCGATTGTACTCGGAGTAATTTATTTTTTTATGAATGTTCTTTTTCAGACACGGGAAATCTTGGAAAATGAAATTGATGTACTTGGAGATTTGAGTTCTACTTTCGAAGGAATGATGGAAGCCCTCGGTGATGAAGAACTTGAAGAGAGGTACCTTTATGGTTATGTTTAATATATTGCATTCGGATCCTTCAAGTTATGTCTAATTAGACTTGGACCCCTCAAAGTTTGGAAGTTACACGAACCTCCCCATCGTGTTTGGTTCCGACCATCATCGTCAATTACTCAATCTCATAAGTCAAACATCGAGGGTGATTTGTGTAGTTTTTCAAAATTGAGGGTGTTTACTCGTAACTAGACGAACTTTTAGGGTTGAAAAAAAAACATTATATCTTGATGAAACGTGTTTTTTGTAGAGAAAACGAAAGTTGGGATGTAAAGCTTGCAATGGAGTTCAAAATTTTGCAGAGGAGGATTGTTTCATCAATCTTAACTTCATGTAGTGCTGGCTCTGATTTGTTACAGTCTGAATTGCTCAAACTAGCACCATAGTTTTTTTTAGTTTTTATTCCAAAAATATATATATATATATGTTAATTTTATTTTTAAAATTTGATCATGGGGTTGTAGTAATAAATTATAATGTGTGACATATGCTTCAATTTTTGACTTGATTTTGTTCAATATTCAATGCATATAGAATTTAATTGTTGGGTGTTTGAAATTTTTAGTAATGTCAATAATGTGACACGAATATTTTTTTTTGGTATGAATTAATGAATTAATTGTTAATTGTTATTGACTTGTGACTCGGATTGTACTGATGTTGACTCACCATCCAACACCAACATAAAAATGATAAACTATGATAAAAATGATCACGAAATCCAAACAGCATATTATTTATAATTTCTTTAATATGCTACTATATTTTATAAAATTATTTATTTCGACTAAATTTTATTCCACAAACCACCATAAAAAGAATATAAAATGATTCCTTTTTTTTTTCTAAGAGGAGCATATTTATTATTCTTTAATAAAGAATATATAAAAATATTAAAAAGAGCATCCCACTTGCATTACGGTGGGGACCACCGCACAAAAATCGGGTGGTTGCCGCCGACGATTGAACGTAGGCCACCCACCACCACCACCACCACCACCACGAAGACTCCCCATTACCAATTAATAAATGACCCATATCAAACCACAGCTAAAAATATATTAAATCAAATTTTAAAAATTTTAATCCTTTTCTCTATATAAATTTATTATTTTTTTAATTTTACTAATTATTTCATGCTTGAAAAAAACATACATGAATTATTTGGCTCCCTAATATTAGTGGTTGACTACAATCTGACCCATGCACCTGCCTACACAAAACTAATTAATTAACAACGCGAAAAGAAATAAAAAATAATAATAAATAAATATATATAAATAGCATAGAAAAACTTTATAAAAGGGAAAAGAGAAGTAAATATTTATATAATAATTAGTAGTAATTAGAAAGACAGAAACAGACAATTATTAGAGGAATTAAAGAAGAAAACAAAAGCAAACTCTCCTTTCTTTCTTTCTCTCTCTCTACTTTCTCTCTCTTTCCTTGTGTTGTCTGCTTTCGTAATCCCTCTTCCCTTCTTTGCTTCCCCGTAGCAGAGAAGAGAAGAGAAGAGACAATCTCTGACATTCATGACAAAGAGACAAACACAATCGAACAATTATATATGTATATGTGTATATATATTTGCTAATTTTGAAATCGGTTGTTGTTTGATTTGTTGAGAAGAAAGAAATTAGAGGGGGGAAAGAGATGTTGGTCGGAAATAGTTTTGATTTATGGCAAAAGGACACCTTCTTTCCCGCTGCCGAGGAGGTTCAGCAATCCGCCGATATGTGAGTTTTTTCCTGTGTAAACCCCCAAATTACCTTCTCTCTCTCTACAATTTTGTTCATTTGATTTTATTTCAATTTTCTTCTGTTTCGTGTAGATTCATATGGGTCCTCTCTGTTTAATTCATATGCCGTTAATCTGCTTGTCCAATTTTTTGATAAATTAGGTCTTGAGGGGTTTTAAGATGGTTTTGAGGAGGTTCTGAAAAATTGGTGTTTCTTTGCTTCAATTGCTCTTTAACCTAATTATCCCCCTTTTGACATTTATGGCTTTTTTTCATTACTTGCTTCTTTTTGGGAGATTATTGTTGATTAGTTGGGGGGAGTTGTGTATCTCGTTTATGTATGTATTTGGTAATCAAGAAGAAACGAAACGATTATTGGGACATAGAATGCTGATATTTTTGCTGAAATAGGATTTAATTTCCTGATATTGTGTATATGCTATGCTTTCGGCAGAATGGAATCGGCTTATAGGACATGGCTCAGAGCGAGGAAAGAAGGTTCGATGCCTCTGCATTTAGATGAACTTGGCAGAGAGCTTCAAATGGCTTTAGGCACTGCAAAATGGCAGGTCACGTACTTGATTTTGCATCATATATTTCCTAATTTTCATTTTAACTATGCGGGATTCATTTTTCACGTTAAAATCACTGCTCTTGTACGATGCTATCATGTCACAGTGAAAATGGAAATAGTCTTTACTTGTTTATTGAAGTTTTTTTTTTTTTTTTTTTCTTCCAAAATTGGATTGTTGTATTAAACAGTTGGAAGAGTTCGAAAAGGCTGTTCGTTTAAGCTACAGAAATAGCGGTGATGACATCACAATCACCCGACATAGGCAATTCCTTTCTGTTATAGAAGACCAAATCTCCCGTGTCGAAATTGCATTGAAGGAAGCACTGGATGTGGAAGGAAAGAAACCATTTCGGTGGGTAAACTTGGATGAAGAAGAATGTGATGACCTGGCTCTTTTTCTTTCGGGGGCCCCACAAAGGAGGATCAAAGACGAAGATATAATAAAGATGGGAGCAGCAGCAGCAGAAACTAGTTCTCGCATTTTCGGTTCTGATGTTAGTCCCAAAGTGAAAACGCAAAATCTGTCGGAAAGTAGTAAGGAGATCAACTGCTATATAGAGCTACAAGAGAAAAAAAATCCCGAAATTAGCTGTGAAGAAAGGGTTGCTCTCGAAATTGTTGTTGATAATGATAATAGACAGAGTAATGCATTGGTTGAAGTAACTCCAAAAGAGAAGGGTTTCAGACCTTTCTTTTGGAGGTCGAGGGGCGGAAACTGTACTCATATGAGATTGATAAATTGGATGAATCGGGTAAGTGCGAATAATAGTTCGTATCAATTAATTAGTTGTTAATTTTTAATTTCTTTCTTGTGATTATGCATAATGCTGTATTTTGTGTCTGGTTGCAGCATTTGGGAGGAGGTTATAGAAGTCAAAGACAACAGCATGTGTCGCAAGTGATGCCGATCAAATCTATACGTTTCATATTAGTGTTGATGCTAACCGTTTTTTTAGTTGGTATTGCTCTTTCTCTATTAACTTTTTATTGACATTTACATAAGACAAATTACTTTTTTGGCTGTTTAGAAAATCGAAATATATGCCTTTCTTCGGATGCTATTAACATATATATGCCTTTCTTGAAATTTAAATTGCCAATAGTAGATTTGTGTTTTTGTGATTTTTGATTAAGCTTTTACCGTTTTGCCTTGAGTAATGCTACCATCTTATTTCAATTATATCTACATCTTTGGAAAGTACATCAACAGTTTTGTACTAATTAGTATAAAGTCTCGTTCGGGAATTTGTTTAAATAGTTTAATGTTTGTGTATGCGTAGCAAGATAACCGTGGAAATAGTGCTAAGTTTCATTCTTGAATTTCTGCAGTGCCTTTTCTGGTCTACTCGACTTGAGCCATGTTAAAGCCATTTGATTAGTCAAAACAGGTATGTGTGTATCTATATATCTATATATATCTATATATACATGTATGCATGTATATGTATATTCAGCATTTGCTGGTAACTTATTCTCTTTGTTGGTTCGCATTTGTGACAGAAGTTCGTAAACGGGAGGGGCTTCTTCAATTCAAATGTGGATATATTATTTCTATTTGAATGACCTCTCTACGTGCTCGTAAAGCTAATTTCCGTTATCAAAAAATAAATTCACAAATTCATTAAGCTAGATTCATCGAAATACACTTTCAAGAATATCGACTGCGTAGAATGTAGAAGTAATTTATAAAGAAAAGAAGCTGAAAAAGGTGTTGTGTACTCGTTATCGTTAGCATTCTCATTCGAGATGTGTATGTATGTAAAATGTGTTCTCTCTTCATAGATCTCATAGCAAGATTAGAGTTGGTATATTTATTTACGAGTACTCAATTAAGATAATGATTTATTTTAATATGTAAATAATATATATAATTATTATTTTAGTGTATTTTTTTTTTTCACTTTTGATTTACACACAATCACACATATAACTCGATGAGGTCCACCGTGTGTAACAACGATTGGTGCGGCTGAAATCAATTGCAGATATTTGTATTGGACTCGTAAATAAATTAAATGATTCGATATTATCATGAACACAATGTTTTTTCTTCTTCATATAAGTTACATGTATCGAACTTTTTTTATGAGTTTGAATTAATAGGGTGTTTGGCTAAGCTTATTTTAAACAGCTGATGAGCTATTACGTCTGATAAGATGTTTTAAGAGCTGATAAGCTGTTACATCTTATTTTTAGGATTAATTTTTCGAGTGTTTGGATAATGGGCTTATTTCCTATTTTTACTCATTAAAAGATTTTAAATAAAAAAGTGGGGTAGAGGTACTTATTTAAAAAGATCTTATTTGCTCTCCAACAGCTTATTTTAAAAAAAATTAAGATCTTTTTCTAAAAATTTACCAAACACTATGGAAGAGCTTATAAGCTCTAAAACATCTTATAAGCTCCTTTTAACATCTTATAAGTTTAGTCAAACACCCTCTACATCGAATTTGAAAGTCGAAGAAAAAAGAAAATGTTAATTATTACACTAAAAATAAAAAAATAATAAAAATAAAAATCATAAAATTGGTGTAATTAATGTGAGCAACAAGAGGCTTGTGAATTACATTTATTTGATTATGTAAGTGGACCCACACGACAAAATTAATATTATCTTTTTTTTTTCTCATTCAAAACGTCTCATGTATAGACAACATCATCATAATCAAACTATACACACACAACAACGTTATCATCAAATTGTGCCAAAACTTACTCAAAAAATTAAAAAAAAAAAATAAAAAAAATTGTGCTCACAACTCATTGCTACACTACGCTATCTTCCACGCAAAGCTAACGTGCGCTTCTTTTTTATTATAACTGTCAAAACTCATCATCTACACGCTATGTTATGTCTAACACCCATTTCGGCTTCCGAAAGCCGAAATGTGATAAATATCGTTACAGCTTTGATAATACTGTTTCGATTTCAAATTCAGTATTAGTAAAATTGAAGCTGACATTTAACATTTCAGCTTCCGATTTTATGCAAAACATTTGTCATATATTTTTTTTTTGAAATTTTATTATATATGCAATACATGTTATATGTCATGAAAGTACATTATATTGCTTTTTATTTAACAAATAAGTTTAATAACTTTTGTCACCATCTAATTAACATTAGCTAAGTGTAAACATCAACTTTATTGTGGAAACTAAATTCTGGTACAAGAAATTAAATAAATTATTTAACATTCAAAATTAAATATCACATGATAGTAATAAATAATTAAATATAAAATATGAATATTTTAATTTTGCGAAGGCACGTGAGCGATAGATGAAGAGACAGCGATACTTGCATGATTTTTGCAACTCAATACCCTTATCAGATCATGCCCCCAAGAATTTCTCCGGCGTTCGTTTCCTCTCGCCGGAACTTTACCTCCGGCGAACATGCTCCCTGTATTCGGCCGGCGAATCTGCCGGTTTTTCATATCCCGGAGATCCATTTCCTGCTGAATTTTCACCGGACCAAACATCATCAAACCAATCCACTTACTCTTCGAAATTACCTTCCACCCCTCCGATTTCGCCGCCGAACTAATTTTCGAAGAACTCCGGTGGGTATCCGACGTCGCTTCACGGCGGCGGTGGGTGTTTGGCGTCGTCGTCAGCTCGAAGTATCTTCTTGGTAAACGATCGTCGTCGTTTGTGTAATTAGCGTCGTCTGCAGACAGGGATTTGATCAGGATTTGGTGGCGGTGGATATGGCCGCCGCCGTGGTGGTTATTGTGGGTACGAGGTTGTCGGTTTTTGCTTTTGCAGTAGTAGGGTAGGATTTTGCCTCGGAAAATGATGTCATCTGCATCGGAGATCTCGTCGGAGACGAAACCGTGGAAGAACTCGAAGAATTCCGATGGCTCGGAGGAAGATCGCCGTTTGTAATCTTGGGTCTTGAAATTGGTGGAGTCTATTCTGTCGGCCGGCGGTTCGCCGGAGTTCAGAGGTAAATCACACAGTGAGAGTGCCTCGTCTTCTTCTTCTTCTTTTTGTGTTTTCTCATCTTCAAATTTCGTCTTTATTTTTTTATCCATTTCAAGAATAAATAAATAAATAGATAAAGATATTGAGCAAGTTATATATATGAACACACATTTGTGTATATATATAGGCGCCATCACATACTAGTAGGGTTTTAAAATAAATAAATAATAATAATTGGGCCCCAACTAATTTTTTTATTGGGGATTTCAATTTATTCATATTGGGCCTTCTTCACCCAAACATGAAGGGCAAATGCATGCTAATTAATTTGTTTACAGAGCTGTATATACAAGTATAGATACAACTCTCTCTCTCTCTCTCTCTCTCTCTCTCTCTCTCATATATATATATATATATATATGATGTTTATTTTTTGCTGCAATTTTGCATTACTCAGTAGTTCATGCATGTAATGAAGAAAAAACTTCATAAAAAATAATAATTAATGACAAGCAAAAATATTAAAAATTTTACATCCAAAACATGATCATTCAGAACCATCTTTTCTGGCTCGGATTAAAGAATATCTCGCAGTAACTATTCCTAAAATATCGCCTCAGAAATTATTTCCTCTTACGTATAAATTAATCATACGAACCAAAAAATGACTAGATAAAATCGTTAAAAAGAATCACAAAAGAACTCAGATTATAACAACACTTTGTCGGACAGCAATCGAATCAGACAGGGAGTGGCGGTCTCTTCACATTGTCTCCCTTCAATATTGTTGTAAATTAGTATGAACATGTTATGCATCACCTTGGTGGTGTATTACCGAAACGACCCTCGTTTTATCACCATACGTCTCGTAAATACCTTCCTGTGGTTTGCAGATTCTTCACCATTCCCTCGGCTTCGGAGCTACTCAGAGATCCCTGAATTTTAAGCAGCTATCAGTTTAGCCGCTAATTATTAATCTAAACCCTTCAAATAATACACGTGTTCTAAAAAAATCCGATGCATGTGGGCCCTGTATATACCAAAAAAAGAAAGAAAAACAAAGAATGATATATATACATATATAGATACAAACCTGCTCTTGCACAATGGTGTGGAGAGTTCGGTGTACATCACGTGCCATTCCCTTAGCATCACCACATACGTACGCATAGCCTCCATCGGAAATCATGTTCCAGACATCTGAAGCCTGTTTTTCAACAAATGTTATTTTAGATCTTTCTAGAAGATTCTAAAACCGGCCAAATAAAAATTCGAAGGAAAGATGCTTTTTGGGTACCTTTTGTGCCATCTTGTGCTGCACATACTCCTTAGTGGGACCCTCACGTGAGAATGCAAGGACAAGCTCGGAAATTACTCCAGCCTCGACAAACTTGTTCAACTCATCTTGATAAATAAAGTCCTGCAGATTATTAAAATTAAATAAAAAAAAAACTTTACAATCAACATAAAATTCGATGAATATCAACCATCAGGGCATTTATAAATGCTCGGTCGGAATATTCACTAACCATTTGACTGTTCCTGCACCCAAAAAATAAAACGGCAGGACCAAGTTCAGCTCCAGAATCCTTTAGAGCTAATCTTTCCTGAAATATATAAATGAGTAAATTTGTGAGCTATAGAAACGAGAATAAGATTTAAAGTTTAAACTCAAATCGCTTTGAACACAAACCTGAAGAAAACCCCTGAATGGGGCCAAGCCAGTACCAGGGCCAATCATCAATACTGGTACTTTAGGATCAGTAGGTAATTTGAAATTAGATGTCCTAACGAAAACTGGGGCAGAGCTGCAATCCCGGCTTTCCTCCAAGGGGACAGCATTCTGATAACAGGCACAAGATTTGAGTGATCAAGTTACAGTAATTGGTGCTAATCTCTACTTAAAATGGATGATTCTCCCCTCATTAATTTTACAGCAAACCAATACAAAAACCCGATAAAACATTAATCGGCGTTCATCTGAGCCAATCAAGAAACAGCTTCAACAAGTAGTTTATTTAACTTGAAAAGGAGAATGAAAATACCTTCATCCATGTTGAGCAGATGCCCTTGTGGACCCGCCCTGTTGGTGTTTTCTCGTAAACCAAAGCACATGTCACGTGGATTCTAGATGGTGCAATCCTAAAAGAATCATTTAAAGACAATGAGATGGGCCAAAATATTTCATCATAGCTCCAATAATTTTATCTTGAGAAAACATCAAACGTAACAAACAGCAAAAAAAAAACTCACTTCGGGGAGGATGAGATAGAATAAAATCTTGGCTGCAGACGAGGAGCAATTGCTGCAAAGAAAACACCTACTGGAGGCTTTGTGGACGGGAATTCTGTCATGACCTCGAGTAGGCTTCTCTGACTTGCAACTATATACTTTGAATATTCCTCCTGACAATACATAATTATACATTTATAAATAAAAAAGGAAGATAAAATCATAAAACTTAAATCCATAAACTAAGTGAATATATCATTAGTCAATACCTTTCCACTAGGGGATGCGAGATATCTTAACCGGTCAGCTTCACTTGGATCAGAAGCATAAGCAGCTAGTGCATTTAAAGCAGACTGAAAAAACCGACCTTCAATTCCCAGTTATGCTCAAGAAAAAGCCAACAGAAGATATTGTGTTACAGGGAATGGAATAATAAACATTACCTTTTTGGGAGCGCTCAAAAGATCTGCATATCGTGTTAGTGCAGTTCTCAAAGTGCAAGGAGGGAAGATAGGCGGTAAGGAGCTTCCACTTAGTGGGGTGCCGTCCTCTTTGTCGGAATGAATCGAGAAAAATGTTTGTGGAGGCACATTCAGTAATTTTTCTGCTTCCTCCACAGTTTCGAGCAGGTTCTCGCAGTAAACACCAACATGATCCCCTGTTTCGTATCTGTGGGACAAAGAAGAATAAACTTAAGATTCATCCTTCTGCACTAAGTTCAGATTATGTGTCGTATAAACTTACGCAAGTCCAGTGCCAGATATGTCGAACTCAAGATGTGTGCAAGAACGATCAGATGCAAGAGTGTGAAGCTCTTTCTTTACAGCAACATTTGCTCTTCAAGGAAGAAATGTGAAGATATTATGTAAGAGGTTTTTTTTAAAATTCACGAGTAAGCTGAAAGGAAAAAGAGAGACAAAATCATACCTGCACGGATGCTGAGCATCATAAACAGTGTTGCCATTAGCATGACCATTGGCTGAGCTATTCTCCAGAATGGATTCATCCGATTGGTCATGGAACACAACGCGATACTCCAAGACTGCAGCAGTGTACGGAGTAGCAACAGTTGTATCATCCTCTTTACGAAGCAATTTATCTAACTCGGTCCACACTAGCTCACGCCTGTATCGAAAAGGAAATAAAGCTATTATCTGATCCACATACAGACATATATGATATGAAAGAACCAATCATATTGACAATGTCTTGTGATTTAGTTACCATGCAGTGAAGTCATCTTCGATGCATTGATCATCATCTCCAAGGCCAACCGGGACAAGCCGTTTTCCTCCTAAAATTATACATGAATTGAGGGTAAGAAATGGGAAAAGACAGAGAGCAAGCCCATGAAAGATTGAACGTATCATGATATGTTTGTGACTATTCAAACAGAAGAACATTCTCAAAATCAATATACCTTGCTCAGCAGCAATGTCATCTGCCACCTTTGCAATCTATTATCCAAAAGAAAAAAGAAAAAATCAGAATAAATACAAGCAATGCTCCATACAAGCATCTGCACGTAAGTATCACAAAGGTAAATAAATACCTTGTTGAAATGCTCGTACTGCCTGTTCCCAAGACCAAACATACCATACTGAAGATTCTTAAGCCAGTCCCCCCTCTCGTTACCCTGCACCACAAGACTTGGTAAAATTAACCCCAATTATCACCCTATAATGAAAAATTGAAGAAAATAAGTAATCTTTAAGATGGCCCACCTCCGTAAACCATTTGTAGAACCTCGCTGCATTGTCAGTAGGCTCACCGTCTCCATATCTACAACCAATGATCCTCAATAAGTTAAACGGGCACAAATAAGAGATTGTTTAAATAAGATGTGATACTTACGAGGCTAGGAAGAAGAATGCCAACGTCTCCTTCTTCAACTTCTCCTCATATTGTTCATCGTCTTCAGCGTAATCATCCTATCACCATTCAAAACATCAATGTTAAAACTCCACACAAGTAAATCTTAAGCAATTAATAAACAGAAACGAGAGGGGAAAAATCTTACCAGGTCAATTACTTTAAAGTTAGCCTCCTGATATCTAGCTTTAGCTTCCTCTGCAAATGCCTATATACAGTAATCGACTTCAGAAAACAAATCAAACAACCAAAACTAATACATCATGCAACAGAACGACAACATTACATTCCTGATTATAATAAAGATTTCATGCCCTTCAAATTGTGTCCAGTTATTATAAACCCATTCTACTCACTATTCAAATGTTAGATTCAACAACCACCACCATGGATCTTATACATCAACAAATTCTCCTCGTCTGTTTGAAAAATTCCAATGATTATCCTTCTTTAATGGAGATACCTGACTTTATTTTTTATTTTAATTTTCTTATTTGCCATTAATGTTCAGTAAAAATATAAAAACTCTTTATACCTTGGCAAAGCCCTCAGCAGTACCAGTCTGCGTACCGAAAAAGACAGAAACTTTCTTCTTTCCATCATCGATTTCCGCCGCTTCCGCCGCAGCCTTCTCCACCTGCAGCTTCGACGGCTCCACCTGCTTCTTCTTCGCCGATCCGCCGGTTCGCCGCCACGCCAGCACCACCGCGCAGCCTACGAGCACCGCGAAGGATGTAGTGAGCACCATCACAAGGTTCCTATTCTCCATCAGCATCGCAACCACCGCCGACGAAGCCGACGAAGCCGACTCCGACGACCCGTTGGAGCTATCAAGTTTCACGCCCTTGAAGATCGCCGCCACCACATCCAGCGCCGATAACTTTTCCGGAGTGGGCTCCATTAGAGCTATGAACTGGGGATGCGTGCCGCGCCTGTATGAATTGGAGTCGAATTGAGTCCAATTCGATAGATTCCCAATTAAATAGCAAAAGAAATCCGAATTCTCCTGCTGAAAAATAGGTCACTGATCACATCTATATCGACCAACGAACGACGAATCGGAGTCCAATTCCGAGTCTCTCACGCTGTCCGAGTTTTGACGTCGGGGAATCGGCTGTGAATTGTAAGTAATTTTGATGAGAGAGAGAGAGAGAGAGAGAGAATGTAGGTAGGTTTGGAGAGATTCACAGGGTGGAGAGTTGGTAAATGGAGTTTATATCGAAAGTAGAGAGAGAAACAGAGGAGAGAGAGAGAGAGAGAGCGGCAGTAACACAAAACGCCTACCAAACCAGACTCGTTAACCCCACCTAACGCTATATATATAATTCCTAATTAATTACCGGAGTTGTAGCTCCTAAATCCCTTTTAATACAAGAATTACATTTTTCGCCCCTCATGTTTTATCTAATTACACTTTTGGTCCTCATTGTTCTAAAGTTGACAAAAATACACATCAAAAGTTCGATTTTAAATAGATTTTGTCAACCCCCTTCATGTGACCGTTCACATCTAATGAAAAACACTATTTGAGGGGCTAAAATTGAAATTTAAAATTATTTTAGGACTAGAAAGGAAGTAGCTTTACCTAGTATTATAATTTGGAATGGTTTTAGGACTAGAATATAGTTTTACCTATTATTTTGGGACTACAAAACCACAATAATTGGGAATAATTATGAACTAAGTGAAGATAAATTTTATTTTCTCAAAACGACGCGCTCTATTCAAGACTTTCTTTTCTTATCGTCGCTTTGGCCTTGTCAAAAAAATAAAAAAATAAAACATTAGTGGTTTCGTGTACTTTTACACGAAACAAGTTTGTGTTTGTGTGTGTAACTACATGCAACTCAATAGAAAATTGAAACACACGATTTCGTGCTTCGTTTGGTAAACTCTGAAACCCTACTATTTCGTGCTTTCTTATACGAAATTCTTTAACTCATTTCGTGTCTTGTAGCACGAAATTCCCATGTTTTGAGAATTGTTTGAGATAATTGAAAAGTTATTTATTGAAAAGTTACAAATAAAACAAATTCACAATGTAGGTCAGTAAAAAATCATTGTAAATAGCATTTCAGTTATGGGCAAATTACGGCCAACCTCCTGATGCAAGGTCAAATTACAAAAATCCCTTAAATATTTTGGTAATTACAAACTACCCTCTTCAACTATGCATTTTCTTACGAGAAACCCTTCAATTCGGTTAGTAAATTTGACACTGTCAGAGTGGACGTATAAGACAATATATAGTTCAAGGAAATGATGGTAATTACTCCAATAAGAAGGAGTTTTTCGTAATTTGACATTACCTTGTGGTCTGCGGGCCTTTATAGAATTGATGTAGTCCAAGTTTGATCATCTTCACTCAACTTAAGTTCATCCTCATTTTGCGTATGGTATTATGTTGACTTTGACATAGCTTAAGATTTTTTTTGATAATTGACATAGCTTAAGATTAAATCATTAAAATAATCACCGAAATATAGCCAAAAATATTATTTTTTAATTCCAAAAAAGAAAAAAAGTTTTCGAAATTATTCCCCAGTCCCAAAATCTTTATCCAATTCTGTTATCGTAATTTTCAATTTCAAATTTCCCCACCATTTGGATCTGCTCTTCGTCTTCTTCCTCAGTCCACACACACTCACACACACACGCAGACCTATCAGTGATGCCTCCAACTGAAATCGACGCGGATCTCGCGGTAAATTCTCATTTTTTTCTCTCACTAGTTTGTAATTCACTTCATAATTTGATACGATGCTTTCAATTTACAATGCCGGCTTTGTTGCGTGTTTATTATTATTTTTTTTTATACAGAGATCATCAGCTAATGTAGCGACTCTAGGCATGAGGTAAGAAATTAAGAAGCATTACGCAATTCTGGATTTTTTTGTCGATCTTTTCGGTTTTACTGTACCGTAGTTACTGAAGAAATATGGACCGAAGAAATGTAAGTCTGTGTGGGGTTTGTGAATTTTGATTTTTCAGCGAAAATGCTTTTGCGGATATCAACAATTTGGATCACTGCGCCAAGTATTTGAACCAAACCCTCGTTACCTATGGCTTTCCCGCTTCCCTCGATCTATTTTCTAATGATCCTGTGAGTTTCTTTTCTATTTGTTCTTTTAGTTAATTTTTGTGCGATGAGATTTTTGTAGAGGTCTTATTTTACTTGTTTATGTTAATAACTGTTGGAGATAGGTTTCAGTGGCTAGAACTTGCAACTGTATGTACACACTGTTGCAGCAGAGGCATAGGGACATTGAATTCAGGGAGTCTGCAAATGAGCAGAGGCAGCGGTATTATCCGTTTACTTATTTACTCAATTTTATACTGAATTATATACCTGATTTTTGTGATTGTTCATATCTGTACTGGTACGATTTCTCTGATGAAAAAATGGAAATGATCATGTTATAAGGATAATAGTTGGAAAATAATTGAGTTATATCTTTCAGTTTGATCCTGTATTTCGAATTGGTGTTTCATCTTAAACAAAGATTGAGAGTATTCTTTAGTTTAAACGAGTGTAATTGCAGTCAACATACGTTTCACTATAATCGTTCATAATTGCATGGGCAAGCAGAAAACGTGTTTCTTAAATGTTTGCTATAGTAGAGCTTGGTAAATCCATATCCATGTCTTCTTATTATTGAGTCGATGATTTTCTAGTTTCTTTTTCTTGTAACATGTTATTATGTCCTTATACCTGTAGAGAGTTAAGAACTTATATAATTATGCAATCACACAATTGGTGCATTATCATAAGAACCAACAAGTTTGATCTTCTACCAACATTTAACCGAAGTACATATGCGAGAACTCTCAAAATTCTGCTTCCGTGATGTGCTACACAATTCATGTTTAAGTGTTTGGTGAGTCTTCTGATCCTCGTTGAAGAAAATGACTGAAGATTTGTTACTTCTTTGAAAGACTCTTATCGGACATTTCACGATTGGAAGCCAAAGTGGAGAGGCTAGAAGCACAGTTATCGGGCAAAGATAGAGATATAGCTACATTGACTAGAACGGTCAGAAAAATAGTTTCATCGTCCAAGATTTTCTTAACAATAGTACTTCCATTAACTTGCAAAGAAATATGTGAATAGGAAGCTAAAGCTACAGCAGCTTTCAAGGCCCAAATTGAGAAGTTGCAGCAGGAACGAGATGAATTTCAAAAGATGGTTCTGGGTAATCAGGTTTACACTTCACCTTCTTATTTTGTTCCAGTAAGCCACTCATTTTTGTTGTATTAATAATTATATAAAAAAGGCCTTGGTAAACAGCAAGTGAGAAACCAGCAGATACATGAGATGAAGAAAAAAGAAAAGGACTATATAAAGTTGCAGGTATTATGCCTTTTTTTTTAATTTTTTTTTATTTGTGGTTTTTGGTCCTATTAGCCTGAAAATACACAGTCTAAGGTTTGAAGAAGTATGGTGGGTAATTAACTTGGTATCTGTTGCAGGAGCGTCTTAATCAAGTATTAATAGAGAAAAAGAAGGAATCTAAATCAGGCATTGAAATTATGAATTTACTACAGGTGAATATCTTGCTTTAGCTTTGTGACAACATATGATTTCTGTCTAATGGATCTTTCTTGTGGCAACAGAAAGAAGGCAGACAGCGTGGAACATGGAATGGGAAGAAGACTGATAATGATTTTCACAAAAAGATTGTATGTTATGTTATCTTCTTGTCTTGTTTATGTATCTCAATTCACCCTCATCTTTAGCATGCCTATCCTGCTTGTAGGTGGATGCTTATGAGGCAAAAAATCAAGAACTTGTGGCAGAGAATGCTGATTTGCGGGCATTACTACGTTCGATGCAGGTACCTTCACAATTCGTATAAACAATAAACTGAATTACATCAATATTGAGTAACAATTTTTTTTTGACCTTCATCTTTTTCTTCTGATATCTACGCTTCTCTCAAGTTCTCAAACTTTTATTTTCTCCACGTAGTTTCATTTATGTTTACTCCCTTAGAGGAAAACATTCAAGAAATCACATCTAAAATTGAATAGGTAGTAGATCATGTAACTCTGCAATTTGACATGATTACAATTATGGGTTACCTCATAATCCTCATAGATTTTTGCGTTAAGGGGGTAAAATGCAATGTTTCTGAATCACTAAAATAGTGCATTTTGACATTTAAAGGAACCATGGCCAAGTTGCCAAGATATTTTTATTCGTTCTTTTAGTTTAACGACATAGTTTTCGTTGACGGGAAGCTTCAACCTCAGTAAACATGTTTTTTTTCCTGAATTAATCTTGGGTTCAGTTTGATATGCGAGAGTTTTTAAATGCTCCAAATGGCAAGATGTCTTGTCCTACTAATGATAGGCCAGGCGCAGATCCATCACAGTCCCCATTGGGCGGGAAGACGGTATGTCACAATACTTGGAAAATCGATTATATTGTTTCTTTAAATGGTAAATAGATTAATAAAATGACTATTGCATTGCAGGATATGTTTGATCTGCCTCTCCATATGGGTAGAGATCAAATTGAAGAAAGTCTCCGCACAAAAATGGCTTCTATAAAGGTAGATCGAAAATTGTAATTCTTGCAAAATGACACTGATATTGTTAAACAGTTTTACATAATGTTCATAGCAATTAATATTATGTTATCTCGATCTTGAAGGAGCGGATGGTTCAGCTTCAAGATGCACAAAAGGGCTCAGAACTCACTTCTGAGGTGACGGAGAGAGAACTTGAGCTCGAAGCTCAGCTTGTCGAGGCAAGGAGTATAATCCAAGAGCAGGTATCATCGTATTTTGTGCAAAGCAGTTTTGCCGATTTATTTACCTTGCGATTATCTGGCATCTTTAAATAAGAATCAATATCCTTTAATGCAGGCATCGGTAATGTCGAAACATCTTGCAAAATCTGAGAGGCCCTCAAGGTATTGTATACATTCGCAAGTGTGCATATACATACACGCATGTAATATACATACACATCTTCTGATCTTATAATGAAATGGAGTGAAGGAGATAGCAGAAAATCGAAAAAGCACCCAAATATCAAAACCGAAGAATGATTTTCTTTTTTCTTTTTCTTTTTTTTGTAGGAGATTGAGTGGCCATATGAGTTCCGACAGGGATTCGATAATGTTGTCACAGTCAGAGGTACACTCTGAGTTAGTTGTGCATCTTTTAGCATGTTTTGTTTTCATGGCACAAACTACTTTTACTATTACTAACATATTATTTCTTTTCCTAGTGTAGGGTTTGTAAATGAGTGAACTTGTCTTTGATGATTCATATAATAACATAATGATGGTGTTCTTTGCCTTGAGAGTGTTGAAAAGACCATTATACCCTCTTCACCCTTCTTCATTCAGCCTCCATGGTTAGTTGCTAGCTATCCTTCTAAGCCAACTGTATTATTATCATATTTAATTGCCGCATCTTTAAGTTTAAATTATAAATTATTGTATATTAAATATACTGTGCTGGGATCACTTTTTTTTTTTTTTATATATATTTTCTGATAAAATGTTGTGCAGCGATTTAATGGGTGAGGTCAGGCAATTATCATGCAAGTGTATTTTAAATAATAACAATAATAATAATGTGTACAACTAACGCCAATGATTTCTGGACTACATTAAAATATCCTCTTCCACCGGGACTCAAAATAAGACAAAACTATTAAAAAAAAAATATATATATATATATATATAAATATATTCTATTAGTTAGCCAATAAAAAATAGTTGTTTACAAAATGAAATGTAGTGATTAAAATTAATCATCTAAATCAGGTACTAAAAAGGCAAAATCTCTCGTCTCGACAAGTATTTGATAGAGGAACGTAAAAAGAGCGATGTTTTTCAAAATAATCAAATAAATTCTTGTAGCATGGAAATTGGAATATAGTTTTCGACTCTTATCAAATAATTTGGAACAATCTTTTTTTTGCTCTATGTGCGCGTGGCAAAAATAAATAAATAAAATTGAATTATCTATATGTATGTACAAAGCACATTGACCGGTCAATATATAAATAAATATAATAAATAGGGATATAATAATATTGAGAAATTGTAATTTATGAAAAAGGGCACACACACACAAACACACATTCAGCCGCTTTTTCTCCCCGTTGCTTAGCTTAGCCACATATGCTTATTCCGGTTTTCTTTTACCCCATCTCTCTCTCTCTCTCTCTCACACACACACACACACAGTTCTGTGATACTCTCTCTCTCTCTCTCTCTCTCTCTCTCTCTGTATACAGCAGACGCATGAAAAGGATATATATGTATATACAATAAATGGTGCTCGGGGTGCTGAAAAGCCCACTTTAGGACCCATCTCTCCTTCTCATGGTTTTTCTCTCCCTCTTCTTGGTAATCGTATTTTCCTTCTCTCTCTCTCTCTCTCTCTCTCTCTCTCTCTCTCGATGACTGTACATGTGTGTGTATATACACACACTGACACACACATATATGTATATATATATTATCGCACATATGCATACAATCACAGACGCACATGAGTTTTATTTTCTTTATGTTTTTTGTATGTGGGGTTGACATATTTTATTTTTTTTGGTGTTTCGAGTTTCAGAAACAAATGAAATGGGATTTCTGGTGGTAATGTGACTCCACTATTTCCCTTCTTTTCAATCTACGATACACCCACCACCCATGGATGCGCCCGGTGGTAAACTCAATATTCTCTCTCCTTCCATTTTCGTGTTTCTTTCAATCAAGTATTTTCGATACTTCTTATGCAAAAAAAAAAAAGAAAAAAAGATTGAATTTTTTTTTCGAAAAATAATTTGTTGATAATGGGTGCTTGAATTTATGGTTGATCTGTTTGATAGTCTGATTACACAGGCGAATTACTGTTTCGTGAATTGATTTTTATTGGATTTTCCTCTTTGTAGATGAAATCCACATATAGATACATTATACATACATGCTCACACACACACTCCATTATTGCCCTTTTTTTTTTTTTTTATTATTTATAGTTTACATTTTTTATTGTCAGATAATGTATCCTTGTTTATGAGTTACCTACTCTGTATGGCTTTAATTAAGAAAATTTGTGATCGATTATGGAAGATGCCAATGAATTTCCAGCTGTCTTTTTTATTCTTTTTTTTTATTATTCTCTCCTCTCCTCCTCAAATATACAGCAGAGATATATGGTCACCTAACATCATAAGAAATTCCCATATGCCATATGAAATAAGTTGGTACACCCAAGTTTAATTATTTAGTTTGTCAACTCCCACAGAAAATTCAACGTGGAGGTGGCATTGTGCAAGTCAAAGATCAAATTTTTATGACTTCTGAATAATATTACAAATAATATTAATATTACTAAATCCATTGTCCTCAATCGATTCGTGTCTTGATTGTTGATTTTTTCTGAATCCAGCATTGGGTTTTGATCCGTCAAAGTGCGGTAAGTTGAGTATGGAGCAAAAGAGAGAACTAGTCTACGAAGTGTGCAAATGGCCAGACAGTGCTGCTGAAATGCTACAAGCGTGGACCCGCACGGAGATACTGCAGCTTCTCTGTGCAGAGCTCGGTAAAGAAAGGAAGTACACCGGGCTAACAAAGTCGAAAATCATAGAGAATCTTCTTAAAATCGTGAACGAAAAGAAGTCGAACGAAGACGTTTCCGAATTGCAGCCCTCACTGGAGAACGGTGAGAGGACTCCCAAAAGGCAAAGAAAATCCGACCAATCAAATCGCCCGATTGCCGCGGAGTGTGTTGATGATGCTCCTGATGTAGATTTGGATAATCCCGTTTATTGCAAGAATTCGGCTTGCAAGGCGAAACTGAACGTCCAGGATTTGTTCTGCAAGAGGTGCTCGTGCTGTATATGTCGAAACTATGATGACAATAAGGACCCTAGTCTTTGGTTGATTTGCAATTCGGACCCTCCGTTTCATGGAGTTTCGTGTGGTATGTCTTGCCACCTTGAGTGTGCCTTGAGGCACGAAAATTCTGGTATCTCACAGGATAGGCAAGATAAAGGTCTCGATGGAAGCTTCTGTTGCGTTTCTTGCGGAAAAGTGAATGATTTGCTCAGGTAAAATTTTCTTGATTCTTGTTATTTTACCTGGTTTTCTTGGTATGTATATATATATACATGGTTAATAATGTAAGGAAATAATGCAGCTTTTGGAGAAAGCAACTAGTAGTGGCGAGGGATACGAGGAGGGTTGACATATTGTGCTATAGGCTCTCGTTAGCTCAAAAGATTCTTACGGGCACTAAGCATTACCAGAATCTATACAGAATTATTGACGAAGCAGTGAAAAAACTCGAACAAGATTTTGGCCCTCTAACCGGTTTACCTGTAAAAAAGGCTCGAGGGATTGTTAACCGACTCCCGTCTGGCCCAGAAATCCAGAGGCTTTGTGCTTCTGCTGTTGAATCTCTCGATTTGATGCTCTCTAATCGAGTTTCTGATATACCTTCTTCTGGTTCTCTCTCTCTCTCTCTCTCTCTCTCTCTCTCTCTCTCTCTCTCTCTCTCTCTCTCTCTCTCTCTCTATATATATATATATATATATATATATATATATATATATATATATATATATATATAAAATCTCTTTATCTTTGTTAACTTGCATATACTAATATGTATGTTCTGCAGACTGCATTGCACTGGCTTCGAAACTTGTGAGATTTGAAGATATAAGTCCAGCAACTAACTGCAGCACTCTCTCCAATCCTTCTTCGGTCGAAGACGAGACAAAGGAGGAAGAAAATCGAGCGGATAATTATCTTCCTTCATGTGATGCTGATAAAACCGCTACTGCAAATTTGACCATATCCAACGGTGATGATTTCTTGAATCCTGATATCAAAGAATCATCGAACGATCGGACGGTCGAGGATTCTCCAACGGGGTTGGAATGCGTTCCCTATGTGTCCCCCATCATCACTCCAAGCAAGGACGGTTGTGGGAGGAGTAAAAATAGACCGAAGTGCGGCGGAAATAGTAAAGACAAGGAAGAAGAAGAGCGTAGAGATGGGAGCTCGTCGAAGAAGAGGAGTGGAGAAGAGGAGGGGTGTGGCGTTAGTAATGGTGGGATTGGAGATAAGGATTTCGAGTACTATGTGAAGATGGTTCGACGGTTGGAGTGTGAAGGTCATATAGAGACGAGTTTTAGGCGTAAATTCTTGACTTGGTTTGGTTTGAGAGCGAATAGTCGAGAGGTGAGAGTTGTTAAGGTTTTTATCGATACGTTTGTTGAAGATTCGGAGTCTCTAGCAGGACAACTTGTGGATGCTTTCTCCGACGTTGTTGTTTCGGACAAGAGATGTTCGGCGGTGCCAGCTGGATTTTGCATGAAGCTTTGGCATTGAGATGGTGGTGGAAAATGGAAAATTGAGTAGTGGGATTTAAATTGATTCAAGATTTGAGGATTTGAGAGGGGGTTTCTTTTCTTCTTTTTTTCAATTTTTTTTAAAATTTTTAGGAATTTGGTGGTTTATTTTTTCATTGAAATTAGCATTTGTTTAAAGTTGGATAGTTAGGGTATGGGTAATATTGGAACACTGTGTTTTGTGTTATGGAAATTGGTGATTAGTTGTAGCTGTTATTGTTCTTGCAGAAATGGAAGATCTGAGAAGAAGGGCCTGTTGGGAATTAGACTTCGTAAATCATTGACCAATCAAAAGAAGAGAAACCCTTTATTTTCTTGACCAATCACTAATAAATTATTATTTTATGTGATAATTTATTATTATTGAGTTTTGCCCACCAATGATAAATGGACCCCACGAAATAGTTGATAGTTTATCAGCTCATAATCCCACTTGACCACTAAAATGTGTAATTACAATGTTACCCCGTTTGGCCTGACAAAAGAAGCTTGTACTATTGTATATGCTCCAATACATACATGTATACATACATTTATATTCCACAGAATATTCAAAGTTGTTAGTCTTTTAATAAGCAAGGAATTCATAAATTAACAAACTTAAAAAGAAAAACAAAAGAAAACTTGTTTTAAATAGTTCAACAGCACACTGTATGAAGGTAAGCTGAAAAGTGTGATAAGACGAGATTGAATTCAAATCTCGTCGAAGCAATTTGCATCTGATATTTCGTGCTTCGATTCAACAAACAATAATACCATAACAAAACCCCCCAAACAAACGGCCCTAATATCGAGAATGCCAAACACTATATATTACTAAGCAAAACGAGCAAAACTTATGCTGTACGACCTTTTTCAAGAGTATAAACCAATGTGCAACTGTTTCAGATGATACATATATTGCAAGTAAAAAGAGCAAATTATGCTTCAAATAATTTGAGTAAACATATGATCTCAGCAAGCGCAAATCAAGAAAAACGAGAATCATCAAACTAAATCTAAAATTAGCAATATAACAAAAGAACCAACAATGTCTTGAAAATGAATTACCGAAAAACTGCTGTAAGGCAAGCTCTCAGGTTCTTATAAGATTAATGTACGTTAGTGCATAACCCCAATACATTACCAAATTAAAGCAAAAGAAGAACAAAATACACGTTACTAGGAATTTTAAGAGTACAACTCCGATATTACCCCTCTGACAAAACCATTGAATGCATGCGAATACTCAAACCGTCTAAAACGAAAAACATAAAAGAAACAAACAAACAACTAACGCAGATGAGTATAAAATCCTCCAACCTGAAAACACAATCACGCAGATCGTGTTTGCATGTTTTTCCTTCGTTTGGTCATGGGTGTGGCAGTCTGCACTCTTTTCTGACCTTTCTTCTTCAGCTTCGCCTTTTTCCGGAGAGATGGCATCTCCACAATAGGCCCTGGAAGTACTCCCTTCTTCAACGCACTACCTCTCGGGGTAACAGATGGTGGCAATCTCAAACTTTCAGGCGGCAAAGGAGTCTGTGGTTTCCAAACCAAGTTATTCTTCATCGAAAACCTAACCTTCTTCCCACTTTTCTCCACACTTGCAGCACCGTCAACTCCACCATCTATAATTGTCCCACGTTTCTCCCCTTCTGCAATTTTTGATCTCTTTCTCTTACTACGTTTCACAGAAATTATAGGAGTGTCGGAATCTTGATCACAATCTGAACCCATTTCAGCAGCAACTTTCTCAAATTGCTTTTGAAGATTCAATATCACATTTTCATCCAAATTCACTGCAGCTCCGTCGCTTTCAAGGTCAACACTTGGATTACTCTCGGAATCATTCTGGGACCCTAAATTCTCAGTTTCATTAAGCGTGACCAAATCACCATTTTCTGCGGCCGCAGAGTTAATTTCCGGGAGCACATTGTCACCTTTTAACTTCTTCTTCTTCCTCTTCTTCTTATCATCTCCATCCACCTCTGTTTTCGCCTTCTTATTCTTCTTCTTCTTCTTCAAGATTACGTCATTATCCTCTGCCCCAATTTCGACACTAGCCTTAAGAGCATCGAAATCAATGGGGATCAACTGAGGCACCTCGTCATAGTCACCACTATCACTGTATTCGGGTATAGCTATTTCAAATCCAGATGTTTCCACTTCCTTTTCCAACTTCAGAAACTGCTCGTGCAACCCTAATAAAACCTTTCTATTCCCTTGAACACATTCTTCCGAAGAACCAACCTGGTACAATTTCTCCGATAACCCCATCTTCAACGCAACCACCCCTAACAACACATCTCCATCCTTCTCATCACAATCCACTCCTGAACTCTTCTTCGCCAAAATTTCCTTCCCCATCTTCACTAACTCGTCGAACAAGCAACTCTTCACCTTCCCCAACAAAATCCTATCAGTGCCCCTCATCATAACATTAAAAAATGGTTTGAAAATCACGTCGAGCACCTCCTTCCTCACGGGAAAACCGACCCCCTTCAACTCATCGAGAAAAACAGACACCACATGATAGTTCACCCCATTCCCCTGCAGTTTATCCTCTGCCAAGAAAGCATCCTTCTCCAAAACCCCAAAATATTCCCCCAAAACGTCAACATCCCATTTCTTCAACCTCATTAGCTCAAACAGCGACTTCATAAAACAGCGTATCAGCAAGTAGAACTTATCTAACCTCAAACGGTCAATCCCAGACCATTCCCTCCGAAGGGTAACTATAAATCCACGAAAAAACTCCAAAGAAAGCGCGGGTTGGAGAGACAAAAACAGAGAGGTGAGCCGATTAATTAGGGCTAGCTGATTGGGGCTCTTGTCAGCGTGCCAGAGGCAGTAGAAAAGACCTTTCCAAAGCTTTTTGATGTCGGAATCGGAGAGCTGCTGAGTTTCCGAGAGGAGCCAGGACTGGAGAAGGCGGAGGGATTGAGATCTGACTGTGGTATTACATGATGCCAAGTGTTTGATTAAACCAGGTCCCGTGGCGGATGCGAGAGCGGGAAGTATGGGTTTAGGCTCTCGTGCTCTCTTCTTCATCGAGAGGTGGTGGTGGTGGTAGTTGCGGCGGAGGTGGTGGTGGTGGTGGCGGTGAGAGACGAAGAATGTGAATTGGCAGAGGCCGATTTAGGGTTTTTGAGGGTTAATGAATGACTAGGGCTTACCAATCAGCGTTGCGGTGCACCGGAGTTAAGATGAGGGTTTGGTTTTGTCCAAATATTAAATCTTTATTTATATATGATTTTGTAAATTCAATTTTTTAATTTTTATTTATAAAAAATAATATTTGACTATCTACAATTGAGACCCGACTCGACCCTTTTTTTTTAAGGGCTTATTATTATTATATGAACTTATTTATTCAAAAACAATTTTATAAAATACAATTTGAAACATTTAAACAGTGGAAACAGTAATCAACTCAATTAATAATGAAATATAGTTTAATTAAAAATAAACTATTGAACTATCAACAAAGTTAAATCAAGATCCACACATATTTCATATGATTAATCTTAATATTAACCCTAGGTAAAACTCAACATATCCCACTAAAATCACAAATGCACCAAATTATTAAAAAGTAATCATTAAAAAAAACATTGAGAAATGAGAAACTATTTTCATCAACACTTGATTTTTTTTTTTTTTTTTTGATCAGTTCATCAACACTTGATTGTTCAATAGAAAAGCTACTAGATATTATGATTTACACTTGAATGCAAGAATATTGTCAATATCAGAAGTAGTGCATATGGATATTACATGTATGTATGATGCTGCAGCTAATATTTGATAAGATCATCAAAATTTAATCGAGTTCCACGACAGAAAGACGCTGGGTCCCGGTCCACTCCCGAAAGGGCATCAACGTAACTTCCTTCCTGACAGCAGCTGCTCCAACAAGAACCATCTGCCTGTACTCTTCATCTCCTAAATCAGCCGCATGCATTGCCCCATCTTCCCATGGATTCCACACACCTACAAAAATAAATACCTCGTTGCGTATAAATACGACACTGTGAAGTATATATATATAAAGACCTTACCGATGTCAGTAAGACTAGCATTTTTATGAATGGTAAAAGTTCTTAGACGGTCAAGATCCGCAACAGAGATATCATCACGAGTGTTCAGATACGCCCTGTCCACCTAAAATGGAGATTAAAAAGTGAGTTCATCAACAGATTATATAGCTAATTAATTAAATATCAGCAGATTTTTATCTCTTTATGTATGTATATATATATTTCTACTTCATTTTGGAAACTGATTGGATTAGCTCCTTCAGTAAATCGCCCGCCGTCCTGCAAGTAGTCCCGATACTTCATCGTCTCCAATCCTTCAATCTGAGTTGCTCTGGCAAAGGGATTCGTAATTAAGTTCAGTGTTGCAATTATAATAATAAAAGAAAAAAAAAAAGAAAATCAGTAATAAAATCTTATTAGTATTAATAACCTGATATTTGAGACGGAGAAGTAGGTTTGGTAGGCAAATTTGAATGAGAAAGGCTCCCCATTAGCGTTGATGTTTTTTACACGAGATATCATAGTCAGATCTCCGGTGGGTCCCAGGATAACACGTAAATGGAGCTCGAAGCTGTAATTTTTAAAACACGAAAGATATTAGTGCGAATTTGATATATAGTTAAAAATTGTCAAGTACCTATGGTTAGGCCAGTCTGGGAAGTCGTCAGGCATATCATCGAGAATGAAATCAACAAATGCATTATCGCGGCTCGGAGGGGGAAAATTTGGATCGTAATAATACGTCAAACCCTCGGTTCTCCAGAATCTGGTTCTAGCAAATCCATTATCCTCAATGTTTGCATTGTTGGAAAACTGGTCATGATTAATTATATTATACAACAATTTATTTTGCTTCTAATTAATCAATAAGAGACCGAATAAACACAATTAGCCAAATGGAGTCGAAACGAATGAAAGAAGCAAACCTTTGGGAAGCAAATTGGGATGCCTCCACGAATTGGATGTGGACGTTCGTAAATGGCCTGAAAATTAAAATGTGTTATCTGTTACGACAGTATACCAAATCGATTTATTGCTAGCAATTCAAGAAATTGACTTTAAATACCGTATTTTCGAATCGATACAACAACTTCTTGCTAACGAATTTAAATACTTTGATTATTCAACAATGAAATAAATTCAGCCACACTTTAACATCAAACTATAGAATAATTAAAAGAAAAAACCATAAATTCCGTAACTTAAATATATTTATCGGAGTCGTAAACAAATTTGGTGGAGATATTCGGGAGGAACATTCGTCGCATTTAAAAATATAAAACCAGATTCTTCGTGTTAGGCGATTACGGAATATAGAAGATCAGAGAAAATTAAAGTACCTCTGTACTGAGAAAAAGCAACTCTTCTCCGTGTTGATTCTTCCATGAAATTACCTGAGCTCCATAAAACAGAATCTACAAATGGATCGAAAACATTTGTATTCATCAAAATCACGATCAGAACAGTGAAAACCTAAGCGCGCGCCATTTCCGTAATTATTTTAAAAAAAAACCCCAAAATATACTGCTTTAATTAATTAATTACGGCAGAGCAAAACGGTAAAACTGAAAACATATATATATATACCTCGGCGGTGTAGCCACGAGGATGACGGAGAAGGATGGAAGGGCCGCCGCCGGGGTATCGTAAGTTGTAATACCTATAAGGCCACCGCAGCACTGGTGGCGGAGGAGCAGCCGCTGACATTTTCACTGCCAATTGCGAAATCACACAGAATGTGTGTGTGTGTGTGTGTGTGTGTGTGTGTGTGTGTTTAATTGAACTGCTGCAGAAGCACTCGGGTGATTATGTAACTGCTGCAGATCAGAAAATTGAAAATGGTGTTTTCCGCCTTCTTCACAATTGTGTCAATTTATAGTAACAGAATCTAGTTTCCGCTCTCTAACTGAAATCGATAGATACAGCCTACAGGCATTACACACACCACTTTTCGGGAGCGGAATTACCACAATACCCCCGTATTCTCTAATTTGTTCTTATTATATATATTTTTTTAGTTAATTGTAAATTTATTTATTCTATAATATTTTCGGACCTCTTTTTTTTTTGGTAACAGTGGCATAATTTTATTTTACCTTCAACCTTTTTTTTTATATTTATTTTATTTAGTAAAAAACCAAGGTTCAGAAAATGATTCAGCAAATTGTAACAAATTTGTAATAATGAATAGTCAATTAACAATAATATATATTAGGTCTTATTCTTCAATGCAAGATTGAAGAACATCAATCACAAGTATATAGTAACTACATGTATGAATTAGGTAGAAACAGAGTTTAGAAACTGAATCAGCAAACTGTGTCGCGGTCCACTCTTCACCGGGATTCAACGTAATTTCACTCCCCACAGCAGCTGCTTCAACACAAACCATTTTTCTATACTCTTCATCTCCTAAGTCAACTATATCCCTTGCCTCCTTCCATGGATTATACACAACTACAAATATGGCAAAATATAAATAAATTATAACTCACGTTTCATTAAATACTTCGTTGCATATATATATGTATAAGACTTTACCAACGTCAGGAAGACCAGCATCTTTATGAATGGTAAAAGTTCTTCCAAGCTCAATATCCGTAACAGAGATCTCATCGGGAGTGTTCAGATACGCCCTGTCCATCTAAAACGGAGATTAAAAAAGTGAGGTCATCAACAGATTATAGCTAATTAATTACACAAAAATAATTAATTAAAATCAATCAGCAGAATTTATGTCTTTATGTATGTATACTTCTACTTCCTTTTCGAAAGTGATTGGATTAGGCCCTTCAGTAACACGCGTGTGGCCCCGATATAACCTCATTAGTATTATATTACCTGATATTTGAGACGGAGAAGTAGGTGTGATAGGAAAATTTGAATGAGAAAGGCTTCCCATTAGTGTTTATGTTTTTTACACGAGTTGTCATAGTCAGATCTCCGGTGGGTCCCAGGATAACACGTAAACGGAGCTCAAATCTGCAACATTAATTAAAACACGAAAGATATCGTTATGTATATATAGCACCATTAGAAATTTAAATTAATTAAAGATTAATTGTCAAGTACCTATGCTTAGTCCAGTTTGGGAAGCCGTCAGGCATATCATCGAGAATCAAATCGACATATGCATTATCAGGGGTGGGATAGGGGAAATCGGTAACATCCATCAAATTCTCGGCATTCCACATTCTGGTTCTAGCAAATCCATTACCCTCCAAGCATCCATAGTCGTAAAACTGATCATGACAATTAATTAAACAGCATTTTAATTTCTTCACGAGACCGAATAAATGCAGTTAGGCAAATACGGAGTCGACAGGAATAAAGAAGCAAAATAACCTTTGGGAAGCAAATTGGGATGCCTCCACGAATCGGATGTGGACGTTGGTAAATGGCCTGAAAATTAAAACTTGATTATTCAAACTACAGAGCAGTTCAAAAACACCATTATATTCACTAACTTAATTAACAGTCGTCACAGATTCACAGATTCTAATTAGGTGATTAGGGAAAAGACGCACAAATTAATAACATAATTAAACAGAAAAGCAGGGGTAATTAAGTCAGAGATCTAGAAAGTACCTTCTCGCTGACAAAGAGCAACTCTTCTCCACGTTGATTCTTCCATGATAGTACTTGACCTCCGTAACAAAGAACCTACTGTAGACGCATAAAATTAATTAATTGATTAATTAAATTAGCCAATTAAATTGTGTCTAAATTAAATTATAATTTATTTTACAAAATAAATTATGGAGATAATTATCAATTAATTATTGGCCAATAGGATTATTTCTTCTCTTCCAAGTTATAAGAGATAAATATCAATTTAAAGAGAGCCAATCAAATCGCGCCACGTCATCAAGTAGACTTTAAGTAGGGCTCTTATTCTACCACTATAAATAGGGACCCTCTCTACACAATTCAAAAGACAACTCAAGAAGAATAAAAATCGTAGGAGAAAATTCTCTCTACAACATTCAAGTCATCTTCATCAAATTCAAGGCGTTCTTCATCAAATCGAGGGCGTTCTCCAACAAATCAAGATCGAAGGAAGATTGAAGGGCCAAATCCATCAAGAACTCCAAGATCTTCAAGTCAAAACCCGTCAAAGTTCTGCGTTCGATCCGGGATTCAAGTCGCAAGACCCTCGGAAAACGTTATTCAAGTTCAAAATCAAATCCGGAGAAGATCAAGTCAACGACCCGACTCCGAAATTCAAAGTCAACATATATTGTTCTTGAGAGAAGAATCAGAGGATTAAATTAGAGTTTGTAACCCGCAATATTTTATTTTAATTCAATAAATTATTTTTGTGCACGTTTTTCTTGTTTGTCTAAATTCGCAGATAAGAATTTCGTTGCTACAAATTTTGGCACGCCCGGTGGGACATCTCTACCTCTCATCTCTTCTCTCTCTCGAAGATCCTCAAAGTGTTGCGGTGACTGCTCTGCGTTCGCAATGAAGACTGCTACTTCGGATTCATCAAGTATGGGCTTAGTTACAAGGAGTATGGCTAAGAAGCTGCAAGCATCCTCCAAGACTAGCTCGACGCCCCAAACCGCTCAAAAAGGCTTACCACCTCTTGTCAACACAAGCGCAAACGTGGAAGGCTCAAAACGAGAGATTTCACAACCCACGCCTCGTTCAACATCAAGCTACTCAGAGGTCGCATCGGTCATGACAACAAACGCTACAACCATGGAGGAGCAAATTGCAAGTTTGACAAAGGCCATTGAGGGACTCGCAAAGCATGTTCAACAACGAGATTCTCAAATTGCCGAGTTGATCAACAAGATGGACAAAGCCGATGCTAGTCAAGCTGTGGAGAATCAGATAGAGGTTCAAGACGAAGTCGACACATCCACAAAGCAACAACCAGTTGAAAACGAGAAGGCTCCAACTCAAGAACTTCAAGTTTCTCCAGAAGGGATGATTCATGTAGATCAAGTGATGACGCTGATCAGTAGAACCATCAAAGACAAGTTGGAAGGAAGCTCGAAGTCTCCATCAACCTATGTCAAGCCATACACGCAAAGGATTGATGATCTAAGGATGCCAATGGGCTATATACCTCCAAAGTTTCAACAATTTGACGGCAAAGGCAACCCCAAGCAACATGTGGCACACTTCGTCGAGACTTGCAATGATGCCGGGACGTACGGAGATCACCTCGTCAAGCAATTCGTCCGATCGCTCAAAGACAACGCGTTTGATTGGTACATTGATTTGGGGGCAAACTCCATTGATAGTTGGAAGCACTTGGAGAAAGAATTTCTCAACCGCTTTTACAGCACTCGAAGAACAGTCAGCATGATTGAGCTCACCAATTCCCGCCAATGGAAGAAGGAACCTGTCATCCACTACATCAACCGTTGGAGAAATTTGAGTCTTAATTGCAAGGATCGACTGCCCGAGACATCAGCTATTGAACTGTGCATCCAAGGAATGCAATGGGGACTCCGATATATCCTTCAAGGAATTCAACCTAAAAGTTTTGAAGAGTTGGCCACTCGAGCACATGATATGGAATTGAGCATAACTGCAAATGAAGTCGAAGAACCTTCATTCCAAAAGTCGTATCAGCTCAAAGAAGAACATGTTGAAGAAGAACAAGAAGATCATGAGGATGGGGGCAAGTCTTTTGAAGAAACAACATCCTATGCAATATGACAAGTCAAATCAAATCAAGTACTCCTTGACACGAGTTTAAAAGGTCTACATGTCCATATCAAATGAAGCACTCCTTGACACGAGTTTAAAAGGTCTACATTTCCATATCAAATGAAGCACTCCTTGACACGAGTTTAAAAGGTCTACATGTCCAAATTAAATACTCCTTGACATGAGTTTAAAAGGTCTACAAATACATATCAAGTTCAAAGCAAATTAGTACTCCTTGACACGAGTTTAAAAGGTCTACATGTCCAAATCAAATGAAGTATTCCTTGACACGAGTTTAAAATGTCTACAAGTTCAAATCAAATCAAAGCTCCTTGATACGAGCATAAACTATCTACATATCCAAGTCAAATCAAGGCTCCTTGATACGAGAATAAACTATCTACATATCCAAATCAAATCAAGGCTCCTTGATACGAGCATAAACTATCTACATATCCAAATCAAGTCAATACTCCTTGATACGAGTATAAACTATCTATATATCCAAATCAAGTCAAGGCTCCTCGATACGAGCATAAACTGTCTATATATCCAAATCAAGTCAAGGCTCCTCGATACGAGCATAAACTATCTATATATCGAAATCAAGTCAAGGCTCCTTGATACGAGCATAAACTATCTACATATCCAAGTCAAATCAAGGCTCCTTGATACGAGCATAAACTATCTATATATCCAAATCAAGTCAAGGCTCCTCGATACGAGCATAAACTGTCTATATATCGAAATTAAGTCAAGACTCTTTGATACGAGCATAAACTATCTACATATCCAAATCAAGTCAAGTCTCCTCGATACGAGCATAAACTATCTATATGTCGAAATCAAGTCAAGCCTCCTTGATACGAGCATAAACTATCTACAAATTCAAGTCAAATGCTCCTTCAGTACGAGCTTAAACTGCAAATGTTTCTCCTTGTCCGCATGAGTATAAACTGTGCATGACATCCCTCAAAAGGATATATTTTGAACTACGTTATGACTTGATCCCTTTATAGGGTACGTAGGCAACTTAGAATCTCTCTAAGTTCAGTCATGATTTCAAAATGATTTCAAAAGATATATGTGCTTTGCTAGATCAAGCTGCAATTGAAGTTGAGTAATTATCGAGACTCATCCACTCCAAGATGCATTGTCCGTGAACAAGTCTCGAGGGGGCATTTGTAGACGCATAAAATTAATTAATTGATTAATTAAATTAGCCAATTAAATTGTGTCTAAATTAAATTATAATTTATTTTACAAAATAAATTATGGAGATAATTATCAATTAATTATTGGCCAATAGGATTATTTCTTCTCTTCCAAGTTATAAGAGATAAATATCAATTTAAAGAGAGCCAATCAAATCGCGCCACGTCATCAAGTAGACTTTAAGTAGGACTCTTATTCTACCACTATAAATAGGGACCCTCTCTACACAATTCAAAAGACAACTCAAGAAGAATAAAAATCGTAGGAGAAAATTCTCTCTACAACATTCAAGTCATCTTCATCAAATTCAAGGCGTTCTTCATCAAATCGAGGGCGTTCTTCAACAAATCAAGATCGAAGGAAGATTGAAGGGCCAAATCCATCAAGATCTTCATCAAATTGAGGGCGTTCTCCAACAAATCAAGATCGAAGGAAGATTGAAGGGCCAAATCCATCAAGAACTCCAAGATCTTCAAGTCAAAACACGTCAAAGTTCTGCGTTCGATCCGGGATTCAAGTCGCAAGACCCTCGGAAAACGTTATTCAAGTTCAAAATCAAATCCGGAGAAGATCAAGTCAACGACCCGACTCCGAAATTCAAAGTCAACATATATTGTTCTTGAGAGAAGAATCAGAGGATTAAATTAGAGTTTGTAACCCGCAATATTTTATTTTAATTCAATAAATTATTTTTGTGCACGTTTTTCTTGTTTGTCTAAATTCGCAGATAAGAATTTCGTTGCTACACCTACATATATATATATATATATATATATATATATATATATATATATATATATATATATATATATATATATATATATATATATATATATATATATACGGATCGAACAGTAATTATTCATCAATTGAGGATCAAAAATTCAAAACAGTGAAAACATAAGCGCATCAGTTCCATAATTGCGTAATGTAAAAAAAATAAAATAAAAAGAAAAATCCAGTAACAAAATATACTGAGTTCCGTTCGAAGCAAAACGGAAAATTTGAACAAAATATATACCTCGCGGAGTAGCCACCAGCTGGTTGACGGAGAAGGTAGTAAGTGCCGCCCTTAAGGAATCGGATGTTATATTCCGCTGAAGGCGCCGCCATATCGATTACCAGTGAAAACAAAATTCACACACACAGTGTTTAATTGAACGGCTGCAGAAGCACGCCGATGATTGTGTAACTTCTGCAGATCAGAAAATTGAAAATGGTGGTGTTTTCCGCCTTCTTCAGCTGTGTCAATTTATAGTAACGGCATGTACAGCATTTTCCGGCGCCGAAATTACCACAATACCCCCGTCTTCTCTATTTTGTTCTCGTGTTAATTGTAAATTTATTTCTTTTATTTCTTTTATCTAATATACAATTTTCTAATTTTCCCAAAATTGTGATCATTTATATTCAAGGGGTAATGGCAAATAGGTCTACGACGTATGTACTTGCAATAAGATTTTTCGGACATAATTGCCCCAATATATAAATTGAAAATTAAAAAAGCCCTAAGCTCGTTTTTTTTTTAACGCGATTATTCTCTCACCCTAATTCCTCTCTCTACATGTGCGTCTCGAAATTGAAAATCAATTCCAATTCTAAATATTCTTTAGCGGAATCGGAGTTGGAATTTTCGTTTTCACTTACGAAAGAGTTGGAATTTCTAAAGTAGTACTTTCCATCGGTCAAATTTCTACCCCTAATGCTCGATTAAAAGTTGGAACTAAAATTGATCTTAATAAAAGCAGAGATTTAGTATAAGTGCTAAAATCAAGATATATCCACCACAAAACACATTCAAAATCCAGAAACAAAGAGTAAAATATCACACATTCATCAACATTTCAATGTTCAATAGAAAGCTGCATTAGGTCTTATTCATCAATTCAAGAATGTTAATCAAAAAGAAAAAAAAAACAAGGTAATTCCCGGATTGCCCCTAAAGAATACTCCCAGGGTTTGGGAGATGATCATCATAACTCCCAGGATGAGCAGAAAGATGCTGAATCCCGATCCACTCCTCGAAGGGCTTTAACGTAATTTCGTTCTCGACGTTAGCTGCTTCGACACACACAAACTTTCTGTAATTTCCCTTTGCCAAATCTTCCATTTTCCAGTCCCATTGACTCAGTTCCTTCTCCCATGGATTCCACACAACTACAAAAAACAACAATTTCAATTAAATAATATATATATAATATATATATATATATATACATACATACATGCATACATACAATACGTACACGACACGACACGTTTTATATTAGCTAATTACGTACCAATATCGGGAAGGCCTCGACTTTTACGGATGGTATAAGTTCGCAGTGCTAAATGGTCCATAACAGCAATCATACCAATAGTGTTGAAATATGCCCTGTTCACCTATATATTATTTATAACCGGAAATTTAATTAATTATACAAACATAATAAAATTAAACTTATATTTATATGTCGCTATATATATGTATATACTCACTTGAGATTCGAAAGTGACTACATCAGAGCCTTGATTAAATCGCTCGTTGTTCTTCATATAGTCCACGTAGTCAAGTACCTCCAATCCTTCAATCCGAACGTCACTGAATAACCGAAGATACATTTATATATGTTGATCAGATATATAATTAATGTCACGCGTTGAAATAGTAAAATCAAGAATATGTACGTGTATACGTACGTATGTATATACCTGACATCGGAGACGGAGAAGTAGTTGTGATAGGAAAATGGGAATTTGAAGGGCATCCCATTGTCGTTGACATTTCTTATACGAGATTTCATCTTTAGTTCGCCGTTGGGTTCCAGTTTAACCTCTAAACGGAACTCGAATCTGCAACGTAACAAAACGAAAGAAATATTACATATACAATCTGTGGTAAAATTTAAAAAAAAAAAAAAAAATGTGTACCTGTGAGGCCATACTAGCAAGTCGTCTTCGGTTGGAGTAAGAATCAAATCGACAGATGCCTTATCGAATTCGTTGACTGAATCTATGGAAGCGTCGATAGTCCAGAATCGGGTACAGGCAAATCCATGTTGCTCTATGTTTCCATCGTTGGAAAACTGACCATGCATGAATTTCTTTAATTCTAATAAAATAAATATATTGAGTTGGAAGGAAATTAATTAACCTTACCTTGGGGAAGCAAATCGGGATGCCTCCACAAATCGGTTTATTAGCTTCGAATTCCTGAAAAATTAGTTTTCGATTGAATTATTGTTAAACCTGTAATCGAAGATCAACGTACGAGACATAATTTCGTAATTATAAAACTAAAAATGCATACAAGAAAAACTCATAATGCACGAGTACTCTGTATTTTCGACACGAAACACGTACGATAACATGCATTATTTCCACAAGATTGCTAGATTCCACAGAAGCAAATTGGCCATAAATATAAAAATAATTTAATGATTAAGTGATTTTGTAAAGTTTCATGCAGATTAAAAATAAATAAAATGCATGCAGGTACGTACAGACCTTCTCACTGAGAAAAAGCAACTGATCTCCGCGTTCATTAACCCACGATACTACTTGGCCTCCATATAACAGAACCTACAAACGGATATTCCAACGTCGTTAAATCTGATTAACGGAAGGGAAAAGATCTACTTGACGGCGACTGAAAATACGTACGTACGTACCTCGGCGGAGTAGCCACAAGGTTGACGGAGAATGATCGAACGCATGACTCCGTGTATGTGAACAAATACCCTCGAAGCCCAATCCACACGTGGCGCCAGCTCATGCTCATGCTCCGGCTCCGGCGCCGACGAAGATGACGACGACGATGCCATTTCCAGTACTGTACCAGCTGTTGCTAAATCGATCAACACGTACAGAATTGAAGAAGAACTCTGATGATAATATGTATGTAAATGCTGAAGAGGAAAATTGAAAATGGTGTTAAGTGAGTGGCGGTTCCAGCTTATACCAACAGAATCTACTTTTCTCTCTCTAACTGAAATCCGATACATACACCCACTTGCAGGTGGAGAAATTACTATAATACCCCCGTGTTCTCTATTTTATTATTTTATTTTATTCTTTATTCCCACTTCTTACTCCTGTTGGGGGAGGAGGGAGCAGCACTGTTTGTTTCAATTTATGGTCACAGAATCTAGTTTCCGCTCTCTAACTGAAATCAATAGATACAGCAGGCATACACCACTTTCCGGCGCCAAAATTACCAGAATACCCTTCTATTCTAATTGGAATTTTCATTCCAATTTTGATTTTTTTTTTTTTTTTTTATCATTGAAATTGGAATATAACTACATGTGCAATTCTAATTTTAGATCGATAATATTTTTTTGAAAATAATTTCAAAATTTGCGGGTTCTTTTTTTTTTTTTTTTGGGTACTTTATAAAATCATTTTTTCCGTGTGTTATGTATTATAGTTGCATAAACAAATGGCGTCCGTCGATTTTGATACAAATTTTCCAATTTAATTTGTAACAAGTTTTTCAATCATGTAACTATATTGATAGCTGAAAAAAAGGCCTAATTATTATACATTTACCAAAAAAAAAAAGTCATTTTACAATTGACGAGTTGACGACCGGATGAATTATATCGTGTAGTAACTCACCATAGATACACGTACAACACATCGAACACACATTTCACATGTGCTAATTACTCGTATCATAGAGAATAAACCGGTGAGCAGAATACTACATGTATCTACGATGAGTTACTACACGGGCGATTCAGCAAATTTAGCAGCCCTTCCCTAAAGTCCACGGGCAAACGGAAAGATGGTGGGTCCCGGTCCATTCATCCCCGGCCTTCAAAGTAATTTCACTCCCCACAGCAGCTGCCTCAACACACACCATCTCCCGATATTCGATAGTGTCCAAATCAGTCATTTCCCTTGCCTTCTCTTCCCATGGATTCCACACGACTAATAATATATAAAACGCACGTTTTATTAAATTAATTCGTTGCTGCATATGAAAATACTATATAGTACATACATAAAAAAAAAACCTTAATTACCAATGTCAGGAAGACTAGAACTTTTACGAATGGTAAAAGTTCTTTTAAGCTCACGGTCCGTAATTGAGATTATATCAGGAGTGTTCAGATATACCCTGTCCACCTAAAACGGAAAATGAGGTAATTTACACAAACATAATTAGTAAATTAAATCAGGTAAAAATCAGCATTAATTGATCTCTTTATACATATACATATACATATATACTCACTTCAGAGTCGAAAGTGATTGCTTCAGCTTGTTCAGTACATCGCTTTTTGTTCTGCAGATAGTCTAGATAATCCACTTTCTCCAATCCTTCAACCCCAACTTCCCTGAACAAGGGAAGATATGCATTCATACGTAGAAGATCGAGATTCTAAAGTTCTTCTTTGCAATTATCTAATTAATATATACCTGATCTCGGAAACATAGAAGTAGGTGTGATAGGAAAATAGGAATGTGAAAGGCTTGCCATCAGAATTCAGATTGCTTATGTGAGAATTCATCTTTAGATCTCCGTTCGGTTCCAGGATAACCCGTAAACGGAACTCAAATCTGCAACAAAATTAAACCAAAATTATGCAGTAATTAAATTAAATTAAGTAAGAAAAAAAGAAGAAAAAGAGAAGAAATCTTCACTGATTAGGGCATTTTAACAAGTCATCATTAGTTGGCCTCAGAATCAAATCAATAGATGCCTTATCAGAGGAGGTAGTTAAATCGATGGAGGTGTCGACTTCCCAGTATCTGAGCCTAGCAAATCCAAGTTGCTCCGTGCTTCCATTGTTGATGAACTGATCGATGATGATTTATAACAACATTTTCTTCTGATCAATCAAAATGCATGCAATTGCAGGGGGGCGAAAAAGGAAATTAAGAAAAATACCGTCGGAAAGCAAATTGGGATGCCTCCACGAATCGGATTATGAGGTTCGAAAACAGCCTGAAATAAAAAAATAATATGGAAAATTACTTGAGGAAAATTTGAACCAACTCGTCGGAGGGGAATTACTAATTAGAGTACCTTTTTACTGATGAAAAGCAACTCGTCTCCACGTTTGTTCTTCCATGATATTACTTGACCTCCATACAGAAGAACCTACAAATGAATCGAATCAATGCAAGTATCACCGGCGCCGGAATTGGATTGAAAAAAAAGGAAATTAGACGTTGGATCTGTTCTCAACGACGTCGGAATTGGGCCAGAAAATTGGGAAATAGGGGAATTAAAGCCCAGTGATTGAAGATGGGCTGGATCGACCGGAGAAACTTGAATGACTGAGCTAGACTGAAAATATAATATATACCTCGGCGGAGTAGCCACCAGGTTGACTGAGAACGACTGAAGTAAGGCCGTTGATTCCGATGGAAAATACCGCAGAAGGCTTCTCCACAGGCGGCGCCGCCGCCGATGAAGATGATGATGATGACATGTCTACTACCAGCACACAGAGTGTGTGTGTGTTTAATTGAACTGCAGCAGAAGCTCTGGGGAGATTATGTAACTGCTGCAGATCAGAAAATTGAAAATGGTGTTTTCCGCCTTCTTCACAATTGTGTCAATTTATAGTAACAGAATCTAGTTTCCGCTCTCTAACTGAAATCGATAGATACAGCCTACAGGCATTACACACACCACTTTTCGGCCGCGAAATTACCACAATACCCCCGTATTCTCTGGTTTGTTCTTATTAGTATATTTTTTTTATTTAATTGTAAATTTATTTATTCTATAATATTTTCGGACCTCTTTTTTTTGGTGTTTTTTCCGCCGTCTTCACACTTGTGTCAATTTATATAGAAACAGAATCGATAGATACAGGTATGTACAGCATTTTCCGGCGCCGAAATTACCACAATACCCCCGTCTTCTCTGTTTTGTTCTTATTTGTTTTAGTTAACTGTGATGGCCTTCAGATTTATCATTTATATTTAAAAATAAAAAAGAGGGAAATATAGCTTATCTTCAATTTGATATATGTATGAAATCCTCTCAATCATTTATAATTTCTGAAATTAATCTATTTTTTTTTTTGTATTTGTCCAATAGATAATAGCCTAATATCAATATTATTGTGTATTATACTTATAATAGGTGGATAAATAAATAAAAACAGTAAAGAATCAGAAACTAGCAGAGCAAGCATTTCTTAACCAAAGAGCAAAAATCAACATTTGTATATATGTTCAATGCAAGATTTTAAAGAATATTTTCAATCACTACGTATATATGTAGTAACTAGTAAGTAACAAATCAGATTCTTATAGTTTCTAAAGAATATTCCCAGGATCTGGCAGTACATCGGAATCGGTCCAGTGGTGAACAGAAAGACGCTGTGTCCCGGTCCACACCTCACCCGGATCCAACGTGATTGCATTCTCCACAGCAGCCGCCTCAACGCACACAAAGTTTCTATACTCTTTATTTCCCAAATCAAATATTTCCTTCGCCTTCGTACGCCACGGATTCCACACAACTACAAATGCATAAATAAATCGATAAACGCGCGTTTTATTAAATAATCTTGTTTTAAGTATGTATATATAAACCTTACCAATGTCGGGAAGAGCACCATCTTTATGAATGGTAAAAGTTCGGTTTATTTGACGGTCTATAACGGAGATCATATGCGGTGTGCTGAGATATACCTTGTCCACCTAAAAGTTAAAACGCGAGGTCAACAAATTATCGCTATACAAAATCAGCAGAGCATTTATATATACTATACTCACTTCAGAGTCGAAAGTGATTGCTTGGGCTTTTTCAGTAAATCGATTTTTGTTCTGCAGATAGTCAAGATAATCGACATTCTCCAGTCCTTCAATCCGAACTTCACTGAACATCGGGAAGAGATTATTAAGTTAAATTGTTGCAATTATAATAAAAGAATATTTAAAAGAGCATTAATTAGTATACACCTGATATCGGAGACGGAGAAGTAGGTGTGATAGGAAAAGTGGAATGTAAGAAGCTTCCCACTACCCTTACGATTTTGTATACGGGATATCATCGTTAGATCTCCGTTACTTTCCAGGATAATCCGTATACGGTAATCGAATCTGCAACAACACGAACGGTACATTGCAAATTGATACCACAATTATACGAACCAAGAATTACGAAGCAGTAATTAATTAAATACCCTACTTATTAGGCCTGTCGGTTTTACTTGGCATGAGAATTAAATCAGTAGAAGCCCGATCGGGGGAGGTATTGGCATTTGGGGAAGCGTCGATACTCCATAATCTGACTCTAGCAAATCCATGATGCTCCATGTTTTTATCATTGAAAAACTGATCATGCAAATCGATTTAGAACAAACATTTCATTACAACTCTAATCGGAAATGGAGTTTAAAGGAAAAGAAGATATATACCCTAGGAAAGCAAATTGGGATTCCTCCACGAATCGGAAATGGATGTCTGAAAACGGCCTGATTAAACAATTAGCAATCGACGGTTGAAGCAATTAGGAAAGTAAAATATTGGTAAATCAGAATCGAAATTGAAGAAGTACCTTTCTACTGAGATAAAGCAACTCTTCTGCCCCTTTCTTCCATGACATTACTTGACCTCCATAAACATAAATCTACAAATGGAATAAACGACACCGTTTTAGATAATTGAAAGGAAAATTAGAAATTTAGAAAAACCTCTTTCTCCCTTGCTCTCTCTCTCTCTCTCTCTCTCTCCCGAGATCTTCTCTAATTCTATATTCTAATCCAATTTATTGTTTCCAGTTTACGAATCATTCAAAAAATCCATAAGAATATACACTACTGTCGAATCAAAAAATTCATAATTACGTACTTATAGAAAACAAAATTAAACCAGAATACAGTAGCAAAACGGAGAAACTTGAACTGAAATTGGAAATATATATATATATATATATATATATATATGTATATATATATATATATGTATATATATATATATATGTATATATATATATATGTATATATATATATATGTATATATATATATATATATGTATATATATATATATATGTATATATATATATATATATACATATATATATATACCTCGGCGGAGTAGCCACCAGGTTGACGGAGATAGACAGAGCGTAGGCCATTACATCCGGTGCCAAATCCCACCCAAGGCTTATCCACATCCGCCGGCCCGAACGGCGCCGGCTCCGACGACGACGAAGATGAAGACGATGACATATCGACAAAATCACACATAATGTGTGTGTGTGTGTGTGTGCGTGTTTAATCTGCCTTCTCCACACTTTTTTGACTGGGAGCACTGGCGGTTTCAATTTATAGCAACAGAATGTAGTTAGTTCTCACTCTAACTGAAATCGATAGATACAGCACTTTCCGGCACCGAATTACCACAATACCCCCGTATTCTCCATTTTGTTCTTATTTTTTGCTGATTGTAAATTGATTTCTTTTGTATTAGGGCAAATTGCCATCACCTCCCTCAACCTTTAGCCATATTACAATTTACCCCCTCTTGTCAGATAATTTGCCTTCATCACCCCTGTTTTTTTTTTTGAGTAAATTCAAGTCCATTACAAGGGGAAGTATGAGAAGGGGGGGGACTCGAACCCTAGACCTTTACTCTATTGGTAAAGGCTAGGTACCAACTCTCCTAGTGACGGTTAATCCTTTACAGAAGTATTGCATGTATAAAAACCAAGAACCCATAAATCTAGGGCTGCATCCAAAAATCTAAGGTTGTTAATCCAAAATATATCCGATCATCCATCAAAAACCATAACACCTCTTTTCTACTCGGAGAAAATAATCCATCGAAATCTCCATGCATCGTCAAAACTCCGTAAACCCTCCAACATTGGATCGAGAAACTTGCAGCACAAGGTTTGTAGTCAAGGTTTTCCATTCACTATGGTCAAGAAACGAACACAGGATCAAAGTTCGACGAATTCAGGTGAGAAAATATTAACCAAAGACGACAAAGAAAAATATTGGATGGATAAACCATTGTCGGAGTATCAAAGAAAAATATTGGATGGACATACATATACAATTATTTCAATCGATTATAATTTCAGAAAATAATTCTCGAAGTTCTATATTTTTCCAAATGAAATTAAAATTATCAATATTGTTGTGCATTATATATTATACAGAAACCATTACACTTGGAGATAAATTAGATACATCAGAAAAGAAAAAAAGAAAAAAAAAAAAAAAAACAAGAAAGTTACATGGTGTAATGCTGTATTTTATCTAGATAAGTAAGCCATTATTGTTTCTGCAATCTACACATCATGTTTTTACGACAAGTTCGTTTTTTGGGATTCGATTCGATTCGCTTCAATCAAACGGTGTAATGCTGCGGGATCGTTTCAATGTCAAGGCCCTTGAGTTTCATAACTGACTCAACGTGACCCTTTAGTGTATGCAGCTCACGCAGCCTGATCCGAACAAACAAGATGAAGAAAGAAACTTCATAAGGTATAAATTAAAAAAAAGAAAAAAACGAAACAAAATAAATAAAATGAAAAAAAAAGGTGTACCTTGCAATTTCAGCTCTTCTCTTTGCCTGTTCTGCAATTTCAGAGAGTTCTCTGTAACTGCTCTTGTCATGGAAGACGTTACTTGCTTCTGATGTTTGGAGCCCATGTAAGGTCCTCTGAGCAAGAGCCCACTGAGCTTCTCTCTCCTCTTTTCCGTAATCGTTCTTTGCGGTAAAAGCAATCTTTTCCGGGAAAAGACGACGTGGAATTAGGAACGAATCTTAAGAAGCGAATGAAAAAAAGAAAAAGAAAATTACATTTATAATAATAAGTACCTTGTTGTCATACAAATTCTGCCACGCCTTTCCACTTAAGATGTAACGAGTGGCGAACTTCATTAGATCAAGTGGCACGTAGAAAACGAGGCTGTATAACCAGATTACGCCGGCCCATCCCCATCCACATCCACTGATTCTTGCAAATCCCCAGTTAGCATAGACAGCAATAAGAGTTGCAATCTACAAAATTAGATCAGTTTTAAATATTTTTGTTCAGGCAAGTTTATTTTAAGGAAACTTTACGAAGGAACAGAGGTTTTTTTTACCAGTTGTGCAATGCAAAAGGCAATCATTAGCAGGGCTCCAGGGCGTTCGACGTATGACCAACTACGAGACCTGGTCACGAAGATAAGGGCCTGGCTAACAATACTCACTTGCAAGTATAGAGCAGCCATCATTTCCTCCTCACTGTCTCTAATGTTTCTAACTCCAAATTTTTCCTGTTTTTTTTTTATCAGCAGAACGGTAAATTTTTAAATTGTTTCTTGATTTTCTTCCTCTTAAAAGCATTAAAGACGAGAAGCAAAAGTATCCTTACCGGAAAGAAGTCAGTTTTATGCATCAGCCAGAAGAATATAACGGTCATTAGTGCAAGATAACTTCCAAGTGCTACACCAGTGGCAAAAATTTCATTCAACTTCCAGCTATCAGGCAAGGGAGATGGCTTCACTCTATCCTTAGAAATGGTCATAATAGTACCTATATAAATCGGAACGATGGATTCATTAATATGTTATCGTAGTTTACAGGAATCAAAGCAGAACAAAGATGTATTGTTAATTTGTTATAATTACCGTCATTCAGAATTGCAATGATCAAAACCATGAAGGGAGAGAAATCGAACTTCCAGATCAAAGCAATAAACATGAAACCAAACTGCAAACACAAATTGCATTTCAACTTACTAAAAAAGAAGTACAAAAGAGGAATAGAAGTATCAAATTTATGCAAATGCCATAATCAACTTACCACAATACGAATGGTGATGGAGACTGCATATATCTGCCAAATAGTAACTCAAAAAGTATTAATACTTGCTTCAGCCAAAAAAGAGACATTAGATTAGAATTAAAGAAAGAAAGACAGAGAAACTAACGGTGTAATTCTTCATTCTCTGGAAAATAGCTCTACTCGTCAAGACTGCACTAATGATAACACTAAGCCCAGGTTCAGTGAGCACAATATCAGAGGCACCTCTTGCGGCATCTGTAGCATCAGCAACGGCAATACCAATATCAGCCTTCTTTAGTGCAGGGGCATCATTCACACCATCTCCAGTCATTCCAACAATGTGCTTACTCTCTTGCAACTTCTTCACTATTTCATATTTGTGCTCTGTAATTGGAAAAAAAATTGTTGAAAAATAATTAGTCGAGAGCTAAATATGATATAAGGATGCCAAAACATGAAGAAAAAAAAACTTACCTGGAAAGACTCCAGCAAAACCGTCTGCCTTCTCAATCAATTCTTCAACAGGAAGGCCAGCTATGGATTCGTCTTTGTGCTGCCCAAGTAAAGAGGCGGAAGGGTACATGTTTACTCCCATCCCGAGCCTACGCCCGGTTTCCTTAGCAATGGCAAGTTGATCGCCTAAAATATCCAGTGAAAAAAAAAGAATTTGGGTTCAGTTTGGATGGGAAATCATCAATTTTAGTATATTGCATATCCAGATTGATAAACCGTTTGACTCACCGGTGATCATTTTGACATTGACGCCAAGATTGAGTGCCCTGCGGATGGTCTCTGCACTGTCATGTCTAGGAGGATCAAAGAGTGACAAGAGCCCAACAAATTGCCATGGAGAACCAGGGCTTTCCTTGGATTTCTCCGGAACTTCCTGAAAATGCAAAAAAAAAAAAAGATTTTAGTACGGTTAAAATACGAATGAAAAAGAGAGACCAAGGAAATACACGAGGAAGTGTCTTAAATTGTCTCAGGGCAAACCTGTCTAGCAACAGCCAATGATCGCAGCCCACGCTCAGCAAATTTATCAATCACAGCATGAACCTTTTTCTTTAAGTCTTCTTTGCAGTTGCAGAGGGTCAAGATCTGATTCAGAGAAAGAGGATTAAGTACATAAAAAAATTCTTAATTAACATTCATATGTTCAGAAAGGAAATTGAGGAATTAGAAATAATACCTGTTCAGGGGCACCCTTGCTAGCTCGGTGCCACTTCCCATCGGAATCAACGTAAGTCAAAGCAGTCCTCTTATCCACAGGATTAAATGGCAAGAAATGCACCTCTCTTAGACCAGCTCTTGCCTAAGAATCCAAACGCATGCACAATTAAAACACTTTTTCACCCCTTTTACAACTAATATAAATAATCTTGATACAATAAACGAAACATACCTCCTTTGGATCAGAAAGTGTACCAACAATGGCACCATCAATCGCATCTTGATTTTCAACTCTCGAAGCCCTCGCAGCAAGAAGCAGCACATGTTCCGAGTCAACACCACTCGCAAAGACCTCAATCAAACTCTTATCAACCGACAGCTTATTCAGCGTGAGAGTGCCCGTTTTATCACTGCACAAGACATCCATGCCAGCCATTTCCTCAATGGCAGTCATTCTCTTAGTGATGGCCCCTTGCTGAGACAGCCTGTGGGACCCAATCGCCATAGTGACAGATAACACAGTAGGCATGGCAATTGGAATCCCTCCGATCAACAGTACAAGGAGATTATCAATCCCTTGCCTGTACTTCCTTCGCTGAATAGGGTACATCACAATAATCTCGGCCAGCATACCGACTGCTATGGAGCAGATGCAGAAGTTTCCGATTGCGGTTAGAACTTTCTGGAAGTGTCCGACCTGGTTAGTGCTGTCCACGAGATGTGCTGCCTTACCGAAGAAAGTGTGGACCCCAGTTGCGATGACCACAGCTTCTATCTCACCTTGCTTGCAAGTCGAACCGGAGAAGACCTCGTTGTAGGGGTGTTTTGTCACCGGAAGTGACTCTCCAGTGAGGGCGGACTGATCCACCTTTAAAGGATCTCCTTCTAGAAGACGAGCATCAGCTGGGATGATGTCACCGAGTTTGATGCTTATAATGTCTCCAGGGACCAAAATTGCAGCTTCTTGCTCACTCCATTTTCCATCTCTGAGCACCTTTTTTTTTTTCAAAGAAATGTTTGGAGATAAGAACCCAATTTTGCATTAACAAATTGGCGATGTTTAAAAGTATATGTATATATATTATATATACCTTAGTTTTAGGAGCAAGGCCAGCCATAAGGGCGGCGGCGGCATTTCCGGCATTGTTTTCTTCGATGAAACTGATGGTGGAGTTGATGACCAACAAACAAACTATACCGACAAAATCTTGCCAATCCGGTGGCTTTCCCCCTCCGTTGGCTAGGGCAATTGCCATTATAGCTGCAGCTTCCATGACCCATGACAGAGGATTCCACATAAAACCTAGAAACTTCAGTACTTTGCTTTCCTGCGAATCATCGAAAACATTAATTTGTTTTTTTTTTTTTAATTGCTGTTCTAATGGATTGAAGAATAGAAAAAAACTGATTATGAAGAAGAGAAAGAGATACATACCTTCTTCTCTTCCAATTTGTTGGGTCCAAAGAGTTCGAGCCTGTTGGCTCCTTCGTCGGAACTCAAACCCTCGCGGTTGCATTTCAACTGCTCGAACACTTCCTCGATCGGAACTTTTTCCTGTTAATTTGGAGAATTTTAGCAGATATTTTGCAATCTAAACTGCGATCATATTCAGTGTATCTAAATTCACATTTTCTTAAAAAAAAATAAAAAAAATTGAAATCCGCATGAGAACAAAATAGTACAAAATATGAACAATAATTCCAATGAAGATCGTAAATGCAAATAGTTTGGCAGCAATCGGAACTCTGCGAGATGCTTACCGGAAAGTCCGAACTCCGATCGAAAACGGAGTGTTGCAGATAGGGGTAAAAGCGGAATTGTTTTTAAAAAATTTTATGAGATTTGAATTAAAATTATTTATAGTATAATTATTAATGTAAAAATAATTAATAATTTCAAATTATTTGTTACTGGGTCCCACTCACCCCAATCCCGTGGGCCAAAGGCCCAATAAGGAAAGGAAAAAGGTTATCCTATACGACAAGCCCAGTGGGCCACTCAAATATAATTATCCACCTAGAGTAAAAATTAATTTTGATTAGTAGATTTAATTAATTAAAATTAAAAGGGTTGTTGAAGTAAGAAATCAGGCTGATCCCTTCTTAATTAATAAATTGACAAGTTGACAGTTATTCTAAAAATTAAATACAATTAAATTAAATTAATAAATGTCTAGTTGAAAAAAAAAATTGACCAACTTGTCGAACACCACCATGTGAAAACAAACTTAATTTATGCATGTGTTTCTGGACTGTTGTTTGTCCTAATTCTGATCATATATTTTCTGGTAAATAAACTCTCATATTGTAATTATCATGATAACTATATAATGTGCAAGCAATAATATAAGATAGTAATTTTGTTAATTAATTTAATTGAAATAAAATTGGCAAAAAAAAAAAAAAAAAAAAAGCAGTAGAGAAGAAATGAAATACCAAATCAACAGTCTCATTCTTGATCCCTTCAAGGCTAAGAGCCTTATCCATGTTTGGTCACAGCCCTGTCACTCTAGCTTCAAGAATCTTTATATTGAAGAGAGAGAGAGAGAGAGAGAGAGAGAGAGAGAGAGAGAGAGAGAGAGAGAGAGAGAGAGAGAGAGAGATATTGTTGTGAGAGAAAAGATGGCTGCATATGCCCTCTTTTATACCTCTCCACAAGATGAGACCTCCCTTCATACCACCCCACCCCCTACCACCCCTCACACACACACACCAACAATTTATTATTATTTTTTTATTTAGAGTTTTATTATATACTACACCTGGTAAAATACATCGACTATATCATAATATCATAATAGATTATTCACAGGCATTTAAGTTTGTGTTTAGATGATTAGGGGTGATAATCGATTGGTCTGGTTAAAATTAGCAATTTCGGAAGGGGAAAAAAAAAACAAATTATTCCAAAAGTGCATCTAATTCTAATTTTGTTCCTTCAATTTTGAAAAAAAAAAACGGATTTTTTGAAATTGGAATTAAAACGATTCTTCTAGAATTGAAATTTTTCGGATCAAAATCGACAGAATTAAAAACAATCACTTTTTTTTTTATTCACCTTTAATTATTGAAATACATAATAATATCGATATTATAAAAATAGAATTTTTGGAAATCAAAATCGAAATCTGTATATATGTTCTTTTTGCCCTTTTGTTGACAACATCATGGCTGCCATTATTGGAACTACATGCAGATATTCATGGCAGTTATGTATTAGTTATTTTATTTTATTTTATTATTGGCCCTTCAAAAGTTGGAACCTAAAAATTGTGAATATTCAGGTTCTGTAATTAGCATTTAATTAATCTATTTATTTATTTTTATTACTTTTTTTTGTACATCATTCAATTTGATTTTTATTTCACTACACTCCATAAATTAATTGATTTATCTAAAGAGCATTTGAAGGGTGAAAAACAGCATTATTAAAAAAATCTAAAATTATAAAAAAATAAAAATAAAAAATCTCAAAATAATTAATTAATTAAAACCTTTGAATTAATCTCAGGATCGATCCTTCACACCCCAACATAAGTACATAGGATGTTTGAATTGAACCATAGGGTAAAGGATGCTTAATAGGGAGACAAAATGCCTTTAATGAAATTGGACCCCTTTGACAATTTCACAAATTAATATATCTTTTTAATTAATTAATTAATTAATTATGACCTTAATAAATTGCATGGACCTTTCTATATATACAAAAATTCAGTTTTGTCTCCACCCTTGTATTAAAAGGTGCAAAAAAGTTGACAATATTTGTTTAGTGTTTTTCAATTTCCTACCTCAATTTAGGTTATTTTGACATAATTTGTTTTAACCAAGAAATCAATAGTCAACTGTATAGGTGCATTGAGTAAATCTACAGTCTCATATAGTAGTTTGCAAATTATACGAGAGAAGTAAACTACAGTTGGTAAGGAGATTCGAACTTGAATCGATTGACACAAATTCAGTTTCTTTTATTTATAAAAAAGTAACATTCAATTATAATATACCAAGATGACAAATTACTAAAGTTTTGAGTGTATTTTTTCTTTAATTAGGCAATAAATGTATATGTTAATATTGTATGAAGAGTGTCTACAAACATATGAAGAGAATAATTTATAGACACATATTCCACCCTGTCAAAAATTAATTTGAAAGAAAAAAAAAACACGAATTAATGGCAGGGTTAATTTAAATTAATAACACAAGTTAAAAAAATTCATCTCTATCACAAACGAGTTGACCTGATGCTGGCTGCTGTACTAATATGGATATTTAATACAATTTGGTTTGGTACACTTATAACAATTTGACCCCTTAAATCAAATCTAATTACAGGTGGATACAACAATAATTTGCATTTTTTAATTTTTCTTATCCCTAATTTGTCCTTATACTCTAAATTTAATTTTTATATTCACATTTAAAATAATTACCAAAATAGCAAGTAGTGATTTAATGCCTGGAAAAACATGCCATGAACACCTAATTTATTCAGGTTGTATCCTGATCAAATTTATATGTGAACAACATTTTAATTTGAGAATTAATAATTTGTGTGTGTATATATATATATATATATATATATATATATATATATATATATATACAGTGTATCTATTTACTAAATTTTCAACGTTGCATAAGTCAGCCGCGCACACACACATGTGCTTACATTATTGTACATATTTTAATCAGAAAAAAATGGATACATTACATTATTGTCCTAATTAATTACACAATTTAATCAATTACATTTATAACTGCCTCTTCTTCTTGGTTTACTTTTAATTCTTTTTTTTTTTTTTTTTTTGCTTAAGTCTACTCTATAAATTAAGTATTCGATATTCGTACGTAAGTATTTATCTTAGTTCAAAGTCCAAACACCTAACAAAACAGCCATGCTTCTATTTGAAAGTCTCATCTTTTTGCTTACGTCTCTAGATATTCTATTTTTTTTAGGATATATATATATAACTATACATACATATATTTATATATGTGACGGCGAATGTAGTGTGATCTAAGGGTGTGCAACTGCGCAACCTTGAACCTTTTTTCTTCTGAATATTCCCTATGTATATTATTGTATATTTAAAAATCATCATGTCTCATGTGTTAACTTTGTTGTTAACTTTGGGTAAATTACGGTCACTCTCTGAGATAAGGTCAAATTACGAAAAAAATTGATGTTTGGGTAATTACAAACGGTCCCTTCAACTATGAATCTTCTTACACATACATCTTTATGGTGTCAAATTCAATATAATCATCTAGATTTTGTGGGATGTTCTCTAGTTCGTACTCGTTTTGTGCAAAAATGCAGTTCATGATGCACCAGCATTCGATACTTACAAGCAAAAGAAATACATTTTATGATCATCTTGTCTCAAAATGTGGAGCTCAAATGGGATAAAACGGATACAAACTGAAGAATATTCCACCACAATGGTAGACGTGCAAGAAGATTCATAGTTAATGAAGCTGTTGTAATTACTCAAACTTAAGGGATTTTTTCATAATTTGACCATACCTCAGGCGGTAGGCCCTAGTTTACCAATTATTTTTATATATGTGCTAATACAGTGTGTGTGTGTGTGTGTACACTTGGATGTAGATTAAAGTCAGTTTGGAACAAGTGTACAATATGGCTATGTAATTCAAGTTTTAGACTTCCAAGTTCGATCCATGAAATAAATTCATACTTATCTTCATATTTATTATGTTTTACTAACCAGTTTGTCTTAGTTTCCAATCCAACCATACACAAAGCAAATACACAAAATGAAATAGGTTCAGGGCAAAATTACATACATATGTTCGACCAAAAACGAAAAAGTTCCGATGATTGAGAAACAATTATCCATCTGTAAATATGAATACTATTTTCTGCCGGTGCGGTAATATATTTATCTCACAAGAGGAATGAGCAGGTACTCGGCATAAAAAAGCTGCACACGCACGACAAACTATCAAAATAAGTCATCGAATTTTACGCATAGTAATTCTTTTAAATATATATTTATAGTGCAAATACCTTCCATATGAACATGTAAAATGCTGTTATCGAAGCTTTGTTCTTCAAATCAATTGATTTTGCTCGATTCCATAGCAATAATCCCAACAATGTATGACCGATGACCTAAAGTTATTGCAAAACGAAAGCAATGAATCGACCATAACACGAATTAAGGTGTGGGCCCATGGCCCGTTTCTTATCATGGGCTTGAAAATTCTTGATTATATTGTTTATCATGATTCTCGAACGAGGACTAATAAGAATAAGCTCAAATTGTTTTAGAGGAATATTTGGTTTTTACCGTTGTCCACTTGCTCCAAGTGCAAGTAGATTTGGCTCCGACGAATAAAGCGACAGCATATGCCATTTCAAGAAGTGCAATGCAGATCCAGAAGACCTGTCGCAATAGTTTCGATAAAAATAAATCAAGAAAATTTAAACAGTTTAAAATTGTAAATAACTGTTGTTATGAGTCGACGTTCAACTAACTAACCTTCTCTTGGCCCACCCGGACAGTAAAAGATTGGATCCCGTATATCTTGTCCCCGACAATATCAGGTATATCCTAAAAACATTTTTCATTAAAAGAAATATTTTTCAGTTCTCACTAACTCGGGTTTCTTTTAAGCAAGAAAATATAATTTTATTGCATGCTGTTTCAAAATTGCAATAATTTTATTGCATGGTCTAAATATATAATTAAATAATTATGCAACTAAACGGCCATGCTTCAATTTAAATAATTCACCTTAAACAATGCAATGACGACGGAGAAGAAGCTCATGAATGCAGTTGCAAAAATCACGGGCTTTGTGAGGACAGCTGGCCGTCCATATACATACATCTGAAAATAGCAAAAAACGTAAAAATATATATATATATATATATATATATATATATATATATATATATATATATATATATATATAAATAAAAATTACAATGATAGAAATGGTTGTAGTAAGAAAATAACACCTGGACATGCAAATAGAATGCAACTTGGACAATGACTGCTCGAACAGCAAAAATGCACATCGCTGCAACTACAGCAAATCTCTTCCATCTAAAAAACGGCAACTGCATATTGTTGATCGAGAAACATTTTGATGCTTTAATATAAAAGAAAATTATTATGAGAAATAATTTGATGCATAAAAACAAAATAAACTTACATTAATGGAATATGCAGTTCCAAGTATAAAACTGATGAAAAGAGCCCAAAATAACGGCCACGAACCAACAATCCATCCAAGCCAAAAACTCTACAAATCGGAAAAAAGAAACCGGAAGTTTCATTTAAGATAACACTAATTTTGGGACTTGTAGGCAAATTAAATGAAATCTTTTTACGCACCAAGATGGCAAATGATGTGACAATCATTACACCTGTTGTGACGGAATATTCCCCAGATGCCAACGGGAGATATGGTTTGTTTACCTGATTAAAGAAACGGTGTCACATTTTTATTCTACAAATAGCAAAATGTAATTCAAAACAGATATCAAAATCTTGGATTGCTCCTTTGACGAAGCAAAACATTTCTAGTTCTCATATAACATAGTTTTAGCTCGAGAATACAGTTGCAAGCAAACCTTGTCTATTTCGATGTCCGAAATTTGATTTAATCCAACAATGTATATGTTCATGAATAGAGCAGCAACAATCGCCTGCAAAAAAAAAAAAAAAAAACAGGACAAGTTCATAAGTTTAAAGCATCAACCAAATATTCGAATTTCCCAATTTCAAGATTCTAACGGATGAAAAAAAACTACGGCATACCTCTAGTACACCAGTGAAGAATAACGGAGAAAGATCCGATGATTTCTGAACCGCAAGCAGAGAAACCGAGATTATGCTCAATGTCTGCTCAAGAGAAACAGAGTGTAAGATTTCTTTTACTGCAACAAAAAGCTATACAGAAATGCAACGATCGAAAGATATAACAAGAATTATGAACCTAACTGTTCCTATAACCGTATGAGGCCGAGAAAACCTGTAGAAAGCATCTAGGGCATTCGAAGGGCTTCTAGAAGGTTCGGATTCGATAGAATGTTCAGAAGCTGACCTCACTATGAACTTCAAATCTTTCCTTTGATTTAATTTAATACTCCTTTGCCCAATACTTTTACAATGCTGGTGTATCGAATTCAGCTTTTGCACCCGTAATATCGTCGGCACGGCGCAATGCCTTTTTAAATTCCCAAATGCTTTGCATTTTAGAACATGTCCTGCAACATCAAACCCTAGTAATTTCAGAACAAATTTACTCAACAATCCATATTAGAAAAAAAAAAATTAAAACAAACAAACAAACATATACATGCATCTGTTTTAAATCAGGAGATAGAAAATGTAAATCGATTACTGAATTATTTGTGTTGAAGATGAACAAATTAGAAGAACCAAAATCCAGAATTAAAAAAATAATAATAATTAGCTGTTTTTTTTTTTTTCCCAGTAATGAGAGATACATACCAGTGGGGAGTGAGCACAAATCAGCGGTTAACGGAAAAGAAAGGGGCGAAGAAGATTTCTGGAAAGATCCAATTAGCAGAGACTCCATTTGGATCAAACAGTAAGTAAGATGTACGGATACTCCGATGCTTTTCACAAATGAATGAAAGTTTCTCTCTCTAAGAGAAGAAAGAGGGATGAGAGAGAGAGAGAGAGAGAGCAGGTTGGTGAACAGTGTGCAACTCTGCCTGGAGTTAAACCTATGTGTGAAAACAACGAATCACATGGTGCCACAGAGACTACTCTCCAGTCTCACTGAAGGTACTACTTCTACTGTGGAATGTACAAGCTTTCAATTTGTGCTTTTGCCTCAGGAATATCAAAATTTTTGTCTGAATTTGAAGTCGTTTTTATTTTATATATATATTTCTGTTTTTGTTTTTTATAGTAAATAATTCACAAAATAAATTAGGCTAAATTACGGCCACTCTCTTGAGTAAAGTCAAATTACGTATAAAAAAAAAATAAAAAAAAAATTTACTCATGTTTGGATAATTACAACCACCACCTCAGCTATGAATTTTGTTAAATGTTTACACTTATAGTATCAAATTAACAGAATCTTTTAGATTCCGTGCAACGTTCTCTAATTTGTACTTGTTTATGTGCAAAAAAGACAGAGTCAGCTGCACCACAATCTGATATTTACAAGTTAAATGACACATCTTATGATCATCTTGTTTCAAAATGTGGAGCTGAAATGGCATAAAACTGGAGAATATTCAACATTATCTAAAAGATTCCTCTAAATTTGACAACGCATGGATGGATGTGCAAAAAAATTCATAGTTAAGGAGTGTGATTGTAATTATGCAAAAAAATTCATAGTTAAGGAGTGTGATTGTAATTATCCAAACATGAGTGATTTTTTCATAATTTGACCTTACCTCAGGAGGTTGGCCGTAAATTTACACGACAAGTTAACCAAACTTGAATAAAAAGATGTTTAAAATAATTTCTGATTTAATACCTCTATATATATATATATATATATATATATATATATATATATATATATATATATATATATATATATATATATATATTTGATATTTTTGGAATAATCCAAGTTTGAATTTCTGCAATTGGTTATTGTCTATAGATATTTTGACTTGTCAAATTTATTACTTGTACAATAATTTGGTGGCTGATAATAACAGCAATTGTTATTATCGTACTTCCAAATATTTAAAACCAATATAAAGTTAAGTATTCAAAAAAATAAACTTTTAATTAATAAATACTTGCCACAAATTCTATAAATAAAAAACTACATGTAAGAAATAAAGAACAGAGACAAACATTCCAACAAGCAACTGCATCAATTATTAAACAGAATAAATTAAAGATAAACCATACACACACACATCTCAATACTTTTCTCTCCTTTTCTTTTTTCCTGCTGTGTTTCTCAAGTTTCAACTTACAGAACCTGAACCACAAACACACCACAAACCTGATGCAACTAAACTGTATATATATATAATAATCATAATACCCTACAATTCCTCTACCAAATCTAACATCCTAGAGAGAGAGAGAGAGAGAGAGAGAGATTAGCAGAATTCCCACAAGAGCATTACAACAAAATTAAATACCACTTCACCTGTGCAGATCAAGCATTTCCGCAATTATATAATCGAACTTGCCAAAGATAGTTCATGAATCTCACCGAGCATCCACTCTTCCCCAGTTTGCCCTCCAAGAACAATAGCCCTAGTCCCTCCAACAATACACGTACTATGCCCCCACGCAAACCTAGGAGGTCTCCCCGGCACATTCAATATCCTCCACGTCGGCTTCTCCTCCGTCGGATCGAGTATATACAGCTGCGAAGCCGAGTGCAGCCCTGCCACAGAACCGCCAAACACCAGTATCCTACCCCCAGGTAAGCTTACCGCCACATGGTCCAGTCTTGGAGGGGGGGACACCCCCCCCGGATTCCCACCCCCCGGCATCTCACTCCCCGTCACACATCTCCAACAAGGCTCCTCCTCACTCAAATCCATTGTAAAAACATCGCTCGATCGAAACCTGAGGGGCCCACTTTTTGCTAGACCCCCAAACATCAAGATTTTTCTCCCACCGTACACCGATAGTGTGTGCCCTAAACGCGAAGGTGGGGTCCACGAAACGGGTATCTCTCTCCAAACAGGTTTTTCCATAGACAGATCGAGCAAGAAAGTGTCACTTAAAAGCACTCCAGAATCAGCACATCCACCCGAAACTACTAGTTTAGACCCGTCTAGAGTGCACGAGCTATGCCAAGACCTAGGAAGAGGTGGGGCCATGCTGAAAATCTCGCGCCACGTAGGGTGCTTGGCGTCCAAGTCAAGGACAAATACGTCATTAAGCAAGCCTTGTCTACCGCAACCTCCGAACAGGACAAGATTCGAACCGTTGACGCAAGAGAGCGTGTGGCCCCACCTACCGGGGGGTGGTGACCCAACTTTGAAATTTTGCCACTCTGGATTAGATGAGCTCAGGTCCAGCACAAAGGTATCGTTCATCGGCTGCATATTTACGCCTTCGCCACCGAAGAGAACCACACGGTTTCCCACAGCACATGCACTGAAGTTGCATCGAGAGGGCTCCACTGCACCTCCAACCGTTAGCTTTCTCCATGCTGCTGCTTCGAGAGTAGTGAGCTCCCTTGCCAATCTGCCCCATCCTAATCTTTTTGCACCTGGCACAGTCTCGAGTACCCGAGTTGTTTCGCTTCCCCATGCGTTTTGACAGACCATTCGCCAGAGATCTTCATTCCTCGTTAGCTCGTAGAGCCGTCTAGAAACTGATCCGACAGATGCAATATCTCTTGGAGTTAGCCGTGAGAGAATCTTGAGAGCAAGTACTTCGTCGCTCAACTCCAGTATTCCACAAACCCCACCTGAAACTGCTTCGCTAGGAGAAATTTTAAATCTAAACCTATCAGATGCTCTAGAAGAATCCTTGAATGAAGCCGAAGATTTAGGAAGTGGGCCAAGATCAAGAGCTGCCTCTGTGAAAACTTGTATGCCGATGATGTGTGTTATTGTTTCATCGTCACCGTATATTGGGGTCATGCGCAATCTGTTCATCATTGGGAATCCATCTTTTCTGAAATTTAATAACTCACCTTGAAACTCGGTGCCTTCAGTCATGCATTTTCTTATTTCAGCAACTTTTATGGGGTTGACAAGAGGGTGTCTTCGCTTGGCAAATGGGCCTCTGCACTGCAGAAAGCGGCTGCACAATTTCCAAAACAATCAAGACATGATATAGTAGCACAAAAATATTTGTCCGGTAAATCGGTAATGACTTGTAAAAGAGACAAAAAAGGGAACGAAATTCATCATTTGAATAAAAAAACGGATTCTGAATTGTAACCAAGCGTCGCCCAGTGGTATTCTTTTCAGACAGCTGCAAAAGGCCAAAGATGTAGTAAAAAATAATATCGGGCAAAATAGCACATGATCCGTCACCAATAACAAGAAGTTGACATGTGAAAATTTCAGTTTCACTAAAATCTCCAATAAGCAGTAACCAAAACCGAATGACCTGCTAACAGAAAATTTTCATCACAGAGAGCTGCCAAACTTGATCACAACGTAACTAGGGACGAGCTTCTAGAATTATCATTCATGCACGGTGCACAAACTACTACCCCACTATCACATCAGTAGGAGTACAGCATCAAAAAGATTCAGTCTTCTAATTATCTAGTATCATTCTTTACATTTTAGTGGCATATGAGGAAAAAAAATTAACAATTATGACAGTTAGTTAAGTGATTCCACACATCCAAATGTGGAACTTGCAAAAGTTTATACTGTATCCAGAGAGGAAACAAAATGATTAGTGCCCCTGTTCTCAATTGAATTACTTCATCAGCTTCTCAAGATGTCCACAACCAATAACATGCATCCAAATAAACTAAGCAACTTAGAATTGCACAACAAAAGTAGGAAAACTGAAGAGAAAGAAGCACTTTCAATTCTCACTCAAAGTTTTATGTCGGTCTATAACAAACTGCTGTCGGGAAAAGAGACAAAATAAAACTTCTCGTATTTGCAATTCACATCAACATAAGATTTTTCTTCGTTCACTGAGGTTCTACCGGAAAGATGTTAACCAGTTCTACCCAATCACTACATCCAAACCCAATTAATTCCGGTTATTGCAGCAGCAGGGTGGTAAAGAAGTAACTAATGGCTGAGCAGCAGGGTAAGGTGAAGCAGCAAAAAGTGGTAGTAGATGATGTAAAGAGAAACGAGGACCAAAACTATGACAACTGCACACGACAGAATAAGCCGATAACGGAAATTCTTCAGAAGCGAAGAAGGCAAATGGCACAAACCTCAAGAGGAAAAATTGAATCAAGAGAAAGAAACTGAAGGATGACAAAAAATGTACTGCTGAAACAACATTATTCCAATCAAATTGCCATAAACACAAAAAATCATCCACAAAAAAAGGAACTTTAACCACGAAATCCCATTATCTACACACCACATGCCACAACATAATTATAAAAAAGAAAAAAAAAATTAAAATTAAACAACAAAAATAAATAAAAAATACTAACCAATTGCGTCCAAGAACTTCCTCTGCTCGATACCCAGTCATCGTCTCGAATACGGAATTGACATAAATAATGGGATGGTCCGGCTCCAAAGCATCCGTAACAACAAACCCACACGGCGCGGGTTGCAGAAGCTTGTCGATTGGGAACGGCAGTTCTCCTCCGCCACTCTTCTTCAACATAAACCCTAATCCTCCACCAATCTCCTCCTCCTCCTCCTCCTCTTCCTCGCCGCTGCTCAGATCAGACTCCGAATTACTATCCCACTCCATCATACCTCAACAGCTCACAAAACCAAGCTTCCTTCAGCTCATACAACAACGAATCGACAACAGAAAAAATCGGACAAAGAGAATCAATAATAATTGGGATTCAATTTGGGTTTAGGTAAGGAAGTGGGAAAATGAATGGACGAGGTGTTCGGTTTTTGGGGCTGATTTTTTTTTTCTTTAGCGAAGGAAAACAGAGGGGCAAAATGGTAAAATTGGAAAGAAGTGAATTCTAATTGGTTGGTGTGGGAGATGGTGAAATGCTTTATATGTACGATCGGAGGAAAAGGATGACACGCTTAATCGATTTGTACCTAGTGAATCAAGTGGTGTACGCGTATTCATCCCATTAATTTACATATACACCACACAAAATTACAGTGCACTTCCAATCCACGCAAGGTACCACCTTTTTTCTTCCCACTTGCAGTTTGTACTGAAACAGAACAACGGGGAAGAAGAAGAAGAAGATAATATTTGCTTCAATTTCAATTTTTGATTTAATTATTTAAATAAAAATGCCAATTAAGAGTGAACCTTCCACTCCGCCGCCGAGTATCGGCAAGATCGGGCCGTACACCGTGTTTGTCACTCCTCCGGCGACGCCCAAACCGGAATTTACCTCAGTACAGAAACCGGTTCAGCCGCTTACTCCTCCGCCGGTTATGGCTCCTCCGGCTCAATTCTACAAGGAAACCCCTTCTTCGTATGCTTTCTTCTCGGACGCCGTTGCCAAATTTCAAAACGGTACCGTTTCGGTTAATCTGTTTATTTTCTATTTTTGTGACGGAAATAAAATTTGAAATAATTTTTTCAGCACATGAGAATTTGGATGAACACGTGGCACATTGGTTTGGATTGAACCAGTCAAAATATCAGTGGGCATTAGATGATTACTACCAAAACAATGAGAAGGTGAGGTTTTCTTCTTTGATTATTATTTTTTATTATTATTATTATTATTATTATTATTATTATTTATTTGTTTATTGTTTTTATTATTATTTATCCAGAATAAGAGAGATGATAAACCAAAGATTAAAGAAGGCAAAGTAGAGATTGTATGATTCAGACAAATGCTTATGATCAGGTAAGATAGTTCACTAAACCTTGGATAGCAGCTACATATTGTTGTATTATTTTTAATATTTACACTGAAATTAAAAGAAAATGTCTGCGTATATTTTGCAATTTGATTCGATAACCAGATAAAACGGAACAAGATCGACTGGAGTTCGTTGTTTACATAGTTCTAGTGTTGCTTAACATGTACATTAACTTGTTTGCTATTTAGTTACACGAATTTCTAGAGAGAGCGTATCTTGGAAAAGGAGAAACCTTTGTAACCCTCGTAAGCATACCTGCAGTTTTTCAGCATCAAAGAATTAATTTGGTCTCGAGATTAATTAGATATAGAGCTTGTGATGATAAAAAACGAGCTTGGATTTTAATCGAGCATATAACGGGGGCTCTTGTAAAATAGTCTAACCATGCTCAGTCGAATTAATTTTAGCAATTCAATCAACATCCACACGTCAAGAAAGAAAGGAAACCATAAAAAGAACATTCCTTAATAATAAATTAGAAGAAGAAATACCGTGGGCCCGATCTCCCCCAATCTTAATAATCATGTTTCAAGCTTCGGGACCTTCGCAATATGGAAGTCGAAAGAAGCACGGTGGTGGTGGTGGTGGTGGCGTTTCTATCTTGATATACGATCTTAGCTCTATCAACTCTTTCTTCAACCTGCAATTCTCCTCCATTAATCGCTCCCAAGTTTTCTTCAAGAACTGGAAATCAGCCTCCGTTTGCTTTAGTTTTGTCCTACATTAAATCGTATTAAAGAAAAAAATACAGTAAATAACTACTAAAAAAGAAAAGAAAAAAAAAAGAAAAAAAAAAGATGAAAATTCAAATCAAAATATTGAAGAAAAAAAGAAATAATAATTAACCATGCTCTCCGGTTTTGAAACCAAACTTCAACTTGTCTGGTTTTGACATTCAATTTTTCTGCCAGCGCCTGTTTCTGAGCCTGCCACCATTGTAAAAAAAAATACCTTCTATTTTCTTGTTTATTTAAACAAATATATATATATAAAATATATTTATTATATATACACTAAGATGTTTTAGTGTGTACCGTAGTAAGGGTGGAGTGCTGCCTGAAACTGTCTTCAAGCAAGGTTGTCTGATCTCTAGTGAGCCTCATTTTCTTTCTGCTACAATTCTTGTAACTATTGCTGTCATATTCCTTATTTTCGCTTTCTTTCTCGTAATTTTCAAACAAATTCAAGCTCAAGCTCGAATCGATAATTCTAAGATCGTCAGGGTGACGTGAGATAGAAAGATCGAGAAACAACATGGGCTTAACTTTCTTTTGATCTTCCCTTTTGGGCTCGTACGGATTTAGTCCGAGCCCAAGAGTAGTGTTGCAGTATTGATCATCATGTTCATCCATGGTTGATCAAGAGATAAGAGTGGGAATGAGAGTGGATGTATTGTTAATTACTATGTCTAGAGTAGTTAATTTAGAATATCAAAAGATTTAAAAAACAATGTTATGATTATGATTCCTTTGAGGAAACCAAATTCCACAACAACAAATAAAGAACTTTTCGACTCTTTTGTCACCCAAAAAAAACAAGTTGGTAATTAATAGGAGTTTGCCTGCCTGCCTCTGTAGTGTCTACTCTTCTAGAACACGTGATTTTGTGCCTTATTATGTATTAATACTCAAGAAAGTTGAAACTGTGAAGTTAATAAGTATGAAGTTAGTCAAAATGGTTAATAACTGTAAATTGAACTTGTAACCCCAACCATGAAAGAAGGCAATAGACTAAAGAATAAATTTAGTAGCATTAAACCATTGATTGAGGGGAAGAAAGTTGACTAAAATAGTTTGAACTGACAGTTAGCTAACGGTAAACATGCAATACTGAACTTTAATGACAAACCCTTCTTCTTCTTGAAAACCAAATGATATGATCACAGTGTGTTTCATCATTTGAAGCAGTTTTTCGTTTCATCTACATTTTTGCTAACTTCAACGATGAATTTCGTGTTTGTTATGACTTGCGATGAAAAAAGCTAATCGAGGACAAAAAAAATTGACTTAATATAACCATATCAAGCAACAAATAAAGAGAGACACACGCATATAGAAATCCACAAAACCAAGATGTAAGAACGAGTGAAAAAAGAGTCATGTATTATAGGAAGAAGTAAGTTCATGTTAATTGTGAAGAGCAGAATGGAGTGAAAGCATACCGTTAGTATACTGCTTTCTCACCTTCTTGTACTTTTCCAGCATCACTTGGTAATATCGTTCCACATTCTGAAACTCTACTTCACTGCAAAACTTCGACTTAACCTCCATGAAAGTAGCTTCTGCTATATCCCTGTGCTGAATGAATGGATCTGCTAACGAAATATTCGAACTTGATGATTTTTCTCTTTCCTTTTCTTCTTCTACATTGAGATGCTTCATCCATCTAATATGTTCAAGAGGATCTTCGTTTTTCTGAAGAGCTGCTTCTAAATATTCAACTGCATCTGAAAACTTTGACTCATTGGTGATCTTATTGAACAAACAGTGAAAAGTTGTCTTCTGGTTTTCGTAAAACCGATCTCCAGCATCTGAACACAGTAGCTTTGATCCAACCAAGGAAGCCTTCCGAAATTCGGGATTTGTATTGCCGATTAACTTTATTGCAATATGCAGTAGCCTCACAGATAATAAACGAAGGTTATATAGAACAGAATCACCAGATGTGTCCTGTATATCTTTCTGTTTAGTACCCCAACAATAGAGCGCAATTTGCATAAAACCTTCCCACCTATCACATGAACCATCAAAATGAAATAAATAGTCAAATGACAAGTCTAAATTACCTTGGATAGTATTTTCTTTGATGATGTATTAAATCAAAGTACTCACTCAAATGGAGGTTCAATCTCAACAGCCAGAGTCAAATGCAAGGAAAATCCAGCATTAACATCTGTTACTGCCTCGTGTGGAGAACCTCTTGGAATGTACAAAACATCGCCTTCTTCCAGCAGAAACTCTTGACATTCACCACCATCAGATTTTCTACTTTTATTCTCCAAATCATGCCAGCTGTCACAAGGTTCGTATAAACGAGGTAACTGAAAATCCGGCCGAGGAAATACTTTCCATCTCTTTACACCAATAATTTGGCATACAAAGACGCAGTGGTCATCACTGTGACGAGCTAAGCCCTGTGAATTAGCTGGTGTTAAGTACATATTAACACCAGCTGAAGGCTGCCCAAAGAGAGAAGCTAATCCATCTGCAATAGCAGCAATACTTTGATAACGAAATTCCAAACCACGTAGAGCAATGGAGTAGCCCTCGTTAAATGCTTCTTCGCATTTCAAGATTTCGTCAATGCTGAGATCGCATTGCTCCTGAAAATAGTGCAACTCTCTTTCTATGCCCCGTGTTTTCACGACCCGAATATCCTGATGGTAGATTATAGGGTGACCAATATGATTCTTTATCTCGTTTATGACATGAGAAATATCTATTTCGTCTGAGGAAATGGATGGGCAAGAAATAGTGTTTTTTAATATGGAAGTAAGAAAGGAAGGTACTGCCTCTTTCGAACCAAGATACTGAATGAAAGGTCCGAAGATACCGTCATGCTTTAATGAAGCCTTGGGTGGATTCCTTATAAGCATGGGAGATGTCTCCCAAATATGCAATAAAAATCGTTCGATATCAACTTCCCCTGAGTCAAAAATGCTTCTCTTAACATGTTCGGAATCTAGGGTTTGTTGGTGCAGACCACCATTAATAGATAACCTGAATATACATTCGACCAAATTATTTGTTCTGATGTTACTTATGCAGAACTCGTTTTTCTGATCGAATCTTGAAGAGGAGCTGCATAACTTCCTTCTATATGCTTGCCCCCACAGTCTTTTTAAGAGCAACGAAAATTTTCCAGAAAGTTCCGTTGGTATATGCTGCAGCTGCTCAACCGTGCAGTAGTTTATTAGAGAAATGGCACACTGGAGAAGCAATATCGGATACTCATCTTCTTCCAACAACGTCATGTCAGTAAGGAGACAAACTTTTGCAGCTGGAGATTCTGATTCCTTTACGAAGCAAAGACTAATAATAGTTCAGTCACAGAGAAAAATGCTTTCACCCAAAAGTCGACTCATATAAGGTACTAAACAAACTAAAAAAGAACGGCCACAACTATTGAGTTTCATCGAATTTTTATTTCTTCCAGGCCGTACATTGTTAAACACTTTACGTGTCATAATTATACATAGTATCTTCAAAACATCGAAACTAGGAAGCAGAAAAAAGAACTCCACCAGTACTATTAGGGTCATGTGATAATTCAGCAACCATTTTTACCGCAAGCAATAACCAATTAAAGAAACTACAAGAGTTTTTGGGCTTTACCCATGCATTTGCCGTATATCAAGATGGACTAACAACTAAAAATGAACAATCAATCAGCATGTGACTTCAGGTTTTGCATCGTCTAAATATTCTATTCTTCCCATAAATTAAATTCGAAGAAAATGCTCACATAATATTCTCGATTGCGGCGAATTCAAGCAGCTGCTGCCGTCCAACAGATGTGGTGGCTAAGTCCAATACAGCATTGCAAGCTGCCATTGAAATCTCCCTTTTGGGACTTGTTAGCAATGAGATTAAACCCTTCACTGTTTCATCTTCCTCGGCAATCATTTCATTCATCTCCAACGACGATAGAGACGCAGCACCTACAATCTCCGCACTCTTGCACGCAATTTCGGCATAACTGATGAAACAAATGGAAAGAATTAAATAAAATAAAAAAATATTACAGTAGTTACTAAAACATACTGCCAACAACTACACACTCAAACAAAACCCTAATTCATGAAATTCTACAGCAATCACTTTCCACAAACATTAAACATACAAACAGCCCATAAATTTAGAAGAATCAACGATCTCAGAAAAAAAAAAAAAAAGGCATAATCATTAATCAACACATTAAACAAAAAATCAGGTCGTAAAAAAAACAAAATAAAGTAAAATTTAGGGAAAATTGAGATTATAATTACTTGAATCTGAGAAGTGATGGAAGCAAGGAGAGGATTGGCGACAATTGGAGATGGGGAAGGTTCAGAAACAGATCGTTCAAGCATTTTTCGATGAGGGGAATTGCTACATCTGATTTCGAACAAACGGCTGCCAAAAGTAAAGGAAAAATGTTATCGCGGTGGATTGTGTTTCTCTTCTTCTTCTTCTTCGTGATGCTTCTTCGTTTCCTCTTCATAATCTTCTGCAGCTGCGCTTCCATTACAGTTCTTCCTCGGCCTTTTCAGCTAAAAAGGAGATATGTGAAAAGACTCAAATGGGCCTCAATTGCTCTCGTTATTATTATTTGCTGAAAATTTATTCGATTTATCTAATCACGCCCTAATATTTTAACCAATATATTTTGTAGAAATTGAGACCCAAAATCAAGCTAAATGACTAAAAATTAAACTAAATCATTCTATACTGGATTTTATTTCGTTCATTAAAAGATCGATTTATTAACATAACAAAATCAAATTTGAAACCCTGTGAATTTTTACATGTACACCATTGCAGTGTCAAATTTAGTGGAATCTTCTAGAATACGTTTAGAATTCTCTAGTTTGTATCCATTTCATTCCATTCGAGCTCCATATTTTAAAACAAGATGATCATAAGATGTATCTTCTTCTTTTGTACAAAATAAATACAAATTAGAGAACATTTCACAAAATATAGAAAAGATTATGTTGAATTTCAGCCCGGCTTTGAATTTTCAGTGAAGAATTCAATCTAATGGGATGTAAAAAATTAGTACGAGAGAACAAATATTAGGACAAGAGGTCTCATGAAAATGGTGGGCTATAATTTAGAATAAATCAAGAAAGCATAAGGTACAACAATGTTTTTGTATAAGTTTTACTGCAAATATAGTTAAAAAAGATCAATGGCTCAAAGTTCTTCTTCCTCCTCAGTAGCAAGACCTAAAAGTTTTGCCAGTGCTCCACTCTCGTATGCTTCCACAGTATCTGCAAACCGAGCAATTCGTTCGTTACACGAGAAAACGCCGAAAAAAAATTGAACTTCAGAGATATCGTAAAAATAGAATTTTGAATAAATAGAACATATATATACCCACATACCATCAGAACCTCCAAGATGCTTTCCGTTTATGAAAACCTGCGGTACAGTTCGCCTCCCAACAATCTTGCTCAGGGCATCTTGAATTTCCCCTCCATCCTCTAAACACATAAGAAACATCAACGGTAATCAATATCTGTATATATTTATTTTAATCAAGATCTCATAAATAGGTAATTCTTGAGTTTGCAGCTTTGAGATTTGATTATTATTTCATCTTCTAATTTATCACCATACAACATTCATTTGCTTACACTCCAATATCCGAGCAATACTTCCAACAAGAAGTCAAGGATAAACGGAGAGCTTATTGAAAGACAAACCTCTCTCGTCGAGTTCTACAACATATGGCACTTGATTCAGCTCTTTGAAGACACCTTTTGCCCTTCTACAGTATCTACATATATCAAATACAACAACAAAAAGCAACAATTTAGAAAACATCTCTGCCATTATTACTACACGAACTAATTTTAGGAACAAACTTAAAAACGTTCGCTGATAATTCAGCCATTTCTTTGTAAACTTGGGTTTTCAATAGGAGGAGTAGAACAATTGACCAAGAAAAGTAAGGCCTCGTTTGGTTGTTAAGATAAGATTAGCCAAGATAAAATTAAACAATCTAATGACAAGATAAGACATGATAACATAGTATTTACGGGTCGACCCGACAAGTTATTAGGGATACCCAACATCAAACAAAGTATAATTATTTAGTTAATAATGGCTAATCACCCCAACCAAACGAGGCCTAAGAATATTGGGGAAAACAGGTATCACAAAATCCTATGGTTGCTCATACAAAATTGCTACCTCCAAGCATGACATGGCATATTAATATATGATCCAGAAAATTCTACCTGAATTTTTAAGAATCAAATAGCCCAAGATTTACTTCCCAAACCTCTAAATGCTAAAATCAGATTGATCATATCTCTTATCAAAGTTCCAGGATTTAAAAAAAAAAAAAAAAAAAAAAAAAAAAATTGGGGTTTGGAAATCGTAGAACCCTAGCTGATTAAACAACAATCCAAAGAACAATCACCAAAAGCAAACAAACAGGCAACGAAAATACTGAAATAAATAAATACTGAAAATGCGAAAAGGGGATCGTACGTACGGGCAGTAAGATTTGGAGAAAATAACGATGGAATGAGATGAGATTGTCTTCTTCACGAACGCAGACGGCGACTTGGGCTTCGCACCGACGGTCGACGCCAATAAAATGCCGACAAATAGGAATGCGATTACGGCGGCGAATCGGAATGATGAGACTGTGATTGCGGCAGCCATTTTCGTGTATGGACTAATATTACTGTAGCCTGGATTCAGTTCAAAACTTTTTGATATCCCGATTGATGGATTTTATCAGAGCTTCTCAAAGCAAAATCAATCGTTTTGATTTGGGGAAACTAGTTAAATCTTGCTAATAAATTACTCGAATTTTTTATTTATTTATTTATTATTATTATTATTTTTGAGGAGGTATGTGTTGTGCATTAGCCTATTACGGCGGAATTTTCCGAATTACGCCAATTTCGATCATAATAATTTTTTTGAATAGATTTGGAATAAGTATTACATTTTGATTGTAATTTCCTAGAATATGCCTAAGAATTACATTTTTTTTTAAATTGCGCTTACATTTTTACCAAAATATGCCGCTTTCGATCTTGAAACAAACATTCTTTTTTTTTTTTTCATATCAATTTCCGAAATCATGGTTTCTCAAATGGGGGACTTATGCAGATAAGTTTGTTAGGTGGAATGAACTTAATCGATTAAGAAAATCCCACATACACGTGTAATGTAGCGTAAATGGTTCAATTTGAAGATGTGGAATAGGCATAAGAAAAGCCCAAATAAGAAGAAACTCGCGCGCTCCGAGAGACCTGCAAAAAAGATTGTCGGAGAAGGTGTTTTTAGGCGTTATCACTCTGAATGTCAAGTCAATCGAAATCGTGGAGAAACAATATAAGTGTATTTAGAGAAATATAATAAGAATGTATTTATTAGAAATATCGAAGAGAGAGATGTCACGTCTATGTCTAACCCACATGGGGCCTTTGGGCTTCGCATGAGATGTTGATATTCGGATGTTTACGGCAATTGAGCCCGTATCAATGTGTATAAACGATTACCTATTTTGCACACTTCCACATGTTTTGTGCGTGATTACGTGTAGATTTTTTATGCGTAACACATACAATACAAGCGTAACTACGTAGAAAGGAAAATCAAGTCCAAGAAGATTAAGACATAATGTCACAAAACCTTAATAAATTAATCCCAAGTATACACACAAGAAAGAAGAAAATAAGAAACACACATTTTTATTTGCTAGTCAAACAATGAGTGGACTAGTTTTACATTCATGTATACACTCCCAAGAATTGTTTACTATGTGTCTATTTACCCTACAAAAAAAAAAAGAAAACCTCTGCATTTTGCAACCACTCTGCAAAAAAATCAATTGCCCAAAACAAACCAAACCACAATAAAAGAAAAACCAAATAAAAAAATGCAAGCTCACAGCAAACCAGGGACCAAAAAAGAATATCGGAGCAACTAACTCACGAAAAACGAAAAAAAAACAAAAAATCAAAGAAAATTCCTACGGCGTCCAAAAATCTAAATGTATCGAAGATGCTTGCAGTTTTTATCTGCGATTAGTTCATCTGGGTATCGGGGAAAGAAGGAAAAAAAAAAGAGCATCCCCTGAGCAGAAGCAGCTAAAAATGGACCTTTTTTTCGGAGGATGAACGAGATAAATTAAGACGCCTCTCCAAATAATTCAGAATAATTGAAGAGCCATTTTGAGCTTGTTCTGTTTCCATTTGGGCATCTTGTAGAAAACATCCTTGGTTATTCCAAACTTCTCTTTGAATTCGTCCCTCGACAAATAAGTCTGCAGCCAAAAGTACACGTGTGTATAAATATCAGACAAGAAAAACATCGACATAAGTTTGTCTGAATACATCATTTAAAATGTCTCGGACATACCTCTCGTTTTGTCACGTCAATATCTTCAGCTGGATCGGTCGAGGTTGTCTTTAGACGCTCGTATGGGTGAACTGGAAGTCCTTCGTCGTCTTCAGCTTCATTCTCCTTCACATCTTCTTGTATAGTCTCTGGCTTTGGCTTCGACTCTTCTACCGAGTTTTGCCTCGATATTGTCTCGGGTGTAGGTTTTGATGTTTCGGGTCCCACTGTAACGCGTAAAGAGACCATTTCAAAAAAAATTAAAAAAAATAAATGAGTTCTTGATTTTGAATGTAATAAAAGGAATTACGTTTAGGGGAGCGTGGTATAATGAATTGTCGAGCAGGTGGAGGTTGTTCGAAACTAGAAGTAAGGGCTGCTATAGCTGCGGATCTCGAGGCAAGTTTTGCGGAATCGGGTGTTACGGATTTAGGGAAGATCTTTCTGACCATTGGAGGAGGAGTTGACAAGTTTCTTGCATTGGAATTCTCGAAAGTGGCAGCTAAGGCATTGAATGCTGGAGATCTGCCTCTTACACGAACTCTGTCGGGACTGAAAGACATGCTTCTAGAACGATTCGATTTTTCAGGCGCTGCAGACCTTCCGGTATACGAGACAGGTGTTCGCCTTTTGGGTTTCTATCATGTGTTAAGAAAAAGAAAATCAAACATAAATAAATAACTAACTCGTTCATCTGGATTTTTACATTCTACTGATTTTCGAAGGCTAATTTCTTAATATAAAACTGAAATTAAATTAACTCGATTATGTTCATAATAATCTACTATTCTAAAAATAGTAGATTAATTCGATCAGAAATTGCACAGGCGGGTTCAGTCAAGAGGCATTACATAAAATGATAATCGACAAAAATAAAGAAATCAATCGTATGTTAGAAGAACAAATAATTGAAGGAAAGATAAATTGAGAGGGAAGAGAAACTTACGTCTAACACGGGAGTGTCGCCTTTAAGAATAGCCAATTTTCTTTGGAAAGAATTACCGTGCATCTGTGACCATAGAATCTACTAAGTATGATATAAAGCAATCGAGTTCAAAATAAGGACGACAGACGTATAGCAATAGCACTTACTGCCGACTTTGCCGAGTCCCAAGAGAAAAAACGAGTAAAATAAATCGGTTCGCTCCCTTCCATGACAATATATATTGGAGCTTGGAGAGATAATTTTTCGTGAAGAAAATCACGCTCCAGAAATTTCTGTTTGAAAACAATAACATTTATATCACATGTCAAAAAAACTCAGAAAGAATCTTAAAGATTCCATAGCACAAGTCCACTATAGCAGCTGGTATATATGTACGACTATAACAAAAAAACGGTGTGAAAGCTGACCTGTCCAATAGTTAAAGCATTCATCTTATTCTTAGATTCCACCTGTTGCCCGACCCAAACATAAATGTCCGAGTGGCAGTCGAGAATGAATATATCTTCAGTCATTAGATCGTCCTGGCTGAAATTGTACACCTCCGTTACCTGTAATTAATATTATTATATTACTCGATTTCATGCTGTCCCTTAAAATAAATGATCGGAAAAACAGAGATAGTTGTAAGGAATATCAGGTCGTTTTCCTCGTTGAAGGAATTGTGAAATAAACATAACCGAAAAGTTGAGAGTAATAATCAAACTGCATTCATTTTATCATAGTAAAGAGATATACACACCTTGAGATCTCCTGTAACGAGTGTGAAGGTCAGCCGTAACGAATGCAACAAAAGAATGACGGAAACAAATTAGTCAAATCAACATATATAATCTTTGGCAAATTGTAAAATCAGTAAAAAAAAATGAAGATAACATACCCTTTGTGAAGGTGCACGAGAATAAATGAGGATCGGCTTCTGCTTCTCTTGAAATTTTCAGGCTCGGGTACTCTGATTTTCCACCTAACAAATCCCAAAACTGCTCAGATTCAGCCCCTTCCTTTTGCAGTTTCGACTGCATGTTTGGCTGCGAGCACGAAGTGTGACGCGTAAAGAAAATGTGATGTAGACTAAACAAAAAATGGACTAAAAAAACTTTATGCTGAAGTCGTAATGTAAAGGAAAATATCCATGTACAAGATCGAGACCTTTATAAGATCCAGCTGCCTTTCAACAATTTCTTGGGAGTCAGACGATGTAAGATTTCCTGACCAGGTAAAGAGAGAGGAACCACTGTGTAGTATGTAACAGTACGAGGAATTCAATGATGAAGCCACCTAAAATAGTTAATAGAAAATAATTATGTTCCGCCAGCTGCACAAATACCATGAATCACAAGAGAACAAAAGCCGTACCGAAGATGCTAAGAGCAAATTGCAAGCTACTAATCCTATAAGACAGAAACGAAAAGAAATAGAGCACACGACTTACTGGTTCAACTTGAATTGCTTGCATATTATCGGGCCCACTTCCTTGAACTCGAAATAATGCAAGCCCGTCCTCTGAATATGTATCGTCCGAAAGTTCCTTCTCGGCTATGTATTTTTTGTAGCCCTTACTAACACCGCCCTGCAGACAGAAAAAATTATTCCATGGCCAATTACATACTAAGAGAATATAAACTAATACGAACACAAGAAATTTATAATATTTTTACATAGTAATACCGCGCACCTTAAATACAATGAAGCTCTGAAAAATTGCAAAGAACTGGAGTGGTTCGTTTCCTTCGTAGAAGCAAGCCTAGTAATGGCAGCAATTAAAATCATCAATACACAGTAAAATCATGGTAAAGTGATCGAGGAAGGTGACGTGCCTGAGTGGGTAAGAACTTCAGAGACTCGACCATCTTGCTTGCCTGTGAAGATGCCGCTACCCGATCTTCCTATAGAGCATGATTAGCATGATCAATAATTCCGTCAATAAATCTGTTTCTCTATCACAAATTTCTTCAACGAATTTCTTAGTAAGTTTTAACTGTGTTCCAAGTTCAGGTACAAATATTACACAGAATGCAGTGGGAATATTTATAAAATTGCAAAAAAGATAAATGAAGGCTTCACCTCAACACTCTGCTTGCCCAACCATGTTCCGACTAGATGTTCGTCTTTTTCGTCTCCAGGATAAGAATATTGAAAGATATAGCAATCTCCACTGTAAAACTTAGACTGGTCAGAAGACGAAAGAAGAGTCTTCTTTTGACCATCCACGCGCCATACCTGCCAATTGTAAGCAGTACACTGAAAAATCAGTGGAAGTAGTAAACAAATAAGAAGCTGCATATCCGACACGCTATACATAGAACAACGACGTTCGGAACTATAACACGTCACCTGTAAATCTCCCGTGCAATCTATATATATATGGGGTTCTTCCTTGGGAGTTTCGGCTTTGAGAAGACCCTTCACGTTAATCCCTTGCCGCTTTAGAAGTGCTGGAAGCATCAAATGAAGGCACCGTAAGAACTTAACAATCGATTAAAGCGAACGCTCTTGTTGATCACGAAAACGAGCAGCAAACACGGGAAGGGGCGAATTTGTATTTTAATGAACCTACGTCTTGAAATCGTACTCATAAATTATAACTGACCTGCAACTTTGCCTCTGCCATCCTCAGTCACGGTCACATTTGTTGATTGTGGCCACGATTCAAACTTTGAGCGAAATGCTACAGTCTCAAACCCCTCAATTACACGGATAACGTGAGATTTAGGTCTATCAAGGCCACGCAGTAATTCCTAGAAGTGGAAGTAAGTTTAGGACTATAAAAATCAGATGAAGAAAAAAACACGATGAGCAGCTAGACTTACATCAACAACGTTGCTTGCAGATTTCCTACCATCCAGAGAAGTACTTCTCCCCATCCAAACAAAGACTTCTTTCCCACAGTCAAGAATGTAGCATTTGTTCGTTTCTAATAACTCCCTCGTCCAAGAATCTGCCCCAATTGGTACTGCTTCTCCCTTGTCGACACTTGAAAGATTAGAAACAATTGTCAGAACCAACATATCCAAATTCTATGATATATCATAACAAACTAATACAACGTACAGACAAGAAAGAAACCCGAGGAAGCAATGTGCTAAAGGAGGAACGTAAATACCAGAAAAGCTTCGAAGGAAGATCGATACTCTTCTGTTCATTGGTGGCTGCTTTCTTTGGAAGTGGAGCAAAGCCGCCAAAGAAACCCCAAAATTCTCCAGTCTCGGCATCAGCCATTAACCTTCCATCCTCTGCAGTCAAAAGAAAAGGCATCCATCAGTCAACTATTAAAAAAAACACACACACAGACACACAATTTGTGGTGTAATTACCAACAGCGGCTATTTCACATTTCCCGTCATGATAAGTATCCTTAATGTACTGAACAACTTCCAGAGCTTTAGCCCTCTCTTGAATACATGAGTTGGAGCCATTGAATTGAAAAATTTTAGACTTCGTGTCGAGGATAAAGATGTCGTCGTGATTGAGAGAGGACCGAGCAAAAGCCACCTGTCAGGTCATACAAAAAAAGAAGACAGTTAGATAAAATCTGTACTGAGAAGAACAATCACCCTACGGTGTATGAAGGAGAATTACCTCTGTCACATGAACAACATGTTTTCCTTTACATACGAACAAACGAATCTGGTGCTCTTCGGCCTCGACATGCTTGAACCCTGAGGCTATTCCGCCTTCTTGAGGTATTATACATGGCTTAAAATAAGAAAGAAACTTCTCTGTTTCGTGACCTTGTACTTCACGGTATTGAACAGCGCGCCCACCCAGCGCTGCGTCTAATTCAACACATTTGATGGCTGCAGCGCCAGCTTCATCCTACATACGGTAATAAATACAGAATTAGGAAAAGTTCACACATTAACCGATATTGTTCGAAAAAAAAAATATATATATATATATGATATAAAAATTACCTGACTGGTATCTTTACCCAGCCAATAATGAATATCGTGGCGTAGTGCTCCGTTTTTCAAGGCAGTGGTCTGCATAAAGAAGACTAAGGGTCAAGACTTATAAAATTGCAACGAATACATGATAATCAAATCAGATGCAATTATGCATACAAACATTGGGACCAGGACATGAAATTTAAAATGCATTGGGATCTGGTGTAGAAATAAACCAAATATTACCTTTAAAATTACGTACGAATCTCCTGCGAAAAATTTTCCATGGGACGATTTTGAGATTGCGACAGGCTGGAAATTTTCAATTCGCCATATCTCAGTGCCACTTGACCAAGTCAAGGAATCAAATATATGCAGACTAATGACTGATATATCAGTAACTGCGGTATTAATATTAGCAAGAAGAAATGTAACAAAGGGCATACATAAACAATAACTCTTTTGATTTTTACGTCTTGTGTGCAACATTAATTATAATCTCAATGCTCGTAAAACTCATTTAGCAAGACGATTGAGCATAGATCGATACAAATTGCTTAAATAAAACATTATAATGATATAATATATAATTGATAATTTCAAATGAGGATACGCCTTCTGTCCAGCCCCTTGGAAAGCTGGATCCAAATTCTTCATTGAAACAGCCATAGTGTTGTCGCAACTTGTACAAAATTCTGAAAAGACGAAACGAAAGCTGTTGTAGTCATTGAGTATATAACAACTAAAAGATAAGATAACGTTGTGGGACGAGTAAAATTCTTTACAAATTGTTCCATCAAAGAAACTGGAGCATGATTTAAACGTGATCTAAAAGTGCGATGTCGCTCGTATAAAAGTGAACTAACTCCTTCCCCGTAAATGAATGGGCAGTAAAAAGCAAACAAGTAGGGGCAAAAATATCGAGCATGTATACAGGCGCTGCAAGAAACCAGGAATACTGCAACGAGTAAGTCGGTAAATTGTGAATTTCTCTTCGTGACTAATGACCGGTTATATCTTTCACGAATAAGCAATGTCGAATCCGAATCTTACAACTTCTAAAAGACACGACAATGTCCACGCTAGCACATTTGTGTACCAAACTCCAATTCGATCGACTTTTCGTAATCCAAATTTTATCGGTAGGAACAACTGAATTGCCTAGTAATATTTATCGAAACTTAAAAGCCTTTTTCTGAACTACCTCTTTCCAAACATTCCGACATAACAAAACCTCGAAAATCACAGTTCCCAAAGCATATTACACTCATTTAGATGAAAATGAGTGCTTCCCTAATCATCATTGAGGTTCATTTTTCACAATTAAACACACAAATTGAGCCACATTCCAGAAACCAAATTACATAATCAAAGTAACAACAGTATAAATTAACAAATAAAGTTAAGAAGAAGAACAACAAACAGAGAATAATTACTCACCTCTTGATATCTGTCGGATGTAATAATCCTTACAGCCCCACTGGAAATTCAAAAAACAAAAAACCAAAAAAACAAACAGATCCAATCTAATAACTCAACTGATCTTAATCAACAACCAAAAAAAACAGCTGCCCAGATTTCCAAAAAACAGAAGGTGGGTTTCTCGAGAAAGAGATGAAAAAATTCCGTAAAAAAAAATAATTCAAATAGACGAAAAAATCCCCAATGTTCTAGAGAGAGAGAGAGAGAGAAATGTGTCCGAGAGAGAGAGAGAGAGAGAGAGAGAGAAGATGGAGGGAATGATGCTGAGTTGCCTGACAGGCGTGCCTATCACTAACAGTAATCAAATGAACTGTAAAGATTTTATTTAACCATTTTTAAACTAATTAATACGATTAATCAACCAAATTATTATTACAAAAATATTAAAAAAAATATTTAAAATTTAATTTTAATGCCCTTTTTTGTTGGTAAAAATATTACAGCAACCTTTTGGAGTGGTCTTTGTTGACTAAATTCAAGAGAATGGCAATATTGTAAATATTAATTATAAAATATATATATATATATATATATATATATATATATATATTTATTTTTATTATTTTATTTAATTTTATTTTTAAAAAAGGGGCTTAATCTGACAAATCGAGCTGACTTCCAAATTCAAGGGACGAGGGGGGGTGGGGCCCGCCGGAGGGGGGGGGGTGGTGGTGGTGGTGGTAGGGGGGCGGTGACCGGCCACGATTAAATGGATGGCCACAACGCCGAAAAAAGGATTCTTGTTTTCTTAATTCGGATTAGCAAAGGCAAAGATGCTCTCTTTGCTTAGCTGTTTGTGGGTCCCACCTAATTATTTTTCTATTTTTTATTATTATTACTAATATTATTAATTAGAGGAAAGAAAATAGGCTTGCTTTATCAAAGTTTATTTATTTATTACAATAAAAGATACTATATATAAATGCCCATTGAAATAACAAATGCACGCACGTCTTTGTAATAATGGGAACAGAACAGCCCATGTCAATTTATTAAGAGTTAACTGCAAAAAATCCCCTAAACTTTGGACGTTTTTGCGCTTTACCCCCTGAACGGAAAAAAGTTGCACGAGCATACCTGAACTCTATTATTCTTAGCACCAACGTCCAAAATGTCCATTTTTGGCAAAAATTGACCGGAATCCAAGTCACGTGCCTTACACGTGAATATAGCTGGGTTAAATGAGTCATTTCCTTATACACCCATTGTCTTCATTTTCTTTTTAATAAATATAAATAAATCTTTGAAAAGAAAAAAAAAGTTTTCTTCTTCCCGTCACCATCATCCCTCATCCCGTCAACACCAGCCCTCAGCCGCCGCCTGCCGCCTCTGCATCACCTCCCTCCGCCACCTCTGCGCCGCCGCCTGCCGCCTCTACTTCACCTCCCTCCGCCACCTCTGCGCCGCCTCCCTCCACCGGCTGCCGTCTCTACTTCACCGTCCATCGGAAATTAAAGACTGTAACTTGAAAGCACATCACACCAAATTAATCAATCTCTCTCTCTCTCCCGAAAAAAAACACGAAATTGAGGACTGTATTGTTGATTAAGCTTTGATTCCATAAACTCAAATCCTTGGCGAATCAAACTCTGATTCAAAGAAAAAAAATTGGTCGGGGGCCGAAATTGATGCGCCACCGCCGGCGGTTTCAATGGTGGAAGGTTTCTCCCTCACGATAATTTTCCAGTGATAGGTCCTTCACGATACAGCGGGCTACTCCGGTGGAACAAACCCGAAGGAGATGGAATCAAATCCGACATCTCCATTTCTGGGTTCGCCGCTAGGCCACTCGATTCTGTATGAGAGAAGGTGGATTTTCGGAGAGAGAAAAATCCGAATTGAGGTTTGAAGAAGAGAGAGAAAGTGGGGTTAGAAGGGTTGAAGGAGAAGTGTACGGAAATGAAGAGAGGAGAGTTGTTGGGGGAGCCAAAGGGGCGCTGATTTGAGAGTGAGACTAAGGGGTGGGGGACTGAAATTGGTGGACCTGGAAGAAACGCGCGGCCGAGATGGTGGTGGTGGTGGTGCGGCGGAGGAGCAGAAGCCAGAGGTGGTGGCGCGGCGGCGGAGATTCTCCTGCTCTGTTTGGCTGCCAAGAGAATGATGAAGAAGATGACCAATTTGTTTTTTCTTTTTCTTTTTTTTTTCTTTTTTTAGTTTTTTCTATAAATCTTGTGAGATGGCGAAATTGCCCCTCTACTTTCACGTGTGAATGGCACGTGTACAATTCAGGGAAGAATGTGGCTAAAAATGGAAGTTTTAGTTGCCGGTGCAATAATTTATTAAGTTCGGGTATGCTCGTGCAACTTTTTTCCGTTCAGGGGATAAAGTGCAAAAACGTCCAAAGTTTAGGGGATTTTTTGCAGTTAACCCATTTATTAATGCGAAATGTGAAAGGGTTTAAACAATTTGGTTACAATTGCAGATTATGCAATATCAAATAATACTATTTATAAAATATATATATATATATAATTATATTTTGGAATTACAATAAACTTTGACTAGTAGGGATATTCTCGTCTTAAAAATATTAAAAGCTTGAACACAATTAAAGACATGGGCTCAATTACAAACAGACCCAATTTATAGAATTAAATCTTGGGTTGTCATTAATTTATTTATGGGCCTCCTGGCCCATAATTGAACTAAGCAAAGTATTTTAGATAATATGATTGTCATTAAAGGTAGTTAATTCATTTCTAATCATGTTTTAAGTACATGGAGATTCTTTTTTAATTTTCTTCCAAAATTTGTGGTTGATTTAGGAATTGGGGGATTTTCGTCGTTTAACTTTCTTAAAATCTAAAATTAATTCATTTCTAATCATGTTTTAAGTACATAGAGATTCTTTTTTAAGTTTCTTCCAAAATCTATGGTTGATTTAGGAATCGGGGGATTTTTCGTTGGGGATTTTCGTCGTTTAACTTTCTTAAAATCTAAAATTAATTCATTTCTAATCATGTTTTAAGTACATAGAGATTTTTTTTTTAAGTTTCTTCCAAAATTTGTGGTTGATTTAGGAATCGGGCATGTTGTGGATACATTCAGAAGTCTATAAATATCAGTCCACATTGTCAGTTTTTTTTTTTAATAAATTCAAGTCTATTACAAGATAAAGTAGGGGAAGGGAACTCGAACCCTAGGCATTTACCCTATTAGTAAAGACTATGTATCAACTTTCCTAATGAGGGTTGGTATTATGTAACGGAGTTAATTGATATAAAGTTTATATTTTCACATATATTTTAAAGGAAAATTTAATTTAATTTAATATCATGTCATGGGCCGAGCAATTAGGCCTCATAATCAATTCTATTAACAAATGGACTAAAATACTATTATAGTGCTATAATTGGGCCTTTCATATCATTGCATTAAATTTATAGGCAATGTTTGGCCCGTTATGATTTATTTTTTCCCTCCTTAAAAAATGTTTTTTTAATCATTTGAAATTTAATTTCAAATTAGACTACAAGGTCATTTTAGTTCAAAATTATACATTTTTTCCTAAAATCGACAAAAAAATTAATGAAATTGTTAATTATTTGCATGCAAAACTAAAAAACAACGATCAGAAGCTATGTAGCTCAAAAACTTTAATTTTTTAATGTTTAGCGTTCTGGACACGTTTCGTGTACGACGCACAAGAACACCTGTCGGGCATCTTAGGGGTCATTTTGCAATTTCTAAAAACTTAAAAACATGTTTGACTAGCAAAATTTTAAATATTTTTGTTGCTTCCCTAATTATTTACACGATTTAATGATCAATTGCAAATTGATGGTTGATAATTAAAAAAACTAATTTATATTTAAATACAAACTTACATATGTTTATATAGCATATTTATAGATGTGTTCCTCTATTTTTAATATTTACACGTTTCTCCCAAAACTCTTGTATTTTCCTATTTTTTAGACATGCCGTTTCCCCGTGTCGATTTCCACGCATCTCCGTTTTCGTATTCGTACTACATAGATCAAAAGGGAAAGAATCGAGTATTTATTTACTCACGAGGGAGTTAAAAAAAAGGAACTTTATTGCTAATTATAAAATTCGTCTCCCCATGTCGATTTCCACGTATCGCCGTCTTCGTATCCGTACTACACTTATCAAAAGTAAACGAATCGAGTATTTATTAACTCACGACGGGTTTTAAAAAGACGAACTTTATTGCTAATTATAAAATTAGGGCGAACGCAGTTAGCTAATTGCCCTCTAAAACAATTGATTTATGCCCAAAGATTAAAATTTTTGCAAATTATTAAAAATTAGGGCTAAGAAAGTGAGCTAATTGCCCTCTAAACAAGTGATTTATGCCCAGAGATTAAATTTTTGCAAATTATAAAATTAGGGCTAAGATAGTGAGCTAATTCCCCTCTAAAACAAGTGATTTATGCCCAAAGATTAAATTTTTATGTAAAAAGAAAAACGGCGGGAGAAGTTTTGAAGTTACGCAGTCATAATTAAATGGCCAACAAATAAACCCAGTAGATTAACGTATGCGACGAAGGACAAAAGTAAAGAAAAAGGAAGACTCTTGTTGCAGAAGAGATGACAGAGAAAAATCACAGTTTCATAGTTTCTGCTGAATTCACATGCGCACTCCACGGCTCCATACGTGTACGATAATCGAGAAAGAGAAAAAAAAAAAGAAAAAAAAAAAGAAAAACACAAAAAGCAAAAGTGGAAAGTGACAGCAGTGCAGGTGGGACCCACCGAACACAGCCCAAATCGCTACCCGCTTGGATTACGACGACCCTGTAGAGTGTGAAATTATACTATGTGCCACACGCTTTTTACACACTCACACACACACACAGTGACACAATTTCTCCCATCACTGGTCAAGGAGTCACACTTGTTTGTTACTCTCTCTCTCTCTCTACTTTCTCTCTCTTCATCCGAACATTTAATGCTGTGAATTAAATTCCACCCTTGGTCTACCTTTTTCTTTTCTGTCTGCTCTCTTTGAAACAAGAAACCAGAAAATACACTCTCTCCCTTTTTTTAACCCTCGGCGCCGGTAATGTTTTTCTTGGTTTTTTTTTTTTTTCTTTTTTTACTGCTGATTTCTTTGTTTATCGTTTGCTATGTATATATATGTTTGTGCATGTGGGTTTGTGTTTGATGGAGGTTTTTTTGTTTACGATTTTGTGTGGTTTTTTTTTTTTTGTCGTTGTTTGAACATTTTTTTGATGTGGGTTTGAATTCTTTGATGTTGTTGTTTGGATTGTTTTTGTGTTGTTCTGAAATGGGTTTTGTGGGGTGAGGATAAAGTTTGTTGCTTTTCTTGATTTGGTGCATCGTTCCGTTTGAATTGAATGAATGTTGTTTAATTCTCTACTTTGTTTCTGAAATGATTTTTATTTTTTTATTTTTTATATTTTTTATGAGTTCTTGATTTATTGTTTTTGGAATGTTTATGTTGTTCTTGAAATGGGTTTGTAGGGGTGAGGATAAAGCTTGTTGCTTTTCCTAGTTTGGTACATCGATCTTTTGAAACGAATGTTGTCGTGTTTTTAATTGTACAATTTTTATGTTGTTCTGAAATGGGGTTCGCGGTAGCGATGGTAAAGGTTGCTGCTTTTTTCATAGTTTCTTCGTGTCTTTCGTTTGAAATGAATGGTGTCATGGTGTGTTATTATGGGCTGTTTCAATTCTTAGTGTTTTTTGGAATGATTATGTTGTAATAAAATCGGTTTGCAGGAGAGATGATAAAGCTTGTTTCTTTTTCCTCGTTTGATGCATCCTTCTTTTAAAACGAAGGTTCTGAATTCGAATGATTTGTCGGCTCTATCACATGATCTTTAGTTCTAAAAGCCTAAACCTAGTTCTATAATAATTTGGTGTTGCCAAATGAGAAAGTGTCGATGGTTTAAATTCCCGATAACTTTCTCTTGCGACACACGCAACATGTAATAGCTTAACTGCACCTTGTCTTATTGCAAACATGTACGAGGCTTAACTGTAAATAATAGCTTGTGTGAAGTTGTCTAATCTTTTGACGCACGTCTTAAAATTAAACATGTTTTCTCCCCGAACCCCGTTTAATATTTTATTTCTGATTTGTGACAGCTTATCGGCACTTACCGGATGTTTTAATTCTGTTTCAACCGAGCATAAATAATGGACAGTAAACTAGTTGTGACATACAAGAGGAAGAGGCTATTTTCAAGAAGATACAATGACTGTACAGATTTGAATCCCGATGCTCCTTCCGAGACTTCAGAGTCGAAAACCCTAAAAAAAGTCAACAATCGCGAGGAGTCAACAACTGCTGAATATGTACTGCGGAAGGACACAGAATTCGGGGTGAGATGTTATGAATTCATTTGAATATTTCTTAAATATCAGCAGAGATTTAGTGCAAGTAGTTTTGCATGGATTATTTGATGTACGAAACATTTTCTTGATAGCGTAAAGTTGAGCATTGCATTTTAAATGATGCTTTAAAAGTAAAACAAAGAAGACTAGTTCGATTTTGGACTGCATGATAAACTATTAATAGTCGATAGAAATCAAGAATTCGTGGAATCAATGTGTACGAGTCTATCCACGTTGAAAATATTAAATGACATACCTATATAAGATCGATCTTTTTAATCAGGTGGGGTCGGCATATATGTGTTGACCAGAGAAGTACTACTATCGGAACATTGACCTCGTTGTAATAACTAAGCAATTTATGGCCTTATTCCGTATTATGTATTTTTTGTCGTTTTCTTATATATGCACTTTCCGGACTTATTTATAGATACACCAAGAATATTCCGAAGGGAATCTTGTGGAAGATGTGGTGCAATGTGAATTTTGTGATTCTCATGGTGAATGTTCTGAGGTATGCATTCCTTCTCTCTTCGATTATATACGTATCTTTTTTGATTATATACATATCTTTACGCTTTGACTATATATACGTATCGTTTGAGCAGTTGCATAGGCTTTTATCCGCTTGTACGAAACAGCAAGATTCTTCAGTTTCCGATGAAAATGAAAAAGATGCGAAGAAAATGAAATTTTCCCCAACTTCTGATGTGGAACAAATTACAGTTCAGCCAAAGTTACTTTCAGAGGGAAATAACGCAGCTGAAGAAAAATCAGCCGAGCCTCAGTCGAAATTGCTATTTGTGAAGCCGAGCTCGGAATATGGAGATAAGAGCGAGGAGAAAAAATCGATTTCGTCACCTCCTATTTTAGGAACACTTAATTTGGAGGAAACGGACAAAATTAGTAAAGATCAACGAAGCAGCTCGTGCAGTAACTTAGCCACAAAGCGGAGATTAGACTCGAATTTAATAACATTCCGTAGACGAGTCAAACGGAGCAATAATGTTGCTACACGCGGCATTGACTCTAAAGATGCAGAGAAGGTTAGTTCTGAGATTTCCCTCTTATTGGTAATAAAGAAATATGTCATCTTTTGGAATTGATATTTAATTTCAGTCTTTTATAAATAAATACGCGTATCGCAAATCGGCAAATGGCATTTTGGTAGTTTTTTTACTCCATATTTGTTATCACGTCCGATTACTGAAATATAAAAAAATTGACACCGTGATTCGATATCGATAATTGAATATTTTCTACGTGTATTTCTCAAGCTATGGTTACTTGTTCACTAATTGAAATTTTAATTAATTTATACGACAGAAACAATCTGACGTGGATATTGCTAATTCGTGCTCGTTTTCCGCTCCAGCTCCAGAAACAGCAGTGTACGTTCGATCATTATCTTTTTTTGTCTTTATGTTGCTTTTTTCAAATTACTATATTTGATACAAAATTAATTCTCACAGGATCGCACACGTGGATAAATCGCCGCTTCTTCCACAAGAAACGGCTACAGACACCCCTGCTGACGTGGCACAGGTGGAGATTTTGTCTTCATTACAAGGAAATGTTTCCATGGATGCCCAAAATAATAACCACCACATAAATGATAAGAAACCGGAGAACATTTCGAATGATGACGTGGCCACTGTAAGAGTGCGTAGTGACACCTCGGGGAAGAAAGATTCCTTATTGTCACTCGATTTGTCCATTTCTCGTAACGGTATTGATTCTAACGAAGCACATGAATTGCTCCAATTTTTTTTCTATTTTTAAATGTGTAATTACGAAATGCAGCTGCTCTTGATATCGACTGCAATCGACCACTCGACTGCGGTTCTGACGAAAATCATACTATACCGACAGCTCTTAGAGACAAGGGAAAGCTTGTAATAGAATCTCCACCAACATCGGCGGGGCCCACCTCGTACAAAAACAGTTATTTTCAGGTAAGAAAAAAAAAAACCGATTTTTCAAATTTTCTCGTCCATCTCAAATCACTTGATTGTAAAATAAATTGCGGTACGAGTTTCAGTTATTCCCGGAGAATAGAACCGATGACGTGCCGCAAAAAGTGGGCCCGCTCCGTCCACCACCAACCTCACAGCACTCCTCGTACTTCAACTCGGGCCACGCAGCTTATTCTTCATCATACGCATGGCCGAATATTCAACTGCAACAACAACAACCTCGAGAAGCCTTTCACGAGTTCTTACAACATCCCAATCTGAATCGAGCAGAGTCGTCGTTTTCAAGGCAAAAGATGACCATGCTCGATAATGCGTTGACCAGAGCAAGAGCTGTTAGAGGGTCAAACCGAAGCAGCTTCTTGGATAGATTCGAACCCCCGACTATCTGGTCGGAAGAGGAACTGGATTGTCTTTGGATTGGTGTAAGAAGGCACGGCAAAGGCAACTGGGACTCCATACGAATGGACCGAAGACTGATTTTTTCGCCTTGGAAAACGGCCCACGACTTGGCTGAAAGGTGGCTGTACGAGCAAGCTCGGATTTTTTCTTACAATAATCCCGCTCCTCAGGTACACTACGCGGGCCCACCACAAGATCATTGGTCAAGCCATTTCACCAATCCGCCTGGAGATGCACGACAATCCTACGCAGGCGGGTCCCTCCATAGACCGTTACTGCATCACCCTCCTATGACGAATAACAAGAAACTTGAAAAGCAAAGTACAAACGTCGGCTCGTCTAGTAATGCAGGTCAGGTGAAGGGGAACTTGCCACACTGGCTGAAAGAAGCTGTGCAAGTACCGAGCTCTGGGATGAGGTGGCAAAACCAACCTAATTTTCAGTCCACCGAATATCCGAATAAAAGAGCTACTACTACGAATGCACCGTTGGTTATAGGTAATGCTAGTAAGAAGAAAGAATTGATAGTTATTACAAGTGATGCCTCGTCTGAAGAGACAATATCCGATGATCGTGGAGGCAGGCCGTAATTAGCTAGAACTTAACCACCACCACCACCCCCCACACCCCCCCTCCCCCTCCCCCGACCCCCACCCGCCCCACCCCTCCTTTTTTTTTTTTTTCTTTTTCTTTAATTTTAACAAAAGGACCACATGTGTTGTTATTAGGTTGTCTGAAAATTTTCAGTGGTGAGAGATATTACATATTTATGTGTGTTTAAAAGGGATTGGTATAGTTTATACTCTTTGTAGCTGCTTGCAAATTTGCAAAGATTTTGGTTTGTTGGAGAGTGTTATGAATTATGATTATTAAAGTTCGGGATCTTCAATTTCCTTTATGATTTTTTTTTTTTTGTTTTTAAGTTTTTTGATCTTGATTACATTGTCTATTTATTATTGGGAAAATCCCGGAATCAAGCCTCCAACGGTCTTGAGATCAGCTCGACGACGCTCGTATCACGGGGCATCCCGCTAGGTGGGCTTTCTGTCTTTATCGAGCGAGCTCTTGGCCCGTCGTGGTCCTTGTGATTCTTCGGGCCCTCTCGCTCTTGGCCCGTCGTGGTCCTTGTGATTCTTCGGGCCCTTTGCCGATCAATCTGAATATGGGGAGCTCGGCCCATTTGTACAGTAAAAGTTCCAAAAAAAATAAAATTGATAGTAAATAAAAAATACTTGGAAATTAAAAATTAAAAGAAAAAAAGGAAAAAGGAAAAACCGCCTTAGTTGCCCCAAAAAGTTATTATATTTATTTCTAAGCCCTTACAAAATCTATATATTATAAAAATACCCAAAAACGTATAAAATCGAACAAATAAATGCTTCCAGAATTAAAGCGCGCCTCCTGTGCGAGTTTTTTCCTTTCTGCAGCGATGGAGTTCTCCGCCAGTAGAACTTCTGTCGCCGTATTTTACTTTCTGGTTGCGATCTCCGTCGTCTCGTGCTCCGGTCAAGTGAAGGAAATCAAAGGTAATTAATTTTTACTCAGCCCGAGGTCTGGATAGGGTTATTCTTCGGATTTTCTTCTTCAGGGTGTCTTCGAATTGGTTTTGATTTGATTTCTGTAAAACTAGGTTTTGTTGCCAGTATTATTTCTACTGATCATAGTATTGGATTCTGAAATTTTTCGTATGTAATGCTGCGTGCGAAGTAAGCTACAATGTAATTCAGGCGATTAAGCGTGTGAAGTAAGCAGTTTCGAATTGTTAACTTTGTTTGCATTGTGGTACAGTTTGAGTTTTGGGATTTCATATGATAAGTACTTCGTTTGTTTATATGTTTTTTGTTGTTGGTAATTACTTTGGAGAAATATAACAAAATTCAGATTCTGCTGCCGGTTTTATGGGATTTAGGGTTAGATACACTCTAGTTCATTCTTACTGTTCGTGCTTGATTGGAATGTAGCCAGACCTTTCTGGTGCTTTTGGAAATGGTGAAGGATTTCTTTTCATTCATTTTATGCCGTCTGAAATCCTTTTTTTTTGTGAGCATATCTGCGGGACTTGGCGTTATATGAGCTCACTTTTGAGTTAATGAACATTACACCATTAAAGCTCTAGAGACTGTAGAAGAATGGATGATTTTGGTTCTTTAATTTCAGATTCAGAAAAGGCTGGTTACTTCTGATATTTGGCAAATTTATTGTTGATGTAAAAAGCATAATTGTTTTTTTCTGAGTAGTTAGTGTTGAAAACATAAACTAGTCAATTTCTATAAACTAATATTATTGGTGTTTGTTGTTCGTATCCATTAAATGTTACCTGATGTTTCTTGTCAAACTTTCAGGAGGTGACGTAAAAAATCGTCAAGTAGTGAATGCCACTCCTATTGTGATTGGAGAGTCTGTTCCATCTAAAGATGTTGTCAGGTGTGCACGGGTCACTGTCTCTGGTCTATCGAGACAAAAACTTGGGTATTATTCTAGTGCCCACAGGGTCACCTTGCTCCCATCAGATGAAATTCAGGAGAAATCATGCAAGAAAATCCAGATTTGTTTACACAGGTCCGTTAAAGAAAAATAATACCATTGTGAAATTTTAGCATTTTCTCTTCTTGACTTTCCTATTTATAGACCATATCAACCATATATAATTTTTTTTGGCAGCAATTCTTCACTTGGAATGTGCCAATGTCAGAATGATAACTGGGACAGCATGCAGAGTGGGATATGGAGCTCTACAATTTCCCCTTATGGAGACAGATATATCGATGTGAAATTTGTCAATAACTTGTCTGGTTCAGTGACTGTCAATATTGATTTAGGTCAGCCTTTAATATTTATGTTCTTGAGTTTCTTGTAGTAATACTACTTCTTTCGTCTATTTGAGAATCTCTTTGTATATATACGTGCACTTGTATTTCCCACCCTGCAATTGCACTCACTCTCTCTCGGTGTATCTCCGTTTTTTATGTGCAGAATTTCACAGATGGCGGTTACTCTGTCTGGCTATTGGTCTTGTTCTATTGCTGCTGGCACCAATCGTTAGTAGCTGGGTTCCTTTTTACTACAGCAGCTCGATGGCCATTGGAGTTTGTCTTGTTGTGATAATCATTCTATTCCAGGTACCTTCATTAGTATTAGTTTAACTACTGATATACATTTCTCGATATCTTGTTGTTCTTGGTATTTATGTTTTCTTTCTTTTAGATCTTTGTTTTGACATGTCAGATAGATTAAATTTCATCAGATAGAATTGTTTTCATTGCCTAAAAATACTATGGTTTTCTTTGTTTGGAGGTTAATAGTATATGGTTTTCTTTTCTCTACAGGAATCTGTTAGTTTTGAGATTCTAAATTATGTTTCAATGTTTTTTTGTCTTTGCATTTTCTTACAGGGAATGAAACTGTTGCCAACTGGCAGGAAAAATGCTCTCTATAGCACAATATGTGGGTTGGCGGTAAGTGTTCCGGATATTCTACGTGATCTTTTTAGGAGGCATGTGTTATCTCTTGTTTCTATGTTTTTAAATAGATATTTACGTATATTTGGTACTGGTGCATTATTGTATTGCAGCTTGGAGCAGGTTCCTTTTTACTAAATCGATTCTCGATGTTCATCAACTCGACTCTTGTCAATTTCGGCATCAGCCAGGAGCTGCACAACCCTGTAAGTAGTTGCAGCTATTATTTGATGCTAGAGTGACGTGAGTGTTAGTTGTTGCCAAATATTAGTTGGACATGAATCGTTTGTAACATACTTTGATTGTTCAGCCCGCATTTCTTTGGGGTATGTAGATTGGGGGTATGTAGATTGTATTTTGATTTAGCTAACTTGACAATTTCCAGGCAGAATTTAATTACATATTGGTGAGAGTTTTGAAGTACATTTGTCTAGGCCTGTATTTCTTCCTTTTGTTGATAAATTTTGCTGAATGTGGGCAAACTAGTATTTTACATTTGGTTCAATTATGTTCTGAAACAGTATCTAGTAAACATATATACTTGAAACTTGTGCATTTCCACTCCTATAAAATTAAACTTGCCCCTTGTGTGCAGTTGTTTTGTCAATTTTGATATAACATGTCCCGTTTTTTCTCTGGCAAATTTCTTAGTTACCTTTCTTTTTAAATGTTTTATTATAAATCAGTTTAAGAGCCATCTGTGTTTAGCTGTTCAAAACTATGAGTCCCATCGATCATACTTTTACAGGATAATAAATTGTGGTACATATCTTTGTCTCTTTATAACTCCTTTTTTTTTTCCTTTCGGCCAGTTTCAATTGAACTTGTTCCTTCTTTTCTCTGTGATCTTATTATTTTCTCACGTTTTTGGGTCTACAGATGCTTGTATTCTTGCTAGTTGCAATAGTACTTGCTGGCGCAGGTTTTGGATACTGGCTTGTTCGAAAATTTGTTGTTGCTGAAGATGGAAATGTGGATATTGGAGTAGCCCAATTCGTGAAATGGGCTTTACGCGTAATTGCTGTGACTTTTATCTTCCAGGTTGTTTTAGTTTCCTTAATTTCTTTAATATGTGCGCAACAATGGATTCTTCCATTTAATAATTCTTTTTCTGAAATTCAAAAAACACCAAAAAAAAGGGTCCTTTTCTGCATATGAGAATGGGTAGTAGTATTAAGTCATAATTTACATTCAAGTTACAATGTTAAGTATGTCTTCTATGTTGTTATTAAAGACTCGTCTTTAATGTTTACTATTGCTACATAAGTTCTGCTGGCACGAAAAACATATTCATCTGGTCGCGATTCTCCACTCAATACTTTAAGTATGTTTGACTAATGATTGATACTCTTGCAAATCCCATGATTCTGTCTTCTTTTCTTTTTTTCATATACCTTGTACTGATTGATAGTTTAATAATTCTGTCTTCAATAAAAAAATTCTTCGTATTTCGTTTCTTCCTGTTTTTTCAAAAAAAAAAAAAAAATACAGTTTTTGACTTTTGCTTGTATTCAATTTCAGAGTACGCTTGATATTCCTTTGGCAGTGGCACTATTGGTTTCTCTTGTGGGGATTTACTTTTCTCTCACTTCTCTGAAGAGGCATGGACTTTGGTAAGCACTGCATGGTCTCTCGCAATAGCTTTTCTTGGTGGAAGTAATTATAAATCAGGTGCCGACTAGATTTCCATGATATATTGCCACGATTTTGAGCATTTATGATTCTGTTAGCTGAGGTTACAAAGAAAACACGGATTCATTATTAATGGTCGAGAATTGTTTCACTCATGTATATTATTTACTACTGTATATAGGCGCCATTGTAATTGTATCAACCACATGGAACTTAGAACACGTTTAACTGTACACTTGTGTGCAGGAATTTTCCGTATTCTGGAGATAGGCAGAGCCATGCAAGAGCTAACAAGAATAAGCGTGCTGAGTTCTTAAGTAGGTCAAAAATTACGCCTCCTACTCGAGGAAGTCTTTGGAAAAGCCCCAAGCGTCCACCTACGTGGTCAAACTCTCCTGTCAAAGGTACGTTTATATTTATCCTTCTCTATTTTCCCCAGCTTTTTCTTTGTTATTTCATATTTGTATGCATTGCATGCATTAAGTTATATAGCTCAGTTATCCATGATTTCAGGCCAGCCCAGAAAGTTATTGTACTAGCCAAAACACTTAATTAATCATGACTTATATAACGATCCAAACGAGGCTTAACAACTTTTGTACACAATGCAGGTGTTGTGACGGCAACATCTACTCCCAGGAGTAGAAGAACAAATTCGACAGACTATGTATCAACCTTCCACAAAACCCCCAATAGAAAGAGATATTCGGAGGAAGAGTGGAAGGATTTCACAGAGGAATCAACTCGTCAGGCAGTTGCTGAGCTGGCATCGTCTCCAGAATTCACCGATTGGATTGTCAAACATGCTGACCGAATACAGCTCCAACCAGAAGTAACTTCTGATGAATCCATCGGAAGCGGTTCTGAATCAATGGACGAAAATGTTGCAGAGAGTAGCAGTGGAAGACGAGGTTTATTTTGGTAGACCATACTATACTAACTCCCCCTCACTCTTCTACTTCTTCCTCTGATCATCGTTTTGGAACGTTTGTTTTTTCGTCTTTTTCCCGTTTCTTCCAGCAAAAGGGTGTGTATATATGATAGAAATTGTTGTACAACGTAGTTTGGATTGATTAAAATATAGCAGCTCGTTTTCTTTTCCTAGTGTTGTTATCGAAACAAATGTAGTAAAAGTTTACGGTAATACAATGTGTTGTAGTACTACTAACAGTATGTTTGAGCAGTACATTTTCTTTTTACCATTTATAAGCACATAAATACACACACAAACCCATATTGATGTGTGTAGATCAACGCTAGCATAGAAATAACCTCACCAAAATGATTGAACTCATCAAATCCGAAGTTGTACTGTTAAACGCACAAATTCAGTATAATCGGGATTCCTCCCTTGGCTTTTTTAATTATGTTTCTTGAAATAAACTTTATATATATGACCTATAGATACATATCATGTACAAAACACAAGAAGCAATACAAATCCCAATTAATTAGAAGAATCAAGACTGGTAGTTTTTAGTGTTCAACAACCTCAATAAACTGCCACAATAAGCAGATACAATAATATATCAAACAGTAGCCATAGTACAGTAGCACGTCACTGCGCTTGCGGGGGTGGGGGGTGGGGGGCGGGGGGGACCGGGGGGAGGGGCCTGCTGCCATTTCAAGATCATAGGAAGTTACACACATTGTATAGCAGATGTTATTACATCCTAAAAAAAGTTATTGCCTCTCAATTATGGAACAATAATAATCAACCGCCAAAATTAACATGTGAGTAGAAAGAGATGAAATTATTACCAACTTATGATTTTGGGGTAGCCATATTGACTTTCTTCTCTATTTCTTGAATTGAGACTGCACTCTTATAGCACCACCCCTACCCCCTACCCCCACCCCCACCACCCCCACCTATCCCATATGATTATCATATATATAGCAAATAACACTTCACACACATTCATCACACCAAAAATAAAAATAAAAAAAAAAGGTTAAGAAATAATGGGAAGGCCTCCTCCATCTTGTGATAAAGTTGTTATCAAGAAAGGTCCATGGACTCCCGAAGAAGACATCGTTTTAGTGTCTTATATTCAAGAACACGGCCCCGGAAATTGGTTCGCCGTTCCTACTAATACCGGTATTTTCTTCTATTAATTTTCCGTCTTTTTTTATTTTTATTTTTTTTAAAGTCTTATTAGTAGACTCTTTGTTTGTTGTTGTAAGGTTTGTTGAGGTGCAGTAAGAGCTGCAGGCTGAGGTGGACTAACTACCTGAAACCAGGAATCAAGAGGGGGAATTTCACCCCACACGAAGAAGGGATGATCATCCATCTTCAAGCTTTATTCGGCAACAAGTAATTAATAATTTTCTTAGCTTGAAGCCATTTTTCGATTGTAGAATTATCGATATTTTAATTTCTATTCTTCGTGTTTTTTTTCCGGGTACGGCAGATGGGCTGCTATAGCTTCGTACTTACCTCAAAGAACGGACAACGACATAAAAAACTATTGGAACACTCATCTGAAAAAGAAGCTCAAGAAAATCCAAGCACAATCACCACCTTTGACCCCACATGTGGCATACGATTCCACAAAACCGAGGAACCACTCAGACCTCAAAATAACCGAAAACTCTTCGGTTTACGCATCTAGTTCACAAAACATATCGAGTCTCCTTCAAGAATGGAACAACACTTCCACCACTTGCGATCTTGATCGAAATATCCGTAATATCGGAAAAATCCCAACTGAATTTAGTGATGATTACTCTACTCTACTCCAATATTACAGGCCACAACAACAACAATTCGACTGCAGTATTCTGTCGAAAGATCGTAGCTTTATCGAAGAGAAGTCGTCTTGCGATTCTAGTCAGAAGGGTTCTGATCAAAGCAGTGGACCGATAACTGATCAAGAAAAGATAGACGATAATCCGGCGCCATTGTCGTTTCTCGACGAATGGCTGTTGGATGCAAGTGCAAGTCAAGTAGAAGATATGGAAATCCCACAAATGTTTTAGCTAAGCAGATTACTGAATTACTAATTAATCTTATGCAGCTGTGACAGGTGTCCAAGAATTGGATCCATCTGCAGCAGCTACTCTTGTCTTTTTTTTCTTCTTCTTTGTTCTGTCTTAATTAACTGTTGATGATTTCTGTTAATGGACTATTTGTATTAAATATATATTACTGTAATTTTGCAGAAGAAAGGAATAAAAATATATGTATGAAATGATCTATATATTTTTCGATCCATGTGATCTAATTCATTGGGAGGGAAACATGTGAATTGCTTTCAATTTTTCGGTGTGGGATACTGGAGAGGTGGATTCATTATGTAATAATAATTTCTTCTTTTATGAGGTTAGATATGTAATAATAATTATTTCATATCTGAAAAATTATTTTATTTTTTATGGGTAAATTACGAAAACCTCCCTGAATTTAGGCTAGATTACGAAAATGCCCTCCACTTATCCGTAATTACTAAAAATCTCCCGACGTTTGTTTCCGTCTCACACAACCCCCTTATGATGGGATTTTTTCACGGAATCTTTTTGAGACTTGGAAATATTTCCCGAAAAATGACAATTATACCCCTGCAGACGTAGAATTTCTTTATGCTACTTTTTAAAGGTAAAAATTGAAATGCCACGTCAACAAGGGTAGAATCGACATGTTTCGGGGAATATTCCTGTAGCAAAAAAGATTTCGTTAAAAATCACATCGTAAGGGGTTTGCTGTAATATTGGAACAAACGTCGGGAAAATTTTGGTAATTACGGATAGCTAGGTTTTTTTTTTTGTAATTTAGCCCAAGTTCAGGGGATTTTCGTAATTTACCCTATTTCTACCAAATTTTTGTGGCATAATTCGTTGTTAATAATTAACATCAGAAGTCATTGTACAGTCAAGTCAAATCATGGTACAGCTTCATTTAATTTCTTTTATTTTTTCCTAGGTTGGAATTATTGCTGTTACGAAAATCATCATAAGCTAAAAGTTCTCTCATACTTCTGTCAAATTTTGGTCAAAATCAAAGACAAACTGTTGATGATTGTACATAATTGTGAATAACTTAATAATATATAGCTTTTAAGCCAAGAAAAACTATGGTTATTGAAATAGAATAGACAAAAGTACCAAAAAAGTGATTCCTGAGTATTGGTTCATCGAGTCGACCCACATGTACAGTTGGAAATTTATCAGCCGTGAACTCGTTCTTTGCAAATCGACAAATTCCTACAAGCAGCAGAATCGAGAAATTCAATAAGCAGAATCGAGTCGAAATTGTCCATTGAAGTGTAGAAAAGCTTACTGCAACAAATGAAGGGTTCTCTTTCGGAACAAATTGATATCTGAGTCATGATAAATTTCTCAAATTACCGATTCTCTGAAGAAAGAATGAAGAACTCCGTTTTTTATTTCTCCTGAAACAATCAAACAAAAAGTAAGGAACGAAGAAAGTCGAACGTGCATCTTTGAACCTACTATTAAAAGCTGAATATTTTTCGACAAATATTACCGGAGAGACATACCTAGTTAAGACCAACAACAACAAAAGTGTCTCGATTTACTATAATGTCGAACGTGTTTCGGAGAATACTTTCTCAGCTTCGTTCCTTATGCATGACAGGTTTGTTCGTATCTCATTGCAGAGTCTTCCCTCTACAAGTTGCACAGGTAACCACACTTTAGGCTTCACACGAAGAATATACAAAAGCGTCGTTTGGAATTCTTCGCCACAGCTCTGTAGATCTTCAGCATCCCAGTTTGTCCCCTGAACAACTCAAGAGTTGTGATGACTCCTATATAAATCACAAATGGACTCTGAAATAAAGTACGAAACACGGAACTGAACGAAAAATTTCTCTACCACTGATTGCATTTAGTGTGTCCTTTTATTTTATTGGAAAAAAACTTACAACTGCAACTGAATCATTAATAACAGAATAGGAACGAGAAAAAAAAGAAATTCCGAACCTGTTCAACGGACCACTTTCCTTCAAAGAGTTGGAAATCACCTTCAACCATCTTGAACTCAATATCACGTTTTTGAATGTATGGAAGCGTCTGGAGATCTTTCTCAAAACAATCAATGGTAGCTTTTGCATTGAATTTCAGCCCAAATGCCAAATTCTGCTCACCAATCTGTTACATGTGGTATAAACAGCATCGATTAGTGCACGCCTTAAATCTGGCACGAGATTCATTTTGCATAAATGAATCATTTTTACTCACTAGATCAAAATTCCCTTTCAGAAGAATACAACCGGAAAAAGAAAGAAACTGAACGGGCTAACCTGAAAGAGACGAGCAAAATTATCTCTTTTTTCAAGCAACTGGCTGACTGCTAGACCTGGAATGAAATCAGCTAATCTTTCATAATCGGTCAATGTATTCCAGACTGTTTGGAGGCTGGCCTGCACAGCTACCTTTGATCTAATTATCCGGCTGTTCTTGCCCGTTTTTTCTATTTCAATCTCGATGCTATCATCTTGAATTTCAGAATCGGCAGGTAACTCATATGCATCATCTTCGCTGTTCTCACCATCCTCAGCATCAGGAGCATTCTCCGAATCACCCCCAAAATAAGCCCTAAATCGAGGATGCAGAGTCTTGACGATTTTCAGACATAATTTCTGCTCACAGTTGAATTAATAATGACAGTCTCATAGATGTTTGTATGTGAAGTAACAAAAAGTTGATTTGCTCATAAAGTTACGACAAGAGTTAGATACATTCATCCGAAGTACTTCTTTCTATTGACTGAGAGAATATAAATGAATTTATTGCCACATTTGAAAATTATGCATTAAAATCATTCTGGACAAAAAACGACAAATAAGTAGTACCTAGCCAGGAAACGGGAGAGGGAAACAACCGGAGGCTTATTCTGTTGAAAAAAACGAACAGTGGCAGGGCCATATGGATTCAATCTCCTCGGTGGAAAGGCGGATTCTGCATCCACAACTATGAAGGGTCGATATACAACAGGGCATCTTCTTGCAATGGATAATTTGGGAATCATATTTGTCGAAGCGCGTGATGGAGTTGCAGTTGTGGAGAACAGCAAAGTCATTTGCTCCGAGAAGCTGCTCAAAATGAACCGACGAATAATTGACTATTGCAGTACGAGTGCACTTTTGTCAACAATAATTGTTACATTCTTTATGGAATTAAGTAACCTTCACAATTTTACGACGAGAGTAAATAGAAGTACCTGGAAACTATTAATCGGTAAAACTATGAGAAGTAAACATCAAGTGCCAAATTTTCGTGTTATTTCGGAAACAAATAACACGAATGTATCAATGCACATCAAATTCATCTTACACGAGATATTTCAAATCTTCTCTCAAAAAAAAAAAAAAAAATTAGGGCAAAATTTTGAGATTTCTTTTCTGAAAGAATTCCTCTTTCTTAAAGTACAGCCGCACTCTAGCTTCTTATTTTCAAATATGGCCGTTAACTGTAGACACAAATTAAAAACGTATCTACGAATGTAAAGAAGCAAACATGTGCGAGAATATAACAAGACAAATAAACATGTAAAAAGCGTTGAATCAACTACGTACAGCATTCAACAAATTCAACTGAAGTATTCTATTGTACGGATGAGAACATATAAAATGAATAAAAAGCAGTTACGAAATCTGCGGTGATATCGCCGGAGATGAATAGCGATTGAGAGTGGTCGAATCGGTACCTGTAAACTCGCCGGAGATGAATGAGGACTGAGACAAGCGGCGGTGGATTAGACCGGGAATTGTGGCTGTGGGCGCTTCAGATGTTTATTAGCTATAAAAGAGAGAATTACACTTTTGGTCCCTCATGTTTGGTCCGATTACACTTTTGGTCCTCATTGTTCCAAAGTGAACAAAATTCACCTTCAAAGTCAATGTTACACACTTTTGGCCCCCCGCCATTACATGTCCGTTAGAAAGCAACGGAAAACACTATTTTTAGGGCAACAGTTGAAATTTTAAATGTTCTTGGGGCTGAAAAATAATTAGAAATTTCAAATAGGCTTACTTTGTAATATTTATATTGTGGTAGAGAAAATTACGCAAACTCAATTTACCAAGTATAGCAAAGTCTTTCCAAGCCCGAACAATGGCAACGGTAACCATAGATGGCAAAGAACCGCTCACTATATTTAACTCTCTCTCTCTCTCTCCCTCTCCCTCTCTCTCTCTCTCTCTCTCTCTCTCTCTCTCTCTCTCTCTATAATCTCAACTGAATCTCTATCAAGTATCTATCTTTCTCTGCTTTCTTGGATTTTGCAAAGAGCAAAACACCTATTCACATATTTTAAAAAATTAAAAAAAAAAAAAAGAATCTTTATAAGATGACCCTTCTTCAAGAATTTCTTCGACATGTTGAATTCTTGATTCTTGAATTTTACTGAGACTAACAAAAAAATTGATTGATTGTATTTGTTTTGTCTTGATTGTAATGGGGTTTCTTGATTGTGGGGGTGGTGGAGGGAAGTGTTCATTTGGGGGTTTCAAAACCCTTGTGAGGAGGAAACAGGTTGATTCTGAGCACGCCAACGCAGCTTCCTCTGCAACTGGTCAACATCAGCTGGCCAAAGCGTTGACCGTACCTCATCTCATTACCATTGGTAAACAAACAAACCACCATTTCTTTAGATATTTAATTTTGATTTTTTGAATGTTTTTCTTCAATGTTTGGTGTTTGGTATATAGTTTGATGTCATTCAGAAATGCATTAATATTTATAATCAATTAATTACCTTCTCTTGTTTGTTGCTTTGATCCTTGTAAAATGTTTCGGAAAATCGGAAAATCGTTTTAGAAATTAAGGGTCTCTGATATTTTATTGATGTTTTGAGTTGGATATAATTTAACTATAAGATTTTTTTTTCATTTTTTTTATGGGTTGAATTATTTGTAGGAGTTGGTTCGACAATTGGTTCGGGGGTTTATATTCTAGTCGGTACAGTTGCTAGAGAGCATTCAGGTCCAGCTCTTACCGTTTCGTTTCTGATAGCTGGCATAGCAGCTGCTCTTTCTGGTTTCTGCTATGCTGAGCTGGCAAGTCGTTGCCCTTCCGCTGGAAGTGCCTATCATTATTCCTACATATGCATCGGAGAAGCGTAATATCTATATATTTTCTTGAATTTTTTTTTCTTTTATTACCTAGTAAATAAAAATCCAATTTTTAAAGCATCCCATGTTATGATTTGTTTTTTGTTGCAGTTTTGCTTGGTTGATTGGTTGGGCATTGATGTTGGAATACACTATCGGAGGTTCAGCTGTTGCTCGTGGAATCTCCCCGAATCTGGTGATCCATCTTCACTTTAAATTAAATTTCTTTAAATTAGTGGATGATTGGTTTCATTTTTTATTTTTTATATTTTTTGGTTGGCTTAATTAGGCTTTGCTTTTCGGAGGTCCAAATAGTCTACCTTCTTTTCTAGCTCGACAAACCATACCTGGAATCGGCATTGTGGTCGACCCATGTGCATCCATCTTAGTTATTGTGGTTACTGGACTTTTGTGTTTGGGAATTAAGGAGGTCATTTTCTACTAATCTCGTTTCTTCGCGCATTCAATTCAAAAAAAAAAGTTCGCAAATTAAAAAAAAAAATTATTGCTGCAGAGTGCGTTCGTCCAAGGAATCGTTACTGCGGCAAATATATGCGCATTGATGTTTATCATAATTGCCGGTGGATATTTAGGCTTCAAGACTGGATGGCGTGGCTACGAACTTCCTGCAGGGTAACCGATTTTTTTTTTTTTTTTTTGCATTCTTGCTTTAAAATAATTCCGATTTCATGTTATTTGAAGTTACTAATCGACTTCTCGATTTTAAAACAAAAAGATATTTTCCATTTGGGGGTCAAGGAATGCTTGCTGGTGCTTCGACTCTTTTTTTCGCATACGCAGGGTTCGATTCGGTCACTAGTACTGCAGAAGAGGTATAACTCTTTCGGGTTTTTTTTATTTTATTTTTTATTTTTTGAGAAGTGGTGGGGGGCCATGCCCCCCACCCCCACTGAATTATCTCCATGTGCAGGTGAAAAACCCGCAAAGAGATTTGCCCGTCGGTATCGGTCTTGCACTATCGATATGCTGCACACTCTACATATTGGTTTCTGCAGTAATTGTTGGTTTAGTACCCTATTATGCTATGGATCCAGATACTCCAATTTCGTCTGCCTTTGCTAGCCATGGAATAAAATGGGCAGCGTAAGTAAAATTGAATTTTCGTCGTCGAGTCTTATACGGGCTTTAATTGATTTTTTTCGGGCTTTTTTTTTTTCTTTTTCGGTGTAGGTATGTAATAACTATTGGATCATGTACTGCTCTTTGTTCATCATTGATGGGGTCACTCCTTCCCCAGGTAACTGATTTAAAGATCTAATTTTTTCGAAATAAAAAGATTCTAATTTTACTAAAAGATTCCATTTTTATTTATTTTTTTTCTTATGAAAAACAGTCACGAATATTAATGGCAATGGCTAGAGATGGATTGCTTCCCTCGCTTTTTTCGCAAGTTAATAAAAGCACTCAAGTTCCTGTAAAGAGCACAATTGTGACTGGACTATTAGCCACAATCTTGGCATTCTTCATGGATGTCGAACAGTTGTCAGGAATGGTATATAATACTGCTATCTATATTTTATATCGATAATTTTATCGATTTAAATTTAAAATAAAATAAAATGATACATTTTGCAGGTTAGTTTGGGCACGCTTCTTGCATATACAACGGTGGCAATTTCGGTGCTGATATTGAGATATGTTCCGCCCGATGAGGTCCCTTTTCCGTCTGAATTTCAGGAAGTAATCGATTCAGTTTCTCTGCGAAGGAATATTCCCGTGGAGAACACGGAAGCCTACGGTGTATCCTCGGAGAATATTCCACTTTTAACCACGACAGAAAAATATCCGTTCGTAAATAAAGGGAATAGACGGAAAGTTGCTGGATGGGCGATCATGGCCACGTGTGTTGGAGTTCTCGTTTTAACTTGTGCTACTTCAAGTTTGAGCCTTTGTAGGTATGCGGTTCGTTTTTATTACAATGATCATCTCTTTTTTTTTTTTTTTAAATAAAAATAAAAATTTCGAAATCTAATACGTTGACTTATTTACTAGGACTATTCGATATATACTTTGCGGGATTGGTCTAGTTCTCCTTTTTTCGGGTGTGATATTGCTCAGTTCTATCGACCAAGATGATGCGAGGCATAATTTCGGACACACCGGAGGTATATGTATACAGTATATATTATATATATGTATATATTTTTTAAAATATGATCAAGATAATATTAGCATCTAATTCTTTAATTTCGTTTATTTTTCGAGGTTTCATTTGCCCGATGGTTCCGCTTCTACCTATTGCCTGCATTCTTATCAACGTCTACTTATTAGTTAACATCAGGTAATTAAGTACAGTCGGCCCTTTCTTGATTTTCACTTAGAATTTCGATTTATTTTATGTGATTTTATTTTATAATGCAGTGCTGCTACGTGGACTCGAGTATCGGTATGGTTGGTGGTGGCACTATTTGCGTACATTTTCTACGGGCGGAAGCACAGTCTGTTGGAGAATGCCGTTTATGTGCCTGCTTCGCATGTTGACGAGATTTACGAGACCTCCTCCAATTGTGTATCGTAGTTTGGTGCTTATTACAGCAGTGTATATAACATGTAGTTGATAGATAAATAGGTCAGTAGATATAGATAGCTGAAGTAAGAAGATGTATGTACATATTCTAGCATCATTTGGTTTACATCTGCCCAGAAATTTGGATACATTGTAAATATTGTCTAATAGACCAATAAATACACATGAAAATTTGAGAGAAAATGCACTTAAGGCTACGCTGAGGTAAGGTCAAATTACGAAAAAACCCATCATGATTGGGTAATTACAATCATCTCCTTCAACTATGAATTATCTTATAAATTATTCTTACATATGAAAATTGAGAGAAAATGCACTTACGGTTACGCTGAGGTAAGGTCAAATTACGAAAAAAAAAAAAACCCATCATGATTGAGTAATTACAATCATCTCCCTCAACTATGAATCATCTTACACGTCCACCTTGCGGTTGCGGTTTCAAATTCAGTGGAATATTCTCCAGTTTGTACATGTTTTACCCCATTCGAGCTTCACATTTTGAAATAGGATCATCATAGGATGTGTCGGCTTGTAAATATCAGATTGTGGTGCATCATAAATTGTATTTTTGCACAAAATCGAGTACAAACCAGATAATATTCCATGAAATCTAGAAGATTATGTTGAATTTGACACCATAAGGGTGGACGCGTAAGAAAATTCATAGTTGAGAGGGTGGTTGTAATTATACAAACACGAGGGGCCTCAAGGGATGGGGCAAAATTGAAAAAGAAAATGTATTAAATGCATTAAATTGAAAATTTAATTTTCTATTTTAGGGTCGAAATAAAATAAAAATCACAAAACCCCGGCTAACTAAAACCACATCTCCCAACAGGCAGAGCCACCGCCCCCGGCTGCGGAAATGGGCGGCGCAACGAGGTTCATGACTCTCCTCACAGCTCCATTCCCAACTCTCCGGCCATCTCTTATCATTATTCACCGCCGTTTCTCCTTAATCGCCACCACTCCCTTCCGTCTCCTAACTCTCTATCCTCCTTCCAAAACCAAAACCCGAACTCGTCTACTACTCGGCAAATCGTTCCACTCTCAACCGAGCAACAACGCCTTCACACTCCCCGCCTCCGCCGCTCAGCAGCAGCATCACCACCCCTGGCCGGAATGGAATCATTTTCTCGATTTACTATCGAACGGCCAGGGATTCGCTTCCCCTGAAAATCTCGGAATTCCACCCGAAGATGCATTCGTTGTGTATGAGGAATTGACCGATGATTTTGTAGCCGCCGCCTCCACGTGCATAGCGTTCGCTCGAGCTCGACCAGACCTTATTAGGTTTGTAATCCTTTTTCTGTTTGTTATTGTTCATCTTTTGGGGCGAGATTATTTTTCCGATTTTAAATTAGGTTTTCATCTACTCTGTTCATGTCGATTTTGTCTTGCTTAACAGAAAAAAAATTAGAGTAACTGCTTCAGCATCATTAATTATCTTCCTGAGTTGAGTTTGATTTGGCAATTGAATTATAGATCGCTTTCGAGGAGGAATATCGAAGCAGTTGTATCAAATGGAACTCCGTTTCTGTTCAGAAGTGCGCTCGATACAGCAAGGAGGATGAGGGCATTTTTGGGAACTGATGGAAGCAATGTATGTAAAATTGAATCAAAACATTTTAGTGTTGACATAATATTTTATTTTTATTTTTTATGTATTTTTTAGGTCTCGAACTTCGATAAAGCAAATACAGTTGATCTAATGAAGTACATACTAAGCTACGCAAGCAATCCGACCGTTTCCCCCGAAAGGAATGGGCTGTATAGCAGAGAACTTGTTGACTCGTCTGTACGGAGTTTGTTGCACGAGCTGGTTGCAGTGTGCCGTGGTGTTCAGATAGGTAGCATGCCTGCTTCAGGCCATCAGTTTTCAGGGCAGGCTCAAAGGCCATTCGGACAAAATATTGAAATGAAGAGAGGTGACTGGATATGCTCAAAGTATGTCTGCATTCTATATTTTTCACACTTGTCCGTTTATTTCGTGCTTCTCTGCAACTTCTATTGCTTTGTTATTTGTGGGTTTAAAGAAGTTAGATCTATTCTCACGTGATCCGCATTGTGCAGGTGCAACTTTATGAACTTTGCAAAGAACACGAAATGCCTCGAATGTGAAGAAACGAGACCGAAGAAACAGCTAGCTGGTGGTGAATGGGAATGCCCAGCGTAAGCAATTCTCTTATGTTCTAAATAAGGCATGGTTGTAATACTAATTGATGAAAATGATGCAATTGTGTCGAATTCACTTTCGTTGCAGATGTACTTTCTTTAATTACGGAAGGAATGCGGTTTGCTTAAGATGTGACTGCAGAAAACCTGGTGCTCCGTTACTTAACAATACCAATAACTCACAGTTAGGTTCAGTATACAATGGCGATCACTCTTATAAAACCAACGAAAACAAAGTACCTATAGGAGGTGATAATTTTCAGTTTCCAAAAGATTCGACAAGTCCGATCGGTACACAGAACAAAGAGGGGGGGGCACAAGATGAAAAATCCGAAAGATGGTTTAAAAAGATTGCAGAATTGCACGATGTGAAAGATTCACCCACTGCAGCTCCGGACAAGGATTTCCCCGAGATTATGCCAATGCGGAAAGGTGAAAACCGATTTGTGGTCAACAAGAACAAAGATAGATCACTCACTTCTCCAAAGTACAAAAGACAAGAATCAATGGATCAAACAAATAGCTCAAACTTTGTACCCTTTGTCCCATTCCCTCCTAACTACTTTTCGAAAAACGAAACAGTGAGTGATGAAAAAATGGCTCCGCGAGTGTCTGATAATGATGACGTGGCAGTGTCTGAAAGTGGAGGAGGTTCGTCGGAACTGTCTGGAAACAGGTGGACAGGGAAGAGCTTGGAGGGTTCGGCTGTGAAGGAAGCTGATCCGTTGGATATGTCTGAAGAGGCGAAAGCTGAGAGATGGTTCAAACGTGTGGCTCAGATTAAGGATATTTCAGAGCTGAGTCAGATTCCGGACGAGGATTTTCCGTCGATTATGCCTATGAGGAAAGGTGTGAACAGGTTCGTTGTGAGCAAGAGGAAAACGCCGCTCGAGCGGAGGTTGACTTCCCAGCAGTACAGAAGGAATCTTCCTGTTGTGAGTAGTGATTCTGTCAAGAAGGAAAGTGACGACAGCTGATTTTTTATTTAATTTTTTTTACAATTATTGTTTTTTTTATCTTGTCTTAACTTAAATTAGTGTAATGTTGGTTTGAAGATTGAGCAAATAATTACTATAGTAGTGTTCTCCACATTCTACTAATTTTCTTCATTTTCCATTTAATCAATTTTACGGGGCGGGTTAATAAAATCAAACCCGGAACGTGTCGGGGCGGGTAGGGGTTGGAAATTTTGCTACCAGGCGGGTTCGGTTTTTCCAAAACCCGGCCCGTACCTGCCTCATGGCCATCCCTATAAGTGAGCTTGTATTATGTATTTATTTTTGTTATTTACAAAATTCATAAAAAAATCATAACTAAAATCTTCTGCTATTTATTTTCCACATCTGGGAGTACGTGTTCAAAAAAATCACCTCTAGATTCTCTCTCTCTCTCCTCTCTCTTCTCTCTCATCCGAAATGATGACGAGAGAGACTGCAATTTCGCCGGGAAAATGGATCTCAATGATTTCGGAGACTTCGATTTGCGTTGCCAGTGCAGTTGTCTTCTTCATGCTAGATATTCTCGACGTAATCATGTGCGTATTCTTCAGATTTTTCGATGAATTCGTCGAAGGAAAATCCTCCTCATGCTACTGCGTAGGAACCGGAAAGGGGGAAAATCCTGCCGGAGTTGATGGCGAGATTGAGCTGTCGGAGAGCCTTAATCGAAGGAAAAACGTGTTTAGGAAGATGCGATTTTTGATAACCCCCAAAATTCGGAGTGGAGAATCGCCATTTTATGTGGGGAAGACGAAGATGAGAAACAGGTGGTCTGACTGTGGGTGCGAAGCTTGTGTTAATTGGATGAACAATGAAACCGATTCCAGGCTTCATCTTCTTGTCAACGAACCAGAAAGAGGTATAAACTATTTTGCTACAGTAATTTAATTAAAATGTCATTTTATTTATTCGCCCTTAATTATCATTGCAGGATTCAATTTCTAATTCATGCATTTCTCAGTGTAATTTTTTAATTTTTTTTTTTAATTTGATAACTAAAGAATGAAGATATGATTGTTTCTATGGAGTATTGGTCATAGGATAATCATTTAGATATTTTTTCTATTGACAGAGAAGAATTCCCCAGAAACCACTGTGCAAAATGTAGTATTCATACACGGTTTTCTTTCGTCTTCGTTGTTTTGGGAAGAAACCGTGTTCCCTAATCTGTCCGAAAATGCGAAGCAAAACTACAGATTATTCGCAGTAGACTTATTTGGATTTGGAAAAAGTCCAAAGCCAAGTGATTCTTTCTATACGCTAACGGACCATATAGAAATGCTCGAGAAGTCGGTTATTCTTCCGTTTAAAATGAATTCATTTCACTTAGTTGCACACTCCATGGGTTGTGTGATTGCACTAGCATTAGCAGCCAAGTATTCGGACTCCGTTAAATCCATCACTCTGGTAGCTCCAGTAAGTGCTCGATGAATCATTAACTTCATCCTAGCTTATCCAATAAATTGCATATTTCTGATTTGAAAAATAAAAATGCAGCCGTATTTCTCTTCTTCGAAAGAAGCACTAACAAGACTCGTTAGAAGACGAGTGTGGCCCCCAATGCTCTTTGCTTCAGCTCTAATGTCGTGGTACGAGCATTTGGGCAGATGCGTGTGCTTCTTCATATGCAGGCACCACAGGGCATGGGAGTCGATTTTTAGGCTACTCGCGAGGAAAAGGTAAAAATACAACTCAATATCAAAATTTCTTTATTAAAAAAAGAAAATCAAAATTTTGATTTTTTTTTTTTTTTGTTTTTTTTTTGTGGGGGGGAAGGGATCTTCATTTTACAATGATAGATTTGACTCGTCACACTCATCACTCGGCATGGCACACGATGCATAATGTTGTTTGCGGTGGAGCGAAATTCTTGGATACATACTTGGAAGTTTTGAGGGGTGATGGAGTGAAGATTCATGTGGTTCAAGGGAGTAATGATCAAGTGGTGCCTGTCGAATGTAGCTTCAATATGAAGATGAAGGATGCTGACGTGGATATTGATATTATACGTAATGCTGATCATAGTAGTGTTATTTTAGGTAGAGCAGAGAATTTTACCAGGAATTTAGAGAGATTATGGGCATCAATTGATGATTAGCAGAAGCTTGTAGATATCAGTAAAGAAGAAATACAAAAGTAAGTCAAACTATTTGTCCTAATATAAGTTAGATGCATTTGAAGATATATGTTGATTTTTTTTTCTTTTTTGCTTCTCTCAAGGTTATTTGTTTTAAATTATAATTTCTAAAGTATATATACAACAGTTTTCATTAAAAACACTTTATTTTTAAATTGATTTTATTGCTTTAAATACTCAATTCTGAAAAGGTTAACTCTTTATTATTTTAAAGAATCCCTTTAATCTTAATTGTTTTCTATATAATGCAAAATGATTAATACATGGAAATCAGATTAGAAGAAAGCGGTCAAGCAGTTTTCAGAAAATGAAATCTTTGATGTTTCAATTCCTTTTTTGATGAAAAGAGCCGTTGGTTCCAAACTATTTAATCATATTAAGCAAGGGAAAATAGAAGAGTGCTTCATTGGTCGATTATTAGCTCTAGAGATCGAGTGATTAATTCATTGTATTTGAGAGTTGAGTGCGAAAAGTGACGAGCCTTGTGCGAAAGAATTTAGCACTCTGATTGTAAGCGATAGGTGAGGAATCTTGTATGCAGGTTGGTGTGGAAGATTCAAGAATCTTGAAAGCACGGCTTAATAATAGTTCGAGAAACTTGGAAGAGTGGACGGAGGAGAATTTCTTCGCAACCTGGTGTCGTTTAAATTTATGCACTTTACATTTTTGCATTATTGTTTCCTGCATTCTAGGTTTATCTTTCTGCTGGAAAATCATTTCGAACTTCATTGAATTTCTTATCAGTAGTTTGCATAAAAATATATTTTGAATGCGTCTTTGAAAAGCCTAATTCACCCCCCACTTAAACATATCTCGTGTACCAAATATATTTAAGAAAAAAAATTAAAGTTTGGTTGTCACTATTACAATTTCTAAACCAGCTTATTAAAACCGAGTTTCTAATATATCTGCGAACACCCAAAACTTTTACTCTTAAAATATTTTGTTTCAATTTTTGCTTATAATAACCAAATTCTAATTTTGTTAAAATTTTGAAAACACCACCTTAATTATATAAGTTACATTGTTTATCCATTTTTGTAGCAATATTTATTTTGTATTTTTGTACCAAATATTTAATAGCTAAATCATTTTTTTCTTAAAAAAAATTATATATGGTAATTATAATAGAAAAATAAGAGAAGATAGGAATTATGAATATTGGGCCATAGATCCAGAAGTAGGAACAACGTGGCCCATCTACTACACAGGAAATCAATCCGTTGAGCAGCCTAAAGTGAAACTTTTAATTTAATTACATAAATACCATACCTAGTTCGCGCGAGGGAAATTGGCGCCAAATGCTGACGTAGCAGCCTGCCACGTCAGCATACCCGCCAAAAAAAAACCCTTCTTCCTGCAGCAGTCTTCACTCCTCAACGCCGCTACATATAGCTCATCGGCTCCTCAACGACACCTTCACTGTGTGTTTGTGTGAGCTAGCAGCAATGGACGCCGACGGTAAATCTTCCCCTCTATCCTCATTCAAGTCGAAGAAACAGCTACATTCACCTGCGCCGTCGGACCAGAAAATGCGGAAATTTTCCGATCTGGAATCGGATCCGTTGAGCGTGAAAACCCCGGGGAAGCTCGTGGATCCTCCTCGGCGTTCCCACCGCCGCACGGCGGTCCTCTCTATTAAGGAAATCAGAGAGGCGGCAATGAAGCTCCGGGAACGGGGACCCGACCCGCCGGCGCGTGAAGACCCGGAATTGGGATCCGAGAAAGAGCACATTTCCAAACCGAAGAAGTCTGTTCGCGCTGAGATAACGCTTCCGGAAAAGTAAGTGATTTTAGGATTTTTGTCAATTAAAGCCGGAAACCTTTTTTTCTGAAGGATTTGTTGATTACAGATCTGAAATATGTTGATAGTTTTGGCTATGTTCTGAATAAATTTTATGCTTTGTTTGGATGATTTTTGCTGCCCAAGTGAGTATATGCTTCAGATCTGCATATATATGTACTTTTGCTCATGTTCTGGATGAATTTCTTGAGATGAATTGTTCAATTTTTCTGCCCTATTTTGAACATCTTGTAGCTTTGCTCTGTTTTCTTCTACACCAAATCAAAGAAGAGAGAAAAAAATTGGTTTTCAATACTGTATGAATGTTTATGTTTCAGGTATGAGCTTCTGGATAAATTCTTCAACAGCTTGGATTGTTCAATTAGGCTGCTCCAATTGAAGAGATACACCCCAACATTTACTGATATTAGCTCCCAGATTCAATGTTTAACCGATAGGTATGCAGATTCTGCAGCTCATATTTATATTATCTAGTTCTGTTTTCTTTTTCTTTCATTTCATAAAGCTCTGGATATTCATTTTGTTGTATGGTTTAATTTTGTGTAGGAGGTTTACTCATAAACATTTAGCTCAGCTGAAGTTCATTGTGCCTGAGGCCATTGTATTAGAGAAAGTCCTTCGGCTCGACGAGCAAACTAGTTGTATGAAGCCAGACCTTCGTATAACATTGAATCTTGAAGCACTTAATTCCCCAAGCAAGTCGAAATCTCAGAGTTCAAATTTGCAGCTGAGGAAAGTCTTCCGTTGTCGACTTTTGGAATTTCTCAAATCCCATCCAGAGGTACAACTTTTTCTTCAGAAAACCTTTTTATGTATCTGCTTTTCCAGTTATTTTATGTTTGAATTTGTAGATATTGATAATTTGCTACATTTGAATTCAGTGTGATGAAGTCCCAGAAGAAGAGCTACCAGAACCATTTAATCGATTGAAGGACAATGCAAGAGCAAATTCCACTCAACCTTCTAGTTCATCTTTAATGAGTGGAACACCGAATGTGGCATTGTCACGACAGCCAATCGCAGGATCACATCTGTCTCAATCATTCAAAAGGCACTTCTCGCAAAAGGGTTCAGATCAGTACAATGTTTCCGCCCATGATTCTTCAGTTTCTTCGGAATATAAATTTGCTGAAAGTTCCTCTGGGAAAGAAGATAGTGAAATTGATGCCGAAAAGTTCTCTTCATCCAAGATTTCTCCAAGTACTATACCTTCGTCTCCTTTGCCCGAAACTCCAGTCAAGAACGACAACCAATGCTCTGTTGAAACGGCCGGTTTACTGAAAACGCCAGTGCACATGGCATCTACTCCAGCAAAACTGATGAGTGCCACACCGATGATTCAGCCACCTAAGAGATGTTACATGAGCCCAGATGATAATAGTTCATATAAATCGCCGACCAAGTTAATTAGACGACCACCCCCTAACAGGCCTTTGAAATTCGACACTCCCGTGAAGGACCAGCGCAGGAATTCATCAGCTAATGATGACATCCTAGACATTCTTCCGGAAGGTCTTCTACAATCGGTAAACACCATATTCCAATCTCTTTACTATATCTTTGTTGTCAAATTGTATTCAAGTACAAGAAATGAGCAGTTTCTTGTTTTATTACTAAAATATACAGATACGAGAGAAAGAGAGGTTAGCTGCAATCGAGCGGGACCCAGCAATCTCTCAAGCGAAATGGCGGAAACAAATGATCGCCGGCTTGCCTAAGGTGTTTGACATGATATACTTCTTGTTTCAATCGATCAGACGCTCTGTACTAACTAAAGAGGAGCTGATGCAGAAACTAACTTGCCATTTGGACATTGTTGACAAAAGTAAGCCCTGCTCTTTAACAAACACTAGTTGAAGTATTTAAATTTTTTTTTAACTTTGAGATTGATCAAAAATTCGTGTCTCGACAAAACAGGGGATGTCGAAGAACAACTTCGATTGCTAAGGGAACTTGCTCCTGAATGGATTTACGAAAAGTTAGCATTGAGCGGAGATATCCTCTTATGGTGAGTTTATCTTTTTATATGTATCATAATAAAATCATCATCATGGGATTTATGTTGTTACTTACACTATCTATATATATTGCAGTGTTAACAAAATCTCGAGTCCTGACGCAATACGAACGAGACTATCGGGTGCAATGTGAGGAGAAAGCAAAGAGACCGAGCACGCTTAGATTACAAAATTACAGAAGCAAATTTGTTAATATACTGGTTTTTGCTTCAATGCCACTAAGGTTGTCCTTGTGCATATTTTTGTGAGCTAACTTATCTTCGACACAAAACAATGTAGTTGTTCAATCACCAGACTCTATGTAATGAAATTGAAAACATGTATGCTGAAATTATTGTTTATATTATTTCAATTGCTCTGTGTTTTTTTAATTCTTGTAAATTACGGCCACTCCTGATGTTAGACTAAATTACAAAAGAACCCCACTTGTTTGAAAATTTGTAAAACGAGCCCTAACTATAAATTTTCTACATAAAATCTTGTGGAATATTCTAAATTAAATTTAAACATCATTTAAAAGAGTTCAATTAAGGTAGGTAATTATTATCAAATTGTGGTCCAAGTCTTGCACTAAAGAATTTATATTTATTAATATTAAATACAAAGTCTTGTAAGAATGGAGACTTGGAATTAGATCGGTAGGTGAAATTTGTGACCCAGTTGAATCTACGCAACCACCATTTTTTTTTTTCGTTGCAAATTAGTTATATACATACGTACATTATACTGATCACGCCGTCTTCATATCTGCAGTCCGTTTTCATGCCACTTCATTAGTTATTTCTTACCTCATTTCATCAAATTCTTTTTCTCTGTCTGAAAAATTAGGGCTTCTAATTTTCCGGCGGCGATGGATTTCCTGGCAACTTCTAACGGCCAATTGTTTGTCGGAGTGACCGTTGGTCTGATTGCTGTTGGTGCTGCATATATCTTGTTGTCGTCAAAGAAGCCCAAAGGTTCGGTTTTTTTTTTTTGTTTTTTTTATTTTTTATTTTTTTATATTTATTTATTTATTTTTATTTGATTCAATCTGTCGATTTAATTTTTATTTTTTTCCTTTTATTTTGTGGGTTTTGTCTGATCTGAGTGGATCTCAATTTTTATTGTGTGATTTTAGGGTTTACTATAATTCTTATTTGGTTCTCTTAATTTTGATGAAAACAAAAAAAAGTTGTGAACTAGTTAGTACAAGATCATGGGTTCTTGCTTAAAGATAAGATCTATAGTTAATTTTTCGATTCGATACTTGAGTTAATATATCTTTTCTGGTGGAAACAGTGTGCTTGGATTCTGAGAATTTCAAGGAGTTCAAGCTTGTCAAGAAAACGCAACTCAGTCACAACGTGGCCGAGTTCAAATTTGCTCTTCCTACACCTAATTCCGTATTGGGCCTTCCGATAGGACAACACATAAGCTGCAGGTTAATTTTTTTTATCAACTTTTGTCACGTGACATCGAACATGGTTTCTTGAGTTTTATACTTGATACCTTTTCGGTTTTATATTGTATTTGTGGCAGGGGTAAGGACAGTCAAGGTGAAGAAGTCGTCAAACCTTACACCCCGACTACTTTAGATTCCGATGTTGGATATTTTGAGCTTGTTATAAAGGTGCATCCCGTTTTCCCTTTCTCGAATACTTTTTTATTTCTTTGTTAGTTTGTTTGTGATTTTGGTTTACTTTACGACGTACGTTTTACAATATTGTAGATGTATCCGCAAGGAAGAATGTCCCATCATTTTAGAGAAATGCGTGAAGGTGATTATATGGCTGTGAAAGGACCGAAGGTACTTTTTTGCGTCCTATTTAGACCCCTTTTTACATAACCATAGTCTGCTTATAAGGATCTCTTTTCGTATTTGTATAATGACAAACTGATGCCAACTCATTAACTCAATCTTGACTTATATTCCGTGTTCAGTTTGGAGTTTTCAAACTCCGTTTGGCACTGAAATCTGTGCATGCATTAGTTAGTAGCTTCACCTTTAGCATCTTGAGCTGAATTTAGGATTTCCGAAAAGTCGACTTTTTACTTGGAAGTTATTGACGGCAACAATCGTTTTTACCACTGTCAATAATTTTCTTGAAGTTAATTTACCTAATTAACTGTTTTTTTTTTTTCGTTGGATTTGCGTGCGTTTTTAGGGTCGATTTAAGTATCAGCCAGGCCAAGTGAGAGCATTTGGAATGCTTGCTGGAGGTTCTGGAATTACACCAATGTTCCAGGTTTATATACAACAACATTTTTTATTGCCATTATTTATTTATTTTTATTCTTTTCTGATGATCTATTGATTTTTTACACAGTCGATGGAATTGTATTAAATCAAAAGTCAATGAAATGTCTCTTCTTATTTCTATCATGTTTTTTTCTGTATAGGTTACGAGAGCAATTCTTGAAAATCCAAGTGACCAAACGAAGGTGCACTTGATTTATGCTAATGTCACAATCGATGACATTCTGTTAAAGGTAATTTGTCGATGGCTCTTTGTCCATAATTTAATGTCTGATTTTTGCAAAATGACAACTCGTTTAAATAACTTATTATTTGGTCCTAAATAGTTCTATTTGTTCGTTTCAGGACCAATTGGATAACCTTGCGAAAAACTACCCCGACAGATTCAAAATCTACTACGTTCTCAATCAAGTAAGTACCATGCAGTAGTTATCTTTACTTGGTTTTAATTTCTACCTATTTTTAAGCATTATATTTTTCCTATTACAGAAATTAAAGAACTGTACATCACAAAAGTGATATATATATATATATATATATATATATATATATATATATATATATATATATATATATTTTTTTTTTTTTTTAATTCTTTTTTCAATAGCTCACATATTCGTTCGTGTTTTAACTTTCATAGCCTCCAGAAGTATGGAATGGTGGGGTCGGATTTGTCTCGAAAGAAATGATTCAGGCTAACTGCCCTGCACCAGCCTCTGATATTCAGGTTTCGTATTACTGTTAATTACAGAACAGAAAAAAAAAAAAAAAAAAAAAAAACTGTAATTTTATAGCGTTGAGGATTTAGGTCAAGTTTTAAAGAAAAAACCGAGCATTAATTAAGGTTATTGTGGTGTTGCAGATTCTGAGATGCGGTCCGCCTCCGATGAACAAGGCCATGGCTGGTCTTCTAGAAGCTCTCGGTTATTCGTCGGAAATGCAATTTCAGTTCTAAATTTTTGTTCTTACACTAGTTTTATTTTTCTCCTCATTTAGACATGTGATTTTGATCGATCGTATATTTCGTTTTGCACGATGTGATGTGACATAAGGATTTCTCTCTCTCGTTTATTTTCAAATGAAAATACTATGAAGAGAAGATGTAAAACCTTATTTTTAACAATAATATGAAAACTCTTGCAGTTTTATGGGTTCGTTTCGATTTGTTCTACGGTACACTTGGTGAACTTTACCCCGATTATATCAAATCATACACGTGTATAAATTCATATATATTTGATACACATACATATATATGTTGTGATTGTGTGTAAATCATTGGAAGCTAGGTCGTATGTAGCAGATGTAGTATGTTATATCCTAATTTTGTGTTTTTAAATAAATAAATAAATAATTAAATTAAATTAAAATAATAATTTAAAAAAAAACAAAAAAACTAGAGTGGTCTGTACTCTTTAGCACAGAAAGAAAACAGAGGAAATAAAAAATATATAAATATTCAACGAAGGGGATCCGCTTCTGCAGGGTTTCCTACTCTCGCGCTTCTTGAAGAATAATAATTTTGGAAGCAAATTGAAAAAAAAAAAACAAATACTCTCTCTCAATCCTTACAATGTTGCCTTCGTGCTAATTTTTCTTGAATTTTTGTCATTGGGTTGAGATTCCGACTTCATAATCCATCTGGGTTTTCTGCAAGAACGAAACCCAATTTACCCCCAATTGTGCATCAACCCCTCTTATCTCTAATTGGGTTAGGTTTTCTATTTGTTCTGGGCTCTGATATTCTCTCACTGCATGCAAATGGCAAGCTAATTTACAGCTTACAGATGCAGAATCTCTGAAAATTTTGGAACACAATTTGGGGAAGAAATGTTGTCGGTAGTAGGGTTTGTGTGTGTCTCTTTTACCCGGACATCAATTAAGATTGTCTGGTAATAAATAATCTTTTTTGTCAGAATGTCGAAAATGGTGCTTACTTATAAATCCCTCTTCTGTTGGTTCTTGATGACGTCAGCATTGCTCATGTCGTCTTGGTTCTTTGTGCTGAGATCAACTTGGCTAACTCATTCGGTTGATTTCGGTTTCTTACCAAACTCGAAGCTTCGTTACGGATCGCCTCTCGCAAGCGAATCGATAATCGGAGGAGTAAGCTCGAATAGGAATCCGAGAAAATGCGATTCTAATAAACCGATTCTCAAGGTTTTCATGTACGACTTGCCTCCGGAATTTCACTTCAGTCTCTTGGACTGGAAAAGCGTCGGGAAAAGCGTCTGGCCCGATGTTTCGACCGAGGTGCCCCACTACCCCGGAGGGTTGAATTTGCAGCACAGTATCGAATATTGGCTAACTATGGATCTTTTAAACTCGGAAATATCCAAAAATTTGAGTGGCCGAGTTGCTAAACGAGTGCGAAATTCCAGGGAAGCGGATGTTGTGTTTGTACCCTTTTTCTCATCCATATGCTATAATCGGCACTCGAAGCTGAAGCCGGGTCAGAAAAAGAGTACCAACGTTGTATTGCAAGAGAAATTGGTTAGTTTCTTGATAGCTCAGAAAGAATGGAAAAGGTCTTTCGGAAAAGATCATATAGTTCTTGCTCATCATCCGAACAGCTTATTAGAGGCGAGGATGAAGCTGTGGCCCGCAATGTTTGTTCTGTCCGATTTCGGGAGGTACCCTCCGACGGTTGCGAATGTTGAAAAAGACGTTATTGCCCCTTACATGCATGTTGTTAGGAGTTACGTGGATGACTCGTCTGATTTCGGTAGTCGTCCGACCTTGCTTTATTTTCAGGGATCCATATATAGAAAAGACGTAAGTTTCTTTAGTTACCGTAAATTGTTTACATGAATTTCATTGCAGCTACTAATGAATCCCATTTTTTTTTGGTATCTCGTTTTCAGGGTGGAAGAATTCGACAAGAACTATATTACATGCTAAAAAACGAGACTGACGTGCACTTCTCTTTTGGTACTGTTCAAAACGACGGTATCAAACAAGCGACCAATGGCATGCGAGCTTCGAAATTCTGCCTCAACATAGCAGGCGACACTCCGTCATCGAATCGCCTGTTCGACGCAATAGCCAGCCATTGTGTGCCCGTTATTATAAGTGACGAAATCGAGCTTCCGTACGAAGATGTTCTAGATTATTCCGAGTTCTGCGTATTTGTTCGTACGTCAGATTCTCTCAAAGAAGGGTTTCTCTTAAATCTTGTTAGGAATATTGGCAGAGAGGAGTGGACAAGAATGTGGTCAAGGTTGAAAGAAATCGAGCATTTTTACGAGTTTCGATATCCTTCCCAGGTGAATGATGCTGTTCAGATGATATGGCAGGCGATCTTCCGGAAGGTTCCGGCTATTAAGAGACAAATTAATAAGGACATGCGGTTTTCTCAAACGGGTGGGCTTAGTGAAAGCGGGCTTCAGTCGATTACTGTGCCGAGGAATTTTGGTTGATTAGACCTAAAAATTGAGAAGTGTTAGTTATTGCTGTAGATATAGTTTTGATCAATTTGTTTCATTCATTCAGTTTTGTGAGTTTTGCTCAATTTTGTTAGCTTTCACTTCGATTCTCTGTTATTCCTCGTTTGGCTGCCAAGATATAGAAGTCATGAAAAACAAAACTTATGGGCTGGTACGAAAAAAACTATATCAGTCTAATTACTTAATAAAACATGATTAATCTCTCTAATCAAATAGGGCCTTGGTTTCCGTAACCAAACGAGGCCTTAAACTCCAAAAATCTTCTTGCGCAAAATTTACCTAAGTTGATTGCTAATAAATTAAAACAACAAATAAGCAGTTTGAGGAATGCTCTGCAGACATATTCCACCTGTAAATTAAGACTGAAATTTCTAGTAATAAGCATCAAAGTCTGGCTAAAACCAATTATTGTCCTCTTCTTCCATATCCTCGTTGTAGTCATCTTGATTGCCGTCGTCGTATTCTTCCATGTCCGTATTATTTTCATCAATACCTTTTGTGCTATTGGTCGAATACTTGTTGTGTGGATCAGTCTCGGTTTCCACTTGGGTTTTCTTGGTGTTTTCGGTGTTTTCTTCCTCCTAAAATAATAGAAACAAATACGTGAATTACTTGGCATGGAAAACGAAAACACACAGAAGAAACGATTAACGGAACAAGAACTTACAGTGTCGGCAAAAATTTTCTCCAGCTCATCGTATCTGATTTTGGAACTCAGCCTCTGTTAAAGACACACGTTCAAGTATATATTAAACACAGGTGCAGAAACGGGAAAAATAATGTTCGTTTTTTTCCTTTCAAATATATATACATATTAGAAGCTGAGAAGTAGAGTCCTTTCTGCAAACCATACCTTTTTGTCGAGCATCTGTTTTGCTGCTTCAGCAGCACTTTTAGCAGGACCAGCATTTTTCGCATCTGCTGCTCGCTTCTGTTGTCTTTCCTGCAAATTTTAGAGAATTATTACACATTTGTCGTAGAGAAGCAGATAAGAAATTAAGGGTAATCACTAATCACTAATCAAAACTTAATGGGGGTAATCAGAGATTAACAAATTATGAGGGTGCTAACCTTCTTTGTCTTTGCAACAGCTTCTGCAGCTGCTGCAGCGAGCTTTTGGGCGGCTTGTACATCCCCTGAGCAGTTTAAAAAATTGGCCTCGTAAGCTTTTTTTGCAGCCAGTGCTGCAGCCTCTTTTGCTGCCTGCTCCTGTGGATCCGAAAAACAGATATAGAGCTTTATATTTTCGATTTTAAAAATGAATAAATAAATCTTGTTTACTTCAATTAATTCAAGACCTCAAGATATTCTTTGTTCAGTTCCTCCCAGATAATCTTCTTATGCTCCTTCTCCTTCTCGGTGTGAAGATAGATATCCACCTGCAAGCATTTTTGCGTTAGTTCGACATTCAACGAATCAGAAACTAGTCAAAAGATTTAAAAAAGAAAAGAAAATGGTGCATACATCAAGGTCATCAATGTCAGATAAACTCTCCGATTCTTCAAATGTGACATCAGCTGCATGTCTCCATTCATCAGACTGTATAATATGCATAGAAAAAAGATATGATACAACGAGAGATTCTTCATAAAAGACGAACCGTAAAATTGTAAAGGAAATAGGAATGTGAAGTAACAGAATTTCTTCTAAGTATCGGAAATTACAGTGAAATTTTTGGCCATGTTTTCTGTTGACCCGTGCAAAGTTAAGGTATCCTGGTTCTCAGCAGCATTTTCCTCTGCCATTTTTCGTTCCATTTCTGCACGTTGGAAAGCTGGGGGCTCGGACCCCTTATTAAGGCCTCCAGAAAGTTTTATGAACTGCATTAACCAGCACACACATTATTAACAGACACCAATAAAGCCGAATAATAAAACGACGGAATCGGAATTTACATATCCGTAGCAGCTTTTACATAGGCTAAGAGCAAAAGGAGGCTCCCCACTACCCTTATGCTCACATATAAGTTCCTTGGGCTCAGAGATAAGTTCATTAATCCGACAGTCATTTAACCCTGTACTGGGCGATATCATATTTTCTTCTTTTTCGTCCTCCTCCGCTTTCGTGTTGAACTCATCAATCTTGTATAAAAAAAAAAGAAAAAAAAAATCTTACAATCCCAACAAAGTGAAAATTGTCTCACTATTTCGTGAATAACATCAAGTAAGAGAAGAAAAAAAATTGACGTTTGTAGAGTTTTTTTACTGATACTGGCAATAGAAGTAAAAAGAACAAAAAAGAAACATAATAAATAAATTAAAAATACGAATAATGATAACTATTTCTAGAGGTTCGAGGTATCATTTCGAACTTTAAACATCCCCAGAAATTCTAAAAAAACAAACTCAAATATAAATGTTTCGATAACAGGAGGTTATGAAATCATTTCCATACCAACTGCAAGTATGTGACTTTTGCATCATATAAGGATTGAAGTTTTTTTTTTTTTAATACATACCGTAAGACCCCCCGACTCCGTGTTCTCAAATTCAATCAACCGCTTGGTTAGTGTTGCTTCGCAGATGTGGACAACCTTAGTCTGCAGCGTTATGAAAAATGTTTCATCAAATAAAGCTGTCACAAACGCAGAGGATTGATCTTAGGTATTCTTCGTGAAGTGAATCAGTTTCATCCCAATTAAATACTCCGAGAATAAAACACACAACGAAATTCAATAGTTTTACAAAGAAAAAAATAAGACTCACGATCTCAGACTTCGAACACTTGAGACCATGTGCGAGAGCAGATACATAAAGTGCAACTCCACATATTCCACTTGGTTTTCGACCAGTCTGCAAGAAATATACAATTCAGGTCAAAGATAAATCTTCAGAATTACTGAGATTAAGGACAAATCAGACTCTCTTTTGACTCGCGTCCAATAAAAGTCGAACCTGCATCCAATCTCGCTTCATGCTAGCAACTAAAAGAAGTGCAGTTCTGGCAACAATTGGTTTTCTGCCACCAAACAGACCTTCACAGAAAATACGAATGGTGCTTATAAACCACTAAAATAAATGAAAACTCATATGTCAAATAAGCAAAACCAAAGCAATACAACAAATCAAAAGGAAACGAAACGGGAACAAATTTAACAAATCCAGCACATTTGACCAAGAAAGTTGAATATTAATTTTAATTTTAACCAGACAAAAAATGTTGATTATTAAAATTAGTACTGCTATGAATGTTAAAACACTAGGCTTTAGGAGTTAAAACCCAGAGCGAACACTTGCATCATTCCATAAATTGAGCTCACGTACACATCGCACACATATCTGATCTACCAGTTTTCAAAGAGATTATTTAAAACGAGAAAAGGTGAACACATATCTGATCTACCGATTTTCAAAGAGATTATTTAAAACGAGAAAAGGTGAATCTTTATGAAACAATCAAACTAAGTTGATCAGGACAGGTACTTACGATCAGTAAATCTGTGAATGAAAAGGCTAGGATCCACAGGATTTTTAACAATCGGATGTTCAACAAGGCTTAAAAGCTGGCAAAGCTGCAAAAATACGGCCCCTAGCACATAACTGTTGATACATCAAATAAAAAATATACAAGAAACTGTCATCATGCCAAAAATTTAATAGAAATTAACAAACATCCAATATAATTGCAATAAGCTAGAGTCCAGTATTGGTTCATCACATACCAATCGGTATCCATCCACCAGAAAGAAATTTAATTTAATACATACAGATCGATGGAGAATTAATATGAAGTACAAATTCCGAATCTCTGTGCCATGATATGCGACAGAACTTTACCATTCAACTGATAGATCATTATACGACAATACTTATTGAGTTATTTTGTCAATAATACCAGTACACCATCAATGCCTATCCGTATTTGATGTTACATACCTACTTACGTCATCCTGGCAAAGTTATGTTACATGTCAAATTGTGACACTTTTTATCACAAACCGAGCCTCATTCCATTTAGATGCCTTTCATGCCGTAAAAAAAATCACCTTAACCAAATCTGAATTACTTAATAAATGACTCAAACATAAAAACTTTCAGGGACCAGCATTCACAAAAAAAGAAAATTTTACATACACATTCATCCTTAGATGCTCTGAAAAATCAATAAGAAGATAGGGCTTTTTATTAACCCTGCAAAAGAAAAACAAAAAAAAAAGCAATTAAAGCTGTGCATTTCTATTATCATAATGATTAAACAAGACAATGATATAGTTCAAGCACTATAAATCTATGGAAATGGATATTCATGCTACGCCAAGCTTTTAATGTGATGCTCATCTCATACACCGAAAAAACAGAGAACGAAAAGTCAACCAAGGGAGGTAGGTAACAATTACCTGCAAGTAATGTAAAGGCAAGCAGCCTGTACTAGCTCTCTCCTGCGCCCTCTTGTGAAGTTGCGTTCAAGTGCTATCTACAAAAACAACAATTATTACACACGACTGCTAATCAACACAATACTTATAAACACAACGTCTTAATGAAGATTAATGAAAAATTACCGTATAAATGTTTAAAGCCGCATTAGCTATGGAATCACCACCATCAATATTAAGGGCATTCATGATATGACATATTCCATCATATGCTGCAAAAAAATACATAATTACAAGATAAATTTAACCATCTCAAATAACAGAAGGGGAAATTTTGCAAGGACAATGACATGCAAAATGTTTCCAATTAGCACTCTCGGTGTTGAGTAGAAAAGGCAACACAAATACTTCACGTGTGAAATACAATTGCATGCCGAATTTGAGTCGTCTACAGACCACTTGTTTGTTTATATAATATATACTAGCACCTGATAATACGAGCTAAAAAATCTATCATTGTTTATCACCTTTAAATCTAAGGCTACACGCATATATTTCTCACTATAGATTACTCACAAAACTCGAAGAAACTGGTAGCGAATGGCACTTCCAGAAAAAAGTACACTTAAGCTTTGACGCAAACAAGCCTACCTTCATTCCGTGTCCTCTCACGAGAAAGTGAATATTCAGCTTGGATGGTCTTCATATATCTCCCCGACAATTGGCTCTGTAGATAAATTTCAGTCAATCAATTTATGGTACGAACAATTAAATGAAAAAAAAAACTCATGGTCCATTAATGCATACGTCACTGTTAAGCTCCTAATATATCCTGTTTCCAGTTGACATTCCAATTAAATGTTGACTATATCGACCTTATGGTAAAATGATCGAATAAAACAGAACAACTTCGTAACCCTAGCATGAATTCACATAAGCCTGACCAATATCTGAGCAGGAAAGGTACATAATAATGTCAAATGCATCTCTCGTCATTTGATCAGGTTCCAAAACACCGCAGAATCGGAACACTGATATCACCAACAATCTAGTCAGCGCTATCTACGGCCACTTAATATAAAAAATGAACGATACGAGCTGCAATGATAGCGTCAATTTTCTGCATAAACTTACAATAATAACCATTTAATAAGTTGGTGGGCAATCGCTCTTCCGAGAATAAAGTAACCTATACTCTACGATGCAAATCGAAAACCTACATGATGCATAAAACAGTAGAAAAAACCTGTCCAGACGCATTTTTCGTAAATTGGGGCTCCTGTGAAAAGTTATCCTCATCCAGCACCCTTCCACAAAGTGAACAGCATCTGTTTGTTCACAGACAACACAAGAAATCTCTCCTTCAGTTGCAAATTACTGTCAAACATAACAAAATAATATAAACACTTAACAAAATTAAGGAAAAGGGCTTACATTTTGCCATCCACATTATCAGGTCGGATGATATTTGTGCCGCAACTACTGCACCAAACCATACTCGCACACCCCCTGAACCGAATCAACAACAAAATCGACCCATCCTACTGAAAATTTTGCAGAATTCGAGAAGATTGAGCGGACCTCTCTCAATGAAATTACAGGATGCTGATCTTGGGGTTTTGGCGCGAGGGGGGCGGGGGGCAGGGTTTTAGCTAGTGAGAATTGTGTGTGGCGATTGGCCACGGCAGAAACAGCTGTGGAACTCACTCAGCCAAAATCAAAAGTAAAGCGAAGAAATGATGGATGGATGGTTTATTAAGAAAGAAGGGCTGAGCTGCAAACAACCGCCATTAAAAAGGTCTCTTATTTCTTTGACTTGCCAGTTTCTGGATTTTAGGGTTTTTTTTATTTTTTATGTTTCTCGGTTCAATAAATAAATAATAGACTAGTATTGAATAAAATAAATTAAATAAGTTTTATTATGAGTTTTTCACTTTACTATTTATTTCCTATATATGTAATTGTATTAAATATAATTAATATTAAATTATTGTTTTTATGTTGCTTATGACAAACGTGTTCATTTTTAATGTATATTTGTAAGATAATCACTTAAATTTATTTATAAATAATGGAAAATATGAAATAAATTCAAAAAATTGGGTCAAATCGGTTGAACTGGTTTAACCATGACCCAATTTGCTCTCTAGTTCAGTGTCGGATTTGGTTTGAATATCATTGAATTTATATTTATAAATGTAGGTAATTAAAACATAATAAAACTACTTGCTAATTGTCGATGTTTTATTTAAAAAGAACACACTTTTTTAAATGCCAACAATTTTCTTATATTTGAGATATTAAAGCGTTTTTTGCAAAAACTTTTGAAAGAGATTACAATTACAATTTATTTTATTAATGTTTTTAAATGCAACTTTATTTTTATATTTGCTAGAATAAGTTCATTTAAAAACATTAATAAAATAAAATAAAGTGTAATCTCGGCAGTGATAGCTGAAGCCCAATATTATTGGTTCAGGCCTACACAAAAGATGTGGTTTATATTTAAGCTGCATGGGCTAAGCTAACTAGATCAATACTAATAAAAGTAAAACTTTCTCTTGCCATTCATGAATAAACCATGATCTATGATCGAGCTCCGTTCGACGGTGTGTTCGCCGGTGTGATGATGTCAGCCTAGTCTCTTTTACGTTAGCCCTTAGCTTCCGTCGAAATCTTGATTGGACGTCGTTCCAGGAATAACGGGAGAGTTTCCCAACATAGATGCTCCGACGATCAAGTAAAAGAAAGTGTTTATATTATATGTTTTTAATAAAGAAGCATTAGAAAGGAAATTTTTGAATAATTAACCCCTTATTTATACATATTCCGTGCTTTAAGAAACAAGCTTCATTAGCGTTTTTAATCAAATTCCCTCCTTATTCGGGCATTCCGCATTTAATGGATGTTTAGGTTAAATAAGTTAATTTCAGCTCGTTCAAAACGCCGACTTGAGGTCTCACCATAACACCTTATGGCCTTATCTCGTTTCGTCGTACGACGTAAAGTACGAACGACATTTTCTCCCTGTTAGGGTTTCATGTACCCTTTTAACATGCCTGACTTCTATCTTTGGGTTGCGCCCTTCTTGGGCTTTATCTACAAGTGATCTAATTTACACTGAGGCCCATATGGGCGAGATAGCCCATATAAACCTATTAAAATAATCAAATGAAATACTAAATTCATTTTTTTTTTCTAAACACAGTCACCAATATATACACACATCTTGGTGCTTTTGCTCAATATAATACACATTTCCTTTACTAATTACTAGCATATATCTACTAATATAATTATAAACCCAAAGTACATAATTAATTAGATGCTTTACAAAAGTACAAGCTAATTATTTTTACTAATACCTTGTTTTGAGGTTAATTAATTACTACTGATCCAATAATAATATAACTGACAATCCACCTAATAAATAAGACAGATAAAATAGTTGTTTGTGGAGCACAAGAACAAAATAACGTTCATATTTGCAGAGATTATTACTAGTGGCCAACTAACTCTCTCCTTTTTTTTCCATAATACATACAACCAAACTACCATCCAAGAATATTTATATATTATTTTTTTTACATAAAATGTATTTATTAATTAATTATTACAACTATTCGGATAATGAAAATATGGGCAAATCTTTTTTGCCCATTTTGTATAATCTATTATTGGGGGTGGCTTTTTTAATTTGTTGGCCATGTTCTATGGTAAAACATTACATTGATTTTGTAGACGCTACATCTGGTGTAATGAATTGGGTATTTTGTTATTATATACGTAAAATCGATAACACTTTATATTTAATTTGTAATTTTTTTATTTAAAAAAAAAATAATAACGAAATATAGTATTAATGCTATGCTTGTTCAATTCAAACATCAACACTCAAATGACATGAACCAAAAATAACATTCTCATGTTGAAAAAAATCAAGACAAAACCAACCACCATTACCCATAAGTCAGTTCTTTTCATCATGCAATTTTCATGAGTGTCGGGACTTTATTTTGTGATAGTTAGTTAATTAGTACTATTTTTATTATTTATTTCGGGATGATCTCGATAATTTGCGGAAAATATGAAAATTAGTTTTTTTTTTTTTTTTTTTTTAATAGAAGTAGCCTTGATTTTTTATTTTTATTAGCAATTGCAAATTTATCAGAGAAAAGGAATTAAAAAAAATTCAGACAATTAAACCAAGAGACAATAAGAATTAATTGCAATTTAATTTAATTTTCTACAATTAAAAAACATATTTAAAAAATAAAACCGTACAATAGCAGCAAGCACAATACTCTGGCGCAGTCGAGCCGCAGCTCAACAGCCGCGCACACACAGCATCCCGATGATCCCACCACGTGGACCACCCTTTGTCCTACGTGGTTTTGCTGACGTGGCCCCTGTCTAAAATTTGTACTCCTGTCTTAATTCTTTTTATTTTGATTTTTTTTGCTTTATCTTATTTTAGATTAATAAATCACCTTACAATTAAAATTAAATATTTAATCAATAATAGAATAATAATAATACCATAATCGCGTGTTAAGGAAATTATTCCCTACAGTAGATTTTATTTGAGTAAAGGGAATTCGGAAGTTTCTGAATCAATATCAGTAATTTGAATTTCGGACCAAATAAAATTAATTAATTATTAAATTATTAAGAACATAATTGATTTTAATTTATTTTAATTGTAATTTTCAAAATTAAAGAGGCTCCTCCTACTTTACCACGCCTTTAAATTCCAGTACAGTCCTACTCACTCAGAAACTCACTCTCTCTTTCTCTCTCTAAAAACAGAAACACCTTTCTCTCTCTACACATTTTCTGAGAAAAAAAATAAAAAATAAAAAAAATCGGATTTCTGAGAAATTCACCGATCAATGGCGGAGAATTGCATCAGAAAACTGACGGTGGAAGTGTGCGACGCAAAGAACTTGATGCCGAAAGACGGCCAGGGCACGGCGAGCGCCTACGCCATCGTCGATTTCGACGGCCAACGCCGCCGTACAAAGACCATATTCCGGGATCTCAACCCCCAGTGGAACGAGAAGCTCGATTTCTTCGTCCACGACGCCGATTCCATGGCGGCGGAGACCATGGAGCTGAACGTCTACAACGACAAGAAGACCGGCAAGAGGAGCACTTTCCTCGGAAAAGTCAAAATTTCCGGCAGCACTTTTGTCAAATCCGGTGAAGATGTGCCCTTGGTTTACTATCCGTTGGAGAAAAGAAGCGTCTTTTCTCAGATCAAAGGTGAGATTGGTTTGAAAGTCTGGTACGTGGATGAACAACCTCCGCCGGCGCCGGCGCCGGAAAAGAACGACGCTCCACCTCCGTCTGCACCAACAGAGGAAAAACCGGCGGAGAAGGAGGACAAGAAGAAACCCGAATCCAAGGAAGAGGCAAAAAAGGAGGAAGAAAAAAAACCAGCCACGGAGGAGGCTAATAAGAAGGAAGAGAAACCACCGGAGAACGCGCCGCCGCAGACGCCGCCGCCTCCAACACCGCCGCCACCTACCGAAGTGCAGCACCCACCAATTGCTCAACAAAAAAGCACCCAAAACCCAGAAAAATCCCTAATTTCTGAGAACTCAAAACACATGGAAATCGAATCAAAACTCTTCCAGAAAATCAACAGCGGGAAGGCGGATCGAAGAACAACCGCCTTCGATCTCGTAGATCCGATGCCATTTCTGTACGTTCGCGTCGCGAAAGCCAAGATTTCGAATCCGGACGCCGACTCCTCCTTCTTCGCGAAGCTCGTGATCGGGACCCACACCATCAGGACCAAATCGCAAGCGGCGAACAGAGAGTGGGACCAGGTTTTCGCATTCGATAAAGACGGGCTGAATTCGACCTCCCTCGAAGTTTCAATCTGGGCGAAGAAGAAGCCCAAAGACAAAGACGCCGCCGCCGCCGACGAGATCTCCGCCGGAACGGTGTCGTTCGATCTTCAGGAGGTGCCCAAACGTGTCCCCCCAGACAGCCCACTCGCGCCGCAGTGGTACAGCCTGGAAGGTGAAGGGTCGCCGGGAAATGACGTCATGCTGTCGGTGTGGGTCGGGACTCAAGCCGACGAGGCTTTCCAGGAGGCTTGGCAGTCGGATTCCGGCGGGTTGATACCGGAGACCCGAGCCAAGGTTTACTTGTCTCCGAAGCTGTGGTATTTGAGACTAACGGTCATCCAGACCCAGGATTTGCAGCTTGGTTCAGGCTCCGCGGGTTCCGAACCTAAGGTTCGGGTTCCGGAGCTGTACGTCAAAGCCCAGCTCGGCGCGCAGCTGTTCAAAACGAGCCGAACGAATATCGGTTTCACTAATCCTACGTGGAACGAGGATCTGATCTTCGTAGCCGCCGAGCCGTTCGAGCCGTTTCTGACCATCACAGTGGAGGACGTGACAAATGGGCATTCAGTGGGCCACGCTAAGGTGCAGGTTGCCACGGTGGACAAGCGCACGGACGATAAATCAGAGCCCAGATCCAGGTGGTTTAATTTAATTGGAGACCAGGAAACCAAACCATACGCCGGCAGAATACACGTGCGTGTCTGCTTGGAAGGTGGGTACCACGTGCTTGACGAGGCAGCTCACGTGACCAGTGACGTCCGCCCCACAGCCAATCAGCTCTCCAAACCACCAATTGGCCTACTCGAAGTGGGCATAAGAGGCGCCACCAATCTCCTCCCCGTCAAAACCAAGGACGGTACACGTGGCACCACTGACGCTTACGTGGTCGCCAAATACGGACCGAAGTGGGTCCGCACTCGCACGATCCTCGACCGTTTCAATCCCAGGTGGAACGAGCAGTACACGTGGGACGTCTACGACCCTTGCACCGTACTTACAATAGGCATATTCGACAACGCGAGGTACAACAAGAGCGAAGCGGGCCCCGCGAAGGACAAGGACGTGCGCCTCGGGAAGCTCAGGGTGCGACTCTCGACATTGGACACCAATCGGGTGTACGTCGGCACGTACGCCCTCACGGTGTTGCTCCCGGGCGGGGCCAAGAAGATGGGCGAGATCGAGATCGCGCTCCGGTTTTCGTGCTCGTCGTGGATTAGTCTCATCCAAGCGTACGCCAATCCAACGCTGCCACGTATGCACTACGTGAAGCCATTGGGCCCCGCCCAACAGGACATATTGAGGCACAACGCTATGAGAATCGTGACCACCAGGCTGGCCCGGTCCGAACCGGCACTCGGCCAGGAGGTGGTCCAATTCATGTTGGATTCGGACATGCACATGTGGAGCATGAGGAGGAGCAAAGCCAACTGGTTCCGAGTCGTCGGCTGCCTGTCGAAAGCAGCCCAATTCGCCAGGTGGCTCGACGGGATCCGAACATGGGCCCACCCGCCAACTACCGTTCTAGTCCACATCCTATTGATGGCCATCATTCTATGCCCGCACCTAATTTTGCCAACGGTTTTCATGTACGCGTTTCTCATCATAGCGTTGAGGTTTCGATTCCGTCAACGAGTGTCCATTACAATGGATCCAAGGTTGTCCCACGTGGACACGGTAGGGCCAGACGAGCTGGACGAGGAGTTCGACGGGTTTCCAACTACACGATCGGTTGACCAAATAAGGGTACGATACGACCGGTTGCGGGCCCTAGCGGGCCGGGCCCAGACACTACTAGGGGATTTGGCTGCACAAGGGGAGAGATTGGAGGCATTGTTCAATTGGAAAGATCCAAGAGCAACGGGTATATTTGTGGTGGTGTGCTTGTTTGCTTCTTTGTTGTTCTATGTTGTGCCTTTTAAGGCGTTTGTGTTGGGTTCCGGGTTTTATTACCTCCGACATCCGAGGTTCAGGGGCGATATGCCGTCCGTGCCGATGAACTTTTTCCGTCGCCTGCCGCCGCAGTCCGATCGGATTCTCTAGATGGATTTTTCTTTTTAATGTTTAATTTAATTTAATTTAATTTTTCTTTTGGCTAGGGGAACTGTGATGCACTTTCCCGGTGTACCTGGAATATTGGTGAAATTAAATACAAGTAATTTAATTTGTTTTGTCTTGATGTGCTGACAATATTTATTTTTTGGGGGAAAAAGTGACCGTTGGAGTTTGGGAGCAACTGTCGTTTTCTAATTTAATTTATATAACTATTTATTATTATGTTTGGTGGGAGTGTTGAATGCAGACATCTTGAATATGGTGACCGTTGCAGAGGCTGGAGGAGCGCATATTCTTCCTCCATTTATTTTATGTTTTTCCTTTTCGGTCTATTTTTGCTATCAAGAGTTGTACATTTACATGTGAGGGGAATTGGATGTATATAATTAAAACTGACACTTTTGGAATATTCAATTAAAAAAAAAATCGAATTTGAAAAGATAAATTCAAGGGTAAATTATAACCACTCCTGAGATATAGTCAAATTACGAAAAATTTCTTCTTGTTTGGGTAATTACAACTACCTCTCAATTATAAATTTTCTTACACTTCTACCCTTCTGTTTCAAATTTAGATGAATCTTCTAGATTATATGAAATATTCTCAATTTTATACCCGTTTTATCCCATTCGAGCTCCATATTTTAAAGCAAGATGATCATAAGATGTGTTTTTTGGTTTGTATATATCAGATTATGGTGCATTAGAAACTGTATTTTTGTACAAAACAAGTACAAACTAAAGAACATTCCACGGAATCTAGATGATTATGTTGAATTTGAGACCATAAGTGTGGTGGACGTGTAAGAAAATTAATAGTTGAGGAGAGTAGATGTAATTATCCAAATAAGAGGGGTTTTTTCGTAATTTGATCATACCTCAGAGGTGGTTGCAATTTACCCTAAATTCAATTATGTTTATCCTAAATTCAATTATGTTCGATAAACATAACGGAAAAATCGGAGTTTGAAACGAAAAAACATGTTCCACAATCAGAAATTTTTGAATCATAAACGCTAAACTTCAATTTTTATATTTTTCACTCATATATAATATATAAATAACTAATCATATTAATTATAATAAAAAGAAATCGATTTTTTTTCAGGAATTCATAACCTCATATACATTCCTATTTCAAATAACATTATAAAAATCCTGAGAATTATATTTTTTTGGAATTCATAATAAAAAGTTGTTCCAAAATTGAAAATTTCATTCCGATTTCAACTTCAGTTATATATACAAGAACATAGATCAAAGTCATATTGTGCATTTGAGTTAATTAATTGTCAATAGACAATATAGTGCACTAGTGAAACTTTATTACATGTATAAATTTGTAATAGCAATTGTACAATAATTTTAGATTTATTAAAATAGTGGAGCAATTATATATAATACAAGTCGATTTTTGTATATATGATTCATGTGGGGATGATACGAACCCCCACAGATCTATTAGACATTTTTTTTTGATAATTTGATCTATTAGACATTTGCTTCATATAAGGATGAAGGTCAAAATGTTGACTTCATAAATAAATTAGTATATTAAAATTGCAATAATTGCACGTCTAATTATTTCATTTCATGTGATGATAACACAAACAGCACGTAAAGGACAATTTGAACTCAACGAGACGGCTAAAATAAAGTAATTATATTATTTGTGTAGCAATTAATTATATTTCAAAACATATAAAAAGTAACCAAAATAATCAATAATCTCGAACCATGCACTTTGCTTGCAAATGCAATCTGCATTCTGAAGCTCTTTAGCACACAAGTTATATTCATTAAACCGCTAATCCTACAATTAACAGCAAAGTATTTGACTAATTATCATGACTTAACTATTAATCGGTCTATTAATTAAGCTCTATGAAGTCAACGTATAAGACAAGGCAAAGTCAAACTTTTTAGGACATTAATCTTTGTTTAAACAATTTCTTTCTTCATGTTCTCGTTCAGGTGTAAACGGGAAATATTAATATATTATATGAAAATAATAAATATTTTTGTTAAATTACGAATACCATCTTAATGTTTGATTTAGTGCTCGTTCAATTATCTGGATTAACCGGACGGCATGTTATTACTTATTAGCCCCTACAATTTAATCAGTAGAATGGTAACTGAACGAACCCTTAGGGATTTTCACACGTACAAAGAAGGTGCTTTCAAATTTTGAAAGTGAGAGGAATTATTCTGTAATTAAACCTACAAGATTAATTAATTTAGTAAATTCACCACTTATTTAAATAATGCCCTCGCGGTTGATTTTTTTTTTTTTACCTATTTTTCTAATGATCATTACTCAACATGATCAATTAACATCAATCAAATTAAATGATATTTGCTTAAAAATAAAAAAAAGCAAATTAAATGAAATAAAAAACAAAGTAATTAACTATTCCCACCACAAGAAAATACAATTAATCAATAACATGTAATTACAAATCCACTATGTACTGTCCAAAAAATATTATGTGGCTAACCAAAAAAAAGAAAACCCAATTAACAACTTATTAATACACACTCTTATAATTAAAACCATTTACTTGTCTTATCTTATTACATTTGAATTTGAATAGATATATAAAAATATGTATGCATACTTAAAACCCTCGAGGATTAAGGGTTTTAATTAATATATAAATTTAAAGTATAGAAATATCACGAATTCTCAAATTCGGTTTTCTTTTTATTGATAACAATATTTTGGGGGAAAAAGAAACAAACAAACCTTAATTTTTACGACGAATTTCCAAATCAAATTCCGAAGCCCTAATTAGGCGTAATCGCACATGCCGTATATACAGAATCCACCGGTCATGCACCTCTTATTGCAGGCGCCACAGTGCCTCTTGTCGAACGCGAGATTCACGCACTTCCCTCTGCAGCACGACTCCGTAAAAGCGCATTTGTTCTTGCATGCCCCGCAGTTGTTCTCGTCGAAATGCAAGTCCATGCACTTGTTGTTACAGCAAGTCGTGTTTCTCCCTTCCGAAATTTGGCTGCAGATCTCTTCGTCCTTGTTGCACTGGTCGGCCGCTCTCGGGTTCTCGTTTTGCTGGAGAAACCGCCCCACCCTTTTTGCTGCCGCTGCCGCCGCCGCCGGTTTGATGCGCTGAGAAGGGGTTTCCGGTGGTGGTGGAGAAATGGAGTTTTGGGTGGTGAAAAGTAGGGTTAAGGCCATGGTTATTGCTACGATGGCGAAGATGGTCTTGATGATCATCTTCATTGTTCTGAACTTGGAGAAATAATCGTCGTTTTACTTTTTTTTTTTTATTAAATTTGATTTTTTTTTCTTTCTGGTTCTTGATTTAGAAATGAGAGAGAGGAGAGATGATTGATTATTATGGGAGATGGAGTGGAGTAGAGTTAGGGTTTAATTATAGGGTTAGCAGAATGAATTAAGAGTTGACGCTGAAATTATGGTGAAAGATTCACCCCCTTTGGGTTGTGTTTGCTGCATGCATGGAGTGTGTTCTAATTTATTTATATATATATGTATATATATCAATGTTGTAAAAATCGGTAATCGGGTCCGAGTCGGTCAGGCACCGACTCACGATTAATCGGTGCGGTGATAAATCGGAAATAAATCGGTTTTTAAAATTTAATATAATATATTTCTAAATATTATTTATAAATACTCCAAACATATATAAAAAGATATTTAAACATAGTTATATCTCCATCATGTATATATCCAAATAACATAATAAAAGTTTAATAATCATAAGATCATAATAATAAATATCCTTATAAAATATAAATAAAAAAATAATTTTTTTGAATTTACATTTATTCATAACATTGCATTGTGCTTCTAAC